AGGACTTTTTTTGCAATGCTGGGGATCCAACCAAGGGCCTCATGCATATTAGGCAAGAGTTCTACCACTGAGTGCATCCCTAACCCAACCATTCTGAGTATTTTAAAGTATACTAAACAGCCTGAGTTTCAAGCAGTTTTGTTTTTCACAGTCATTTTGTCATGGCCAAACTTTACCCAAAGTGATCACAGAGGTCTCACAACCCTTAGGTAGTATGGGGAAGCATTTAAGGAGAAATAATTTGGGGACATCAGAGAGGAAAACAGTGGTCCCTGTCCTCAAGAGGCTTCATATCTATTTGGTATTTGTTAAATACCAAAACTGAAAGCAGTATTGACTACAATTAATTGTTATTTTAGGGTCTGAAATGTTGTCCTGGTGAAGTTCTCTAGTATCCTGGAATTTTTAAAAATCCAGTTTTTAGGATTCTGGTAGTAGGATTCTGGCAATACCTTGACCATGGAGACAGGTAACTTTGTTTTTCAGCAGATTGTGCTCAGGTGGGTTGGTGCCCTTGTCTCTGTGTGCATGGAGTTAATGTATGATAACAATACAAATAGTTGAAGTTCTGGGAAGCAGAGAAGGTACCTCATCTTTGCTATCTGGAGTTAATAGAAGGGGCCTCAAAGAGATGGTGTGCTCTTACCCACTCCTTACAGATGAAGTTGAGTTTGCACAGGCAGAAAGTCGAAGCATGGATGTTAGGGGAGAGATACTAAGGATGTCCAGCATAGGAAATTTGTGAGATAGTGTAGACAGCAACAAATCCAACTGAGCCACATAACACCCTGGAGTTGGTAGATGGGGTAAGGCTGTAGAGTAGTAGCAGAAGCATCTTTGGCAACAAGCTGACAGTATAATTTATCTTGTGTATTTTTTTTTTTTGTACCAGGGATCAAACCTAGGGACCCTTAACCACTGAGCCAAGTCTCCAGCCTTTTTTATATTTTATTTAGAAGCAGAGTCTCACTGAGTTGCTAAGTGCCTTGCTAATCTGCTGAGGCTGGTTTTGAACTCACAATCCTTCTGTGCCTCAGCCTCCCAAGTTGCTGGGGTTACAGCCGTGCCCCACCACACTGGCTATCTTGTATATTTTTAACAGCAGAAAGAACATACAAAATTTATTACATACCTAAGGCCTAGGAGTATTATCAAATGTTCGTGTATTTTTGAGCAAATTTGGGGCCAATCTGAATAGGAGAAAGGTTGAAACATTTGGATTTGTCTACTGATCTCTTCCTTGAAAACTCTTAATACAAAATAAAACTTTTTGATGTTATACAAACTTGGATCTAACATAATTTAAATGATGTTTCCCAAAATGGATTTTCCAATGAAAAAACTCAGCTGCAAATTGGAAGTCTCCAAGGAACTCTGTCTCCAGTCCCTGTTTTAGGTGTTCACATTTCAGGCCTCCTCCTATCAAATCTTACCATCTTGTGTCTAATTCTCCCAAGGCTTGCCAGCTTCCTGGTTCACTTGTTTCAAATAATTTGTATTCAATTAAGAATTAAATACTGATAATGCAAAGGACTTATACAATTATGTGAAGAGGAAATCTAAGGAAAAGATGTTCAACTGTAAATGAAAGAATACAAATGTGTAGTTTTTCAAGTAACAAACAAAAGAAAAAAAGAATGCAAATTATAGAATCTGAGAGACTTTAATGAAATGTAAGGGCTCATGAACATTTTAAAAGACTCTAAAATGATGTGTATATTTATGGACATGAAAGAATGCTCACTAACTTCTATGCCCTGTGGCCCTTGTGATGCCATTAATGTAAAGTTAGTTAATGTAAAGATCTAGAATGGTGGTCAGAAATATCATCCATGATGTCATCTGGTTGGAAACACTTTGAATGATTTTACTTTCTTCTTTTTTATTGTTTTTGAAATCACAAGAGTTGTATTCTGTATTTTTTAACTTATTAACTAATACTATCAGAGTGTATTTTATGTGCTGGCACTTCACTGATTGCTGTCACAATTATTCCTGAAGAAAACAAAGGTGATAAGAGATTAAGGAATTCACCCAAGGTCCACTCTAGGAATTGATGGAGCTGGGATTCAAAACCTGGTAGTGCTGCTCCACAGACTGGGCTCTTACTACACTAATTGCCAGATAGAATCAAATTAACTTAAATCCTGCCCCCTCAAAGGCCTACTCCCTTGCTCAAAAGTAACTATGGGTAATAGATACTTCAAAAATTTTTTGCTAGGCATTTTCAGATGTGTGTGTGTGTGTGTGTGTGTGTGTGTTTCTTTTTCATAAAATGGGGTGGATATGTCCCATCTATCGGTATGTATAATTCACTCTCATGATTTTTATTTACCTCTGGAGGGCATTCTGCAGTATGGATGTGTGGAATTGATGGAACCATGCTTCTGCTGAAAAACTGGTGTGTGTGTGTGTGTGTGTGTGTGTGTGTGTGTGTGTGTGTGTAGCTATGTTTGGTATATGCCTAACACAATGCAAATAGTTGAAGTTCTGGTGGGCAGAGAGGTTTTTTCCAGTATTTTCTTCCTAACAGATAAAGTTACAGTGAACACTTTGTATGCATATTACTGGGTATAGATGTGCAATTGAAGTCCTGTGATAATCTCCCGGAAACAGAACCGATGGGTCAAAAGGCATGCACACAAAGTGGAAAGAAGCTTCCCACATCAAGAAGACCATGCCAGGGGCTGGGGATGTTCCCCGGTTAGTGTGAGGTGCTGAACACAATCCCCAGCACAACAAAATAAAATAAAATAAAAAGGCTGTGCCATTACCCCTGCAGCACATGAGTGGCCCTGTCCTCATATGTTCACCAACATAAGAAGTTGTCCAGGGCTGGGGATGTGGCTCAAGCGGTAGCGCGTTCACCTGGCATGTGTGCGGCCCGGGTTCTGTGGCCCGGGTTCGACCCTCAGCACCACATACAAACAAAGATGTTGTGTCCGCCAAGAACTGAAAAATAAATATTAAAAAAATCTCTCTCTCTGTTTTACTTCTTATGAGAAATGAAAGAATGTTAGTTCATTTGTAATAATGTAGAAGCTCTTGATTACTAGTGAAGTTGAGCATCTTTTCATTTGTTTCTTGGTCACCTTCTTTTTATTGGATAATTTGTGTTTTTCTTATTAATTTGAAGGATCTCTATTATAGATATTGTCTTTTTTTTTTTTTTTTGTGGATACTGGAGATTGAACTCACCACTGAGCCACATCCCAGGCCTATTTTGTATTTTTCAGTTCTCAGCGGATACAACATCTTTGTTTGTATGTGGTGCTGAGGATCGAACCCGGGCCGCAAGCATGCCAGGAGAGCGCTACCGCTTGAGCCGCATCCCCAGCCCATCCTATTTTGTATTTTTATGAGAGACGGGGTTGCTTAGTGCCTCACAGTTGCTGAGGCTTGGCTTTGGACTCACAACCCTCCTGTCTCAGCCTCCCGAGCTGCTGGGATTACAGGCATGAGCCACCATGCTCTACTAGATATTGTCTTTTTTTAATATTTATTTTTTAGTTTTAGGTGGACACTATATCTTTATTTTATTTTTATGTGGTGTTGAGGATCAAACCCAGTGTCTCATGCATGCTAGGCAAGCACTCTACCACTGAGCCACAACCCCATCCTCTAGGTATTGTCTTTCCATGTTCTGTTTGACACAAATGTTTTCCCCAGGGCATTACTTTTCTTCAAACTTGCTTATTTTTTTATACTGAAGTTTGGTTGTATTTATTTTATTTTTATGTAATCAAATCTGTCAATATTTTTCCTTTTTGGTTTTATATCTTGTTTAGAATGTCTTTTCCACAATATCTACCAAGATTATAATGCTCTCCTAACCCTCTCTTCTTGTACATCTACGTTTTTGTTTATAGATTTATTTCTATATTTTAATATTAATGAAGAATTTTATTTTGTTCAGTGAAAAGGAGAGATTTATTATTTTTTTTATTTCCAGGCTGGTCAACTTTTAAACAACTCCTTCATCTAAACCCAAGTTCTGTTTCTAGACTGTTCCTTTTGTCCCTTTTTCTATATTTGACCTAGGATCACATTGTTTAGTTACTTATGCTTTTCACCAGCAAGTTTTTGTATCTGCTAAGGTATGTCCCATCCCCATTTCTTGTCTTTTTAAAACTTTCCCCAACCCTCCCCAGGCATTTACTTTTTCTGAGTAACTTCAGAACTAGATAGTTAAGGTCCAAAAATACTCCTTTGAGATTTCAGTTGGGGCAGATAGAATCTTCTGCTAATTGGAGTCTGTAGCCTGGACACCTGGATCCCTTGGCAGTTCTCTAGGCTATCCAGAGCTGCCCTCTGATGGGGAAGGACAGGATGTGCTGCTGCCTCTACCTGCTCTCCAGGGTCTTCCCACTCCACCATCTCCATGAAACTTGTGATTTCCAGTCTTCATGGAAGCACACATTCCTGGTTAAAGTTATTTCCTTCTCCAAGTGACATTTGGACTTTAATCTGAACTTTCAGAGCCAAAATCCAGAATGAAAAAGCCTGGAAACCTCAGACTCTGCAGCAGAACCCAGAAGGAAATACTTTTGTCAAGGAACAATTTCCTTCTACCAGAACACCACACTGACCTGCCTAGGATAAAACAGGTTCCAGTTGAGACTTAAAAAACAAACAAAATGAACAATATCGTTGTAGAATAACCTAAATGTATCAAATTTTAAGTGTATAGGTAAATAAGTTTTAGTTAATGTAGAGTTGTGCAGTCATCACCATATTTCAATTTTTAAAACACTTTCATTACCCCAAAAGATTCCTCAAGCTTATTCAAGGTCATTCTCTGGATGCAACCTGTCCTTAGCATGACAGCACCAGGAGGTGTGGGGATAGTGAAGGGATCCCCAAGAGAGCCTCCGTTCATGAGTTTAGAGCCAGTGCTCCCAACAACATGGGCCCACAGATCTACATACTCCTGGGGATACCCAGGTGGGGCCTCCTCCTGAGGGACTGGCCATGCTGAACCCCATCCTTACCCCTTCCAGGTGGATAAAGTTTGAAGAAAAGGTCGAGGAAGGAGGCGAACGCTGGAGCAAGCCCCATGTGTCCACGCTGTCCCTGCACAGCCTCTTTGAGCTCCGTACCTGCCTGCAGACGGGGACAGTGCTGCTGGATCTGGACAGCGGCTCCTTACCACAGATCATAGGTGAGGTGGGGGCCGCCACAACATCTCTCCTGGGGTCCCTGAAAACCAGGGAAGCTCTCCCTGCCTTGTGCCCATCTGCAAGTCTTGTGACTGGCTCATCCCTGACACCTGCCTGATTCTGCAGAGACCAGCTTTGGCTGTGATGTTTCCCAATCAGCATCCCAGCTCCTCCAAGATTCAGCTCCATGTATAGCTCCCTCAGGGAGGAAAAGATCATCCTCTGAAATGCTGTCCAGAAATGCAGCAATAAGAGAGAGTACTCCGACCATGGTCAGACAAGTATGGCCATGACAACCTGCTTCTTTTCAGGGTAAAATGGATCATTGTTCATCTGTAGGAAATTAGCTGCCACTTAGCGGAGTGTCAGAAGGAAGAAGTGGCTTGCCTTATCCTCCCTAAAATGTCTATGTGTTTTGCTCTAGCACATTTGATTTTGCCAGAAGTATTTTGCCCAAAATACTTTTCTTAAAAAATCCATTTTAGGACTAAAACTATTTAATAACTGTACTTTGTGCTTCCTGGGACACTTCCATATGTTCTATTTCATGGGATTTTCATAACACTGACAGAAAGATAGGTGCTTCTATATACACATGCACAAACACAGAGACAGGCACACGCTCTTGTACATGAAGAGACTGTTTGTGATGTTCCCAGGTTTCCACAGTTAGTGGCAAGGCTGGGACAATTTCCACATCCCCTGTCACCTTTAGCTCACTTTCAGTCCCACTAATAACAGGAGAAATTGAAGACCCTCACCTTGGGTCCATTCTGTCCCGTATGGACCAGGCATGTCTGTTTCCTACTCAGATGATGTCATTGAGAAGCAGATTGAGGATGGGCTCCTGCGACCAGAGCTCCGGGAAAGGGTCAGTTATGTCCTCCTGAGGAAGCATCGTCACCAAACCAAGAAGCCCATCCACCGCTCCTTAGTGGACATTGGAAAGTCAGTCTCCTCCACCTCAAGTAAGTTGGGCTCTCCACTGCTAGCCATTGGGTATATGAGGACATTATCAGGCCCCAATGCCCAGGTGAGCCCACCTTGGTGACTGGGAATATCTGCCTTCATGATCTGGAGAAATTCTGCTGTTGGGGATCCCTCATCTTCCTTCTCTGGTAGGCTTCTGAGGACTCCAGTTGCACCCTAATGTGTCTTTATCACCAGAGCAGAGCAATTCCTAGGAAGAGAGTTGGTTCTCGGCCTATTTTTCATACTACAATCACTTGGGATGTTGGATCTTGTCCTAATGCCTGGTCCCTTACCTGGAGAGCTGGATTCAGTTGGTCTGGAGCATGGCCTGGGGGAGAGAAGAATGTTAGAAAAGTGCCCAGGAGATCCTCCCATGCACACAGTACTGAGGAATGCTGGTAGGATGGCTTGTTTAGGAAAGGACCTGAGAGTTTCCCACTGAGCTCCCAAGAGGAGCTAAGAGCCTTAGCAGGAAATGTCACACATGGGGGTTTGTTAGAACTGGCTGGGTTCGCCTCAAAAGTTCCAGGACTTATATGCCTGGCAGCTGGTATCATTTTGATTAGCAGAGCCTTAGGCCTGGGAAAGAGGTCTATCTCCAGCCCTCTGTTCAGTATCTCAGTAGAGATGCCCAGAGACACTGACCCTCCTGAACCTGTCAGATAAATGCAGGAACCAGAACAAAGTTGATAAAGTTGCTAATAAAAACCCTTCAGGACTGGGTGATGTGGTGCACACCTGTAATCCCAGCAACTCAGGAGACTGAAGCAGGAGGACTGCAACTTTGAGGCCAGCCTCAACAATTTGCTGAGTCCTTCAGCAACCTAGCAAGACCCTGTCCCAAAATAAATGAGAGCAGGGGAAGTGGCTCAATGATAAAAGACTCCTGGGTTCGACTCCCAGCATCAAAAAAAAAAAAGAAAAGAAAAAAGAAAAAAAGAAAGAAAGAAAAGAAAAAGACAGCAAATCCTTAAAGAATCTCTTAAATGAATTGTGTAAAATCAGGAAAGTGTTTAGCATATCAGAATAACAGCAGCTACATTCTCAGCACTTTCCATGTTCCAGGCAGTGTTGGGAGTGCTTCTTCCTCTGTGAACTCATTCCATTCTCACAATTACCTGTAGCATAGGTGCTGTTCTCATCCCCAGATGAACTGCCTGAGGCAGAGAGTTTAGATAACTTGCCATAGGTCACACAGCCAGTAAGCGGTGAACTCAGGCATGAGTCCAGGTAGTCTACTATACCTGGCACCAGTTTAATCAATTGTCTATCACTTTCAACAGTGCAAATATTTCCTCTGTAATCTTGTTCAGACCATTAACTGACTTCTGGAAAGGAAAAGGACACACTTGTGCAGCAAGCTTTATTTAGTTGAAGTAACTGTACAGGAATAGCCTGCTAATCGGAAAGGCTGCACTGTGCAAGCCTTCCAGAACCAAGTGTCTTCTTCTTGCCCCAGATCGCAGTCCTGCCCGGAGCCCTGCAGCTGGCTCAAGTCTACACCGCTCCACTGAGGACCTGAGGATGAGGCAGAGCGCAAATTATGGACATCTGCGTGAGTGTGTCCTCTACCACTCAGTGACAGCTTCGTTCTGATCATGACAGCTATGGAATGACCATATTTTCATAGATGGAGGAGGTGGAGGACAGGATCTATCTATAATTCGCAGAACATGTACCAGGAGAAATTGAACTTTTACTCTAATTTGGGTTGTTCTGAGGGTCTGATTGACTCCTATACTATTCCAAATAATTCCTCTGAACAATGGAGCTCAAAGTCAATCCCTGGCATAACTGATACCAACCCTGTGTTCTAGGCATGTTTCTCTTAGTCTAAACCTTGTTTTCATCAAAATGATGACTTGCCCTGTTTTCTGGTGAAAAGTCTTCCTAGAAATGGAATTAAAAACAGGTGAGATCCTTTCCCCGCAGGTCAATTAGACAGTATTTCCATCCCTGATGACAATCTTTCCAACAGGAAAAAGAAATGTGGGCAGAGTTGTTGCCTTTTATTTGCTAGGAATGGATTAGGGGGCTTGTGAGGTGAAAGATCACTGACAGGCTTTTTTAGGGGTGATGATCAGGTGAGCTATGAGGAAAGAGAGAACTTAGAAAATGAAGAGAAAAACAAAAAGCAATGTGGAATATTTTCCTTCAACTACTTTTACTAAAATTCTGACATTTGAACAGGTGCAGCCCAAGACTGTGCCACTGACCAGGTTGGAGGAATGACTTGGGGACCATGTGCCTCTGTCCATGGCCTCTGCTACTGAAAGCTCATTTTTTCTTTGTGCCAATGCCTGAGTCCCAAGTCTCCCACCCTGTTATTCCACATAGGGCTGCTAGGGGACAGTGGGTCAGTACACAGAATGGGGATTGGGCAGACCTTCCCTTCATTATCATGGGAATGCCATGCCTCCCTGCTTCCTGGTGGGAACCCCAACAAGAGGCATGAGTAAGTGACTACAGGTTTGTGTGAACTGTGTCATAGTCAAGGTGTGCACCCCACCCCATGATCACCCACTGAATGGGCCACAATGGAGAAACCTCAGTGAGGAGGGAACACACAACTGAGTCTTGGAGATAAGCAGGTTTCCAGAAACAAGGGGGAGGAAGAGGCTGTTCTATAACAAAGCCACAAACAGCAGGCAAAGGGAAGGAGCTATCAAGGGAAAGAACACTGGTTCATTTCACCAGGTGCATAAGGGTTAGAGGAAGAGAGTGTCAAATCAAACAGGGCCTTGAACCCAGAAAAAGTACCCAGACATCATTCTGAGGGTAATGGGGACCACTACAAGCTCAAAGCAGGAGCAGGCCATAATCAGATTTTTATCTGAGAAGAATAAACAAGAAATGGGCAAGACTGAAAGCAAGAGACTAAGCCAGCATTCAGGAATACAGAGGAACGGACCAAGGTGGCATATAACCACCTGTGGGAGTAGGAGAGGAAGAAGAGGGAATAGCCACAGCTGGCTCCTAGGTTCCTCTCTGAGTGACCGGTAGGCGAGAGGGAGGAGGCATTGAGTGGAATTGAGCCTGTGGAGAGAATAGTTTGGTGGGAGATAATGAGTTGAGTTTGAGGTGTCAGATGAGGCTGCTCTAGTGAGTCTGGAGTTCAGAAAAGAAATGGGACTGGAGATCCATCCTCAGTGTCATCAGGCCAGATTTGCAGTAGGAACACCAGCAGTGAATATGATTGGCCAGGGAGGGAGAGGTTAGGCCTCTGAGGGCCTCTTGACAAGACAAGACCCCGAGGCAAGTCAAGAAGGAGAGGATCCTGGGATGGAAACAAGAGAACAATGTTCTGGAAGCAAGAAGTGATCATAGGCCAAAATCAAGAAATTCTAGATCTGAGAGGGTCTACTGGATTGGCTGCTTGTGGGAAATGAAAACTGATTCCCAGAGGAAGGAACTCTTGGCAGTTCAGACAATACTTTGACTGTTGGAAGCCCATCTCCCTTCCCTCTTTCAGCCCCTCTCCAAACACTGTCATGGGTCATGGAGGATGGAGGTGAAACGAGTCTCTCTGGCTGACATATTTTAAGCTTAGTGACATCTGGCTCCTCACCTAAAACTGCATCTCTGTACCTTCTCACATCTGGAACAGACATCTTAGTTAAGTCCAAGAAGTTGAAGCCAAGAGGTGGAGACCAGAGTGAAGTAGATTCAGAAATGAGAAGGAAGAAGAGGAACCAGGAGTCTAGTTATTCTTTCAAGAAAGTCACCATTGAAGGGAAATAGAGTGAAAGGATATTAGCTTAAGGGGGCTTCAGGATTAAGGGGAGGAGTTCTTATTTCTCTTATGAACATGGGAAAGGAAGGAGTAGGATCCAAGGGAAAAGGACCTGCAAGATCCTAGCTTCCTCTAATGACTTTCTTTTCCTTTTCTCCTAGGTCACGCCCAGAGCAGAAGTATGAATGACATCTCTCACACCCCAAACACAGACCAGGTAGAAAAGCCCCTCAGCTTGGCTGCAGTGGAGGGCTGGGCAGGCAGAGCCTTTGGGTTTCTTTCAGGGGCAGAGAGCTCCTAGGGGAACAACAAAGGAGTGGCAGTCCAGGAAGTACCCTTGAGGAGGACTCTGGGCTGCCTTGGTGACTGCCTTGCCCATGAGTCAGGTACTGACTGAATTTGCAGTGCTGGCTCTGTTCTAGGCCGGATGGCCAGGAGTCGGGGACAGATAAGGTACCAGCTGTCCTTGAACTCAGGATTTGCTGGAGAGAGAGGACACAGCAAGAACATATAGCTTCACCTTCACCTCATGTCCCAATTGTACCTTTAAAGATGGGATAGGAATTGAGAATGGCAGAGAGGAGGAAGAGGAGCCTCCCCATGGAGGAAATGATGATAGCTAATTAATTGGACTGTCCAGTAGTGCATCTTCTTTCTTAGCGAGGGCAGGAGAACATTGACCTAGTCTCCCACAAGCTGGGTTTCTTGATGAGATCAGAATACCACAAAAGGTTGAGTCTAAGTCCTAAGGCCCACAGCCAGGAACTCAGGGGCCTTACCACCTGGGGAAGCTCACAGGAGGACCCCTCGATCCTGACCTCCATGTATCTCAGGGGCAGGATATCCTGTGCCCCAGAATAAGTAAGGAAGGTGACAAAGAAAACTGAAACAAACTCCCTGAGGAAGGGGATTCTGGACTGCCTTGGTGACTCTGCCTACTCCGTCAGCCAGGTACTGACTGAGTCTGGCTAGGGTGCTGCCCCTTCAAGGTACCCCCAAGTCTGGTGGAAATCAAAACAAAAGCAGTCATCATATCCAAAATACTAAAATAATAACAATAACATGAACCAACATTGAGGGTCCATATACAGCATGTACTACACTGAGCCCAGCATATTCTGTGCATCATGAAGGCAACACCATCATCCCCATTTGACCTATGAGAGAACATTGAAGCTGGACATGATTAAATAACATGTCCAGGGCCATATTGCCAAGAGGTGGCAGAACCATGACCTGACCCAGGCAGTCTGACTTTAGAGTGCTTACTTGGGAACAATTTAGAAAGCAGTCAGTCTCCTGAAATATTATTTGAAGAGGAACACCACTTCATTATAGTCATGCCCACTGACAATGGAGTCAGGATAAGAAAGCATTACCTAGAATGATCTTTCATAACTTATTTTAGTAAAAGTCTCAGTGGAGTTAATAATACTGGCTGTCACTTTACCAGGCAATGCTTTGATTTAAGGATTGGACCTTAGTACCTGGTACCAGCATGTTTCTCCTGAATGGCACCTGATGCTGCTTCTCAATATTTGTGACGTCAGTGCTTGGTACCCCTTTATCTACTCTTTAGGTGTGAGCCCAGAGGCATTGGCCCTGCACTCTTTCTCCATCATTGGTTTTGCAGGGTTAAGCTCCATGCCCACCTCTAGCTGGTGGGTTCCCAGTGAACAGAGTAGATTCACACAGCTCCCCCTGCTGCCGATCCTGTACTGCAGGACTAGGCCAGAGACTGTGCCTGAGACAAAGGGACTTTTTGAGTATTAGGGACTCTGGCCTTCCCATCAACTCCTGCCCTTGCTTATTCTCACCATGTTAGGATCCTCAGGACTGTTGCTGATTGCCTGGGAGGTTGTAGAGGTTTGTTTTCTTTCCCATTGAATTTAAAAGATTATAAGGGTGAAGGCCTTGTTCACGTGTTCTTCCTTGTGCTGGTGGACCACCCTATCCAGTGTGTATCATACCCTCCAAGAAGTAAATCAGGAAACAATTGGCACAGAGGGGAAGGACCTGTTGGCCATGTCCATGCCCACCACTGACCCCTCTACTGGTACAACAAGAGACACAGGGGACCTGTGTCTTCACTGAGCCTACAAGAAACAGATATTACTGTGCCCACTGGAGATATTACAACAGAGAGTAGACTGGAGGGCAATCATGATGTCCACAGAAGCTCCCTTCAACCCTGACCTCCACCTGAAGGTGCTGGCCTCCATTCTGTGTCTGCCACTGTAGACTGAAACCAGCCTTGCCCTCCCTTTCCTTCCTCCTACAATATCACCTCTGCCTCTTATCCATCCCCTTACTGCCCAATGAGTAGGCAATCTGAAAAAGTAATTTATTTTAGGATAAGGAGTAAGAAGAGCTTGTATGTGACTGTCCCTGGGGCATTTTTATCATAAGAGGACTCAGGGGAAATAAAGCCATAAACAGAGAGAGTGGGAACAATACCTGGCATATCCGACCCTATCATTCTATTTTATCTTCCTGTCCTGGACAGACACTAGTCAGAGAGACTCCCCAGTCCCAGGCCACCTTGAGAGTCTCACCTGGAAAGTTGCAGAAGTTATGAGTTTCCTAGGAGGTCCTGTGGTGGTCAACCTGGGACAACTGCAGACTTAGAGAATGGTCACCAGTCTTCCTGTGACCAGGAAGCATGTGATGAGGGGAAAATTAAGCCATTCCTTGCTGGCCATCAAAACAGGCCTCACCCACCCTCTGACACCAAAAGTGAAGCAGAGAGGAGAGGTCTGGTCAGCTGGACTGTAAATGCTGAGATTCCCATCTGCTTGGACAAAGGAGGTTGTCCAACAGGTCTCAGGGCTCTCTTCTCAACCCCTTGACCCACACTGCAGTTAATCGGTCTTCTCCCATCAAAGAATACATCAAAGGTCAAGTCACTATCTGTATTTTCCCATCTGCAAAGACTTAATTGGTCTCTGGGGTTAACCACCATTCAGTCCCTCATCTGCAGAATCAAGGGACGTGTTTGATTATTTCTTTTAGTCTTTTGAGAAGTACTGGGAAATTTTTTTAAGTTAGGCCCCCAGTGAGGGAGGAAGAACATGTGGAATATTCTTGGGTATCTCATTTCCCCCTCCCTGAGCAGCGGAAAAACAAATTCATGAAGAAGATCCCCAAGGACTCAGAAGCCTCCAATGTACTTGTGGGTGAGGTGGACTTCCTGGATCAGCCATTCATTGCATTTGTGCGTCTCATCCAGTCTGCCATGCTAGGTGGAGTGACTGAGGTGCCCGTCCCTACCAGGTGAGAGAGAGCCTCAGAAACCTGCCACCATGCCAGTCCTGAGAGTGCCAGCTGTCTGTGTGTTCAGCAATCTGTGCTCATAGGGACACCCCTTAATGTATATATTTGCTGGACAAGAATTTGATAGTTTATTCAAAAGAATCATAGAAGAGAAGGTGGCAAGAGCAGAGGGAGAAGCATTTGGGTGGGCTTGGGCAGCAAGACAAAGGTGAGGATGCTCCAGGGGGAGCTTAGTGCAAGCGAAAGAGGAATGTTTCTCCAACAAAAAGATTCAAAGGAGGGAAGCTAGGGGCTGGGGTGTAGCTCAGCAGCAGAGCACTTACTTGCCTAGCATGCATGAGGCCCTGAGTTCAATACCCAGTACTGCAACATACACAAAAAATGAGAGAACTTAAAAATTTAGCAATGGATACTATTGAGGACCAAAGAATCCTTCTCTTCCACTTGATCCTATTTTTCTTTCTCATTTTTCTCCTCCTCCTTATACTTCATCTTCTTTGCAGATTTCTGTTCATACTGCTGGGACCTTCTGGGAGAGCAAAATCCTACAATGAAATTGGCCGTGCCATTGCAACCCTGATGGTAGATGATGTAAGTGGTGACTCCTGAATGTCATAGCTCCTGCACCAGCACTGTTCCTTCATTCACTGAGTCATCTAACAGGCACATTTGAGCACCTACTGTATACCAGACCCTGTGCAGGGTACTGAAGATTATGAGATTCAGGGAATATCAATGGGTCCTTTAGAAGCACCTATCAAGTGGGAAGGACACAGCTATAATAATAAAATTAACCATGTGCTAGCTGCCTAGGCAGTCAAGGAGGGCTTCACAGATGAAGAAGCTGTACAACTCAGATGAGCAGGAAGTAGGTGGGTCCAGTACCAGCCTAGGAGACAAACCCTCCCAACGAAAGGAACAGGGATCAAGGCTCAAAGAAGCTGGATGGAAGTGATCCAATACAGGCTCAGTATAAGAACTTTGAGGACAGGAAGTGATACCAGAGAGGTGAGTCAGAGATTATGCAGAAATTGTGAGCAAATTCTAGAGTTCATGAACTCTGTCCCCAGAATGATAAACTGCCCAGAGGACTTTCCACATTGGCATAATCTGTAAGTCAGACAGCATGCTCTGGAGACAGCAGGCAACCTGACCCTCTAAGAGTGATGGGCTAGAAAGTAATACATGGATTTGAAATATGAGCATCTTGGACCGGACTCTAGGTTTTCTAATGTGCTCCTCTGTGGAAAACTGAAACCAGAAGTGTTCAGCAATTCAACCAAAGCCCTATAGAAGGAATATGGAAACCTGGGCTTCAGATAGCAAATAGGCTGTCTTGCCTTGGTGCTGGCTCTAATTGGGTCCTATTTTCCCCTGGTACTGTGTTCTCATCCACCACAAAACTGAGTAAGTTGGCAATGAGAGCAACAATTGAAAGTGATTCCATTGCAGCTAGCTGTGATGTGCTCAGGAAGGTGGATAAGAAGGGAATGTCAAAAAGAGAGCTGACCCCTTTTTTGTCCCTTGATCCTTGCCAGCTCTTCAGTGATGTGGCGTATAAAGCCCGCAATCGCGAGGATCTAATTGCAGGAATTGATGAGTTTTTGGATGAGGTCATTGTTCTTCCCCCTGGAGAATGGGACCCAAATATCCGAATTGAGCCACCCAAGAAAGTGACCTCGGCTGACAAAAGGTGTGTATATGAGTGGAAGGGATGGGGATGGGGAGATGAGGGAAAGCAATTTTGTTGGTATCATTTTGTTTCTCTTTGTAAAAAATCAGAAATAAATATGGCTAAATGTGAACATTTGTAAAATTGGGGTGACCTCTGTGTGGGTATTGTTAGAGCACTTTCTGCATTTTCCCATCTTTTGAGATATTTATTGAAGACGTGAAGATGTTCCAGGGACAGTCCTGAAGGGCTGGGACTCTCCTAGCATTGGGAACCCCACTCGTTCCCATCCCTCTTCTCTTCCAGGAAATCTGTGTTCTCCCTGGCTGACGTAGGCCAAATGAATGGCTCCGTGGGAGGAGGTGGTGGCTCAGCTGGAGGAGGAGGCGGTGGTGGCGGTGCTGGTGGCGGTGGCAGTGGTGCAGGAGGCAGCGGGGATGATGGAGAGATGCCAGCTGTGCACGAAATTGGGGAGGAGCTTATCTGGACAGGAAGGTGCCCACCCCAGGCCTGAGAGAGACCCTGCTGTGCTTTCAACTTCTCTCCTTCCCACCACTTTTCCTTTCCCACCACTGGGTACAGCACCAACATGGGGCCTTAGAACAGACCAGTCTTTTTCTTTTTCTTTTTCTTTTTCTTAGTCTTTTTCTTTCTGAGCCCTCCAAGCCCCTCTTGGATCCTGAGGAGGGTTGCCAGAGTGGGGAATAGGAAATCTGACCCAGGAGTGGAGGAACCCAGACTTTTCACTAGACATCCTTTGGTACCTGTATTTATTTCCTAGAGCTGCCAAAACAGAGCACCACAAACTAGGTGGTACAAAACAACAGGTTATTTGCCCACAGTTCTGGAGGTCAGAGGTTCAAAATCAAGATGTAGGCAGGGCCATGTTCCATTTGAGACTCTGGGTAGAATCCTTCCTTGCCTGCTCCTAGTTTCTAGTGGTAGCCTACAGTCTTCATCATTCCTTAGCCTGCAGCTGTGTCTCTTCAGTTTCTGTCTGTGTCATCATGGGCCTTCTTCTCCGGTTAGGTCTGTCTCCATGTAGCAATGCCCCTTTCTTTTTTCTTTTTTATAAGGATACCCATCTTATTGGACCATAGCACACCCTAATGACTTCATTATAAACTTGATCAAATCTGCAAAGACCCTGTGTCCAAATAAAGTCATAAGTCCTGGGGGTCAGGGTTTTAATATATCTTTTTAAATATATTTTTGATATATTTTTGATAAATTCTCCTAGCCTGGGTTCTTTGCCAGCTCTTAGTGTCTCTCAGGTTAATCTAGGCTTAAGAAAGGACTTTGAGAACAAAGTCAAGCTTTATATACCCTTGGCTCTATACCAGTGATTTTCAACTGAAAACAACTTTTCCCTTCTTTAATCTTCACCCCACCCTCACTGTCTCCTGCTACTCTCTCTACCTTTTGGCTCAGGGAATTTGGCTGCAGACCAAATGTCTTTTCATTTGGAGAGGAAAAGCTACTGGCATCTAATGTGTAGAGGCCAGGGATACTATTAAATACCCTACAATACAAAGAAGAGAATCATTCCAATAAAGGATTATTCAGTCCAAAATGTTAATAGTACTGAGGCTGAGAAACCCTGCTATAATAAGTGCTGGTTTAGGAGCTCTATGGAATAGCATGCTCAATAAAAACTTTCTCCAAACCTAAATTTCCCACTCAATTGTTCCAGGGAGCAAAGAAACCAGTTATCAAGGTTTGAATGTACCCTCAATGAGTTCACGTTATAACCTGGGATATCTCCATCTTCTATAGTTGGCCATACCTATATTTACCATGCACAGGGGCCCTGTAGATAGTCAGGGATGTGAGGATCACCACCATCTGAGGATCCCAGAATGTTCATTCCTATGGGATAGTCTCATCAGAACCTTCCTCCCTAAAACAAGTTATGTCCACCCTTCTCAGGGTGAATGGTGCTGACTACAAATTTTGGATCCTGCAAGAATTCTCTGGTTCCAAATGTGCTGGTGAAAAGATTCTTGTCCCTAGCCATCCCCGGTCAAATTCCCTTCCTCACCCCAGATTCTGCAGGACCCTAAAAATAGCCCTGCCCCTGCACTGGTGTTTGTGGTAAGAAAGCTACCCCTGGGCCTGTCTCAAACAGGTTCTTTGGTGGACTATGTCTGGATATCAAGAGGAAGTTGCCTTGGTTCCCAAGTGACTTCTATGATGGCTTCCACATTCAGTCCATCTCTGCCATCCTATTCATCTACCTCGGCTGTATCACCAACGCAATCACCTTTGGTGGGCTTCTGGGAGATGCCACCGACAACTATCAGGTGAGTGTGAACCTGAGAGAAATTGTAAGTAAAATCCGCTGCCACATGGTGGCAGTTTTCAGTCACTGTCTAGGTTTATGCCATTCTTTTTTATAACCCTTTTCCCTTTCAAAAGAAAGAAGGAAGGAAGGAAGGAAGGAAGGAAGGAAGGAAGGAAGGAAGGAAGGAAGGAAGGGAGGGAGGGAAGGAGAGAGGGAGGGAGGGAAGGGAAGGAAATTAAATTAATAATTATTAAAGACCAAATTTAAGGATGATATAAATATGCCAACATTTAAAGGGGTATCATTTACTTTGTTATTTGGCACTTTACCCCTGATAATTGAACTAACTTAATCAACACAATTAGTTGAGTTGTTAATTGTGAACTTCTCCCCACTTTTTTTTTTACACCAACTTTGGTTTCTTAGTTTGGAGTTAAGACATTTATAGAGGGATGGTAAGTTGTTACCATGACAACAAAATAGCTGGGGAAAATAGCTCAGCAGAGACACCCTCCTTCCTCTCCAGTGAACACCTTATGGGGATAGAGTCATTGGGAAGCTCAGGGCTCCAAGGAAAGGGCTCATTTCCCCAGGTAGGTCAGATGAATGCCTATTGCCAGCCCTTATCTCTCCCCTGAGTTTCAAGTTCGGTGTCCAGCTACCTCCCAAGCATATCCTTATAACTACCCCTTGAGATCCCCCAATTCACACAGATAGCATTGCGTCCATTATCTTCTCTCCTGACCTGCTATGCATAAGCCTTTCCCAGTATAACAAGTGACACCATGACCCAGCCAGTTGTGTCACGCCAGAAACTAGGCATCACCCTTAACTCCTAAATCCCGGCTTCCCCTGGTGGCCCTTATGGCATGGCTCTACTTGCCTCTTAAGCCTCAGCTCCTGCCATTCTTTCTCAGAATTCCTGATCTACTCATACATTCTATAATCTGTTTTCCATCAATCCTGATCATCTTTAAGTTCTTCAAAGACATGCTTCCTTTCAGCTCCAGCTTTGAATACACTGTTCCCTTTTTGGGGACACTCATTCTCTTTACTCCAGTTAACCCTGTTCTCTTGAACAATCCCTGTTCATGTTTTGGGTCTTGGCTTCCACATATCTACATCTAGGGTGGCCTTTCTGACTACCTTTTCTCTCTTACTGTACACTCCTATGACACCCAGAACCCATCCCACCTTATTGCACTCCTTGACAGGAGTTCTCAATGGGGACAATTTTGACCTAGGAGACATTTGGAAATATTCAGAGATAGATTTGATTATGACAACTGGGAGGAATGGCTACTGGCTTCTAGTGGGTAGAGGCCAGGGAGACTGCTAGACATCCTATAATACAAAGGACAGACCCCATCATGGAGAATTAGCCTGGAATACCAATAGTGTTGAGGTTGAAAACCCCTGATATACGGAAATCGGTTCCTTATCTATATCCCACTAGATTCAATATGGGTTATCTTATTCACTGATGGGTCTCCAACACCTAGCACAATGCCTGGTACCTAGTAGGCACTTAATGGGTTTTGAAAGAATGAATTGTCTTAATTCTAAAGATATCAAATAGATGTTTGAATGAATGAATGAATAGATGGATGAATGGGCTGTCCTCTGTGAGTAGAATGAACACAATACAAGCATATTCATGGTTTTCTAGGACCTGGGGTGCCAAAAGCAAGTCACAAAGGACCTTCATCCAAATTGAACTAGGGTAACACTGGACATGGTGGCAAATTGTGGGAGATGGGAAGCAAAATTTGGGGAGAAGAGAGAACATATTTTGTTTGGCCAGAACAAAATATGAACAAAAGCTCTTGGAGAGATAGCTGGGTTGCAACCTGTATGTGGAAGCCCCTTCTGCTACCTCTGCTAAGCTTCACACTTCTCATGCCCCCAGGGAGTGATGGAGAGCTTCCTAGGCACTGCCATGGCCGGCTCCTTGTTCTGCCTCTTCTCGGGACAGCCTCTCATCATCCTCAGCAGCACAGGGCCCATCCTTATCTTTGAGAAGCTCCTCTTCGACTTCAGCAAGTAGGTGTCCTTTTGGTGATGCCCCATGCCATCTCTTGCCCATAGGGCTGTTAGCCAAGGCCAAGACACAGGAATAGACAGGGCCTAGGAAGTGCCAAAGTCACCTTTAAACAAGTGAGAGACTGTCAGGTGGATCCTCCTGGCTTCTGCCAGCTACCTGCCTTTAAGATGACTATTTTAGTGTGTATTAGCACAGCCCACAGGGAGCAATCCAGGCAAGACAAGGGAAGAAGACTCATACCATGCTGTTCACTTGAAAGTCAGTGTAGTGTTTGAAAGTCTTGGGCTGGAGGTCAGTTGTGTCACGCCAGAAACTAGGCATCACCCTTAACTCCTAAATCCCGGCTTCCCCTGGTGGTCCTTATGGCATGGCTCATGCACCCAGACTCAGGCAACTCCCATCACTCCAGGCTCTGCTGCCTCATCTACACCCCAAGGGTTTGATTCAACTATGCCTAAGGCCTGCTTCAGCCCTATTCATCTGAAATTTCCTGTTTTTCATTCACGCTGGGTGTCTGTGACCAACTATGTGAGCATTGAGTGCCTCAGAACCTTCCTGCATACCTCCTGCATGAGATCTTTTCCTAGACTTCTCAAAGATCAGGCAACCCCACCCAGGAATTGTCCCTGTCCCCAGTACTTTGACTGTCCCTAGGAGGGCACCTGTGCCACAGGAGGGGGAAATGAGCTGCTAAGGGTGGGTCTGGGAAACCAAGCTCAGGAATCCTGGACTGGAGGACCGCCCCCCACTTTCCCTCTGCCTTCCAGAGGCAATGGCCTAGACTACATGGAGTTCCGCCTCTGGATTGGCCTACACTCAGCCATCCAGTGCCTTGTCCTGGTGGCCACAGATGCCAGCTTTATCATCAAATATATCACCCGCTTCACCGAGGAGGGCTTCTCCACCCTCATCAGCTTCATCTTCATCTATGATGCCATCAAGAAGATGATCGGTGCCTTCAAGTACTACCCCATCAACAGGGACTTCAAGCCCGACTCCATCACCACCTACAAATGCGAGTGTGTTGCCCCTGACACAGGTGACCGGTAACTCCAGACATGCCCTGCCCACCCCCCCCCCATATTCTTCCCTAGAACCACAGCTCTATCAAATGCAGGAAAGCCTGCTTGAGAGGGGCTATTCAGCCTGGCATTCCAAGGGAGCCGCACAGGGTATTGAACCCAGTTTTTGGAAGGAAACCAAGAGAACAGTAGCCTTAATATCAACTCCCAGGGCTGTGATCAGAAGGGTATGGGGGTATCTCAGGAAGGCATAGGCACAGTTTGCCTCAGTGCAGGGTGATGTGGAGGCTACACCTGTCAGCATGCTACCCAAGCCAGAGGTAGCTCTTTTGGTGCCTAATGTCCCTCCTCATATATTATATTTTTTTCTATCATTGCATGACACCTTATTCCCAACACATTGCTGCCAATGTGGTCTCATACTTTATAAGGTGAGAGCACATCAGATGGATGAACATCCCTACAAACAGGAACACCTCCAGTGTGGAGGGCTTGCCAATCATGCCATTAGAAAAACAGTTGGATAACCTGAGGTTATTTAGCTTCTTAGGGATAAGAGAGGTATGAGAGAAGAACTGTCATGCCACAAGGGACACAGGATGTTGAACAAATTGAGGAGCTGAAGTTTCAGGGAACCAGATGCTAGCTGACTCTGGGAAAACTGTGCAACGGTGGGAGTCGCTATCATGGGAAATATCTGCCAATTATTTGGACTCTCTGGAAGTCTGTGTGCCAAGAGATCCCCATACTAGGTGGGAGGTTTAATCAACCCACTGGTCAACCTGATAATAAGTATTCAGTGCCATTCCTGTGGAGTTACTTTATGGACCAAAACCTGTCATCTGGAAACTTAGAATTTCTCATAGAATCTCATCTCCTGACCTCCCTCACAGCAATAAGCATGGCCCTGAGAGCATTCAGTGGGGTATACCCAGGGTGCTGCAGAATAGGAATAGGAGATCCACCCCACTTCTCCAAGCAGCACCAGGCTGGACTCACAGAGAGCAAACTGAGGCCCAGAGGCCACCCAAGGTCACACCAAACCTCAGTTTCCCTAGATATAAAAGGGGGACGTCAATGTTGGCTCTACCAGTTTTGTGGGGCTCTTATGAGGTTTTCAAATCTATACCCAGGTTTGGTTAAAGGAAATAAGTAAACATTTGGGTTTTTAGTCCCTTAATACATTACTATGAGCCAGACAGAGTGATCTCAGCCTCACCTGTGATCCCAGCTATTCAGGAGGCTGAGGCAGGAGGATCACAAATTTGAGGCCAGCCTGGGAAACTTAATGAGACTGTTTCAAAATAAAAGTTTAAAAAGGACTGGTGGTGCAGCTCAATAGTAAAATTCTTGCCTATCTTGATTAAGGCTCTGGGTTCAATCCCCAGTGCTATCAAAAAATACAAACAAATAAGCAAAAAATTCAAAAGCCGTTACTATGTATAAAAAAAAAAGGTGATCACAAGTCAATCAAAAATATTGGTAGCACAATTTTTTAGGGTCTTTGGAACTTTATGGAAGATAAAATGCCTTGTCTTCAAGGAGTGTGGTTTTGATTACACCCCTGCTCCCTGTCACTGCACTGATTTTGTAAAGAAGTCAAGATTTAATTTTTTCTTATATTTTTTCTATCATTAATTTTGAGTTATTCTATTAAAATCCAATGATAGGTAAAGCTATCCTTGGTCCAGAGTCAGGGCACATTGCTTGTCCAGAACATTGAAGAGATCCTACCCACTGGCCCTTTTTATTCTGCCCTGGGGCAAACCCTGCCTCTGGGCCAGGTTCCATCTGGGTGCTCTTGTTTACAGCTTGTACATTCCTGACTCTAGATTCATTACACTGAGCACAAATTTCCCACAAACATGACTTTTAGAATCATATTCCTTGATCTCTTTCTATAAACATTCGAAGTTCTGGAGTCATATGAAGACCTTTGGCTATTCTGAAAATCATCTATCCACAGGAGAAACCAAACCTAAAAATGCCCTAGAAACAGAGGATGAAGGAACAAACAAAGTAGCATTCAAGGAGCATAATGAAGCCACTTCATTTCCAAATAGGTTCCTCTCTGGTCTTGCCCAGAGGCTTGATGTCACTTCATTCTTTGGGTCTGCTGTTGTCATGTTTCTCAAAGTGTGGTCCCCAGACCCACAGCTTTATCACCATCTGAGAACTTGTCAGAAATGTAAATTCTTGGGCTCTGCCCCAGACCTGCTGAATCATAAACTGGGGCAGGGTCCAACCATCTATGGATTAACATACCTTCCAGGTAATTCTGATGCCCCCTCAAGTTTGAGAGCTTCTGCTCTCTTGAACTATTAATTAATACACTGAGCCATTATTAACTACTAACTACAATAAGATTAGGTATTCAGGGGCTGGGCTGTAGTTCAGTGATAGAATACTTGCCTCTAATGTCTGAGACACTGGGTTCAACTCTCAGCAATATATATCTACAATTAAAATAATTTTTAAAAAAGATTAGATCTTCAGTTTCTTCACTGAGAATAAAGGAATTAGAACCAGAACAAGTTAGTTCTGATTAGGAGACTATAGAAAGGAAAGTTCTAGATATGTAGGAAACTAGGGAGTGGGGAACTAACTGTGGTTTCTTTCCAGTTCATGAGTCATCTAATTACTAATTGTTCCATTTTCTTAGGTATACTGAAAAGGAAAAAAAAAAACAGCTTAACTATGGCATACTCTCATTCTTTGTCACTCTTCCTAAGCGCTTGTTTGGGGGCACTTTCTTTTTACATTTAATTTTGTTTCCATTGTAACTGATTTGTATTCTGTTTATGGATGCTGCAAACACTGATTTGGCTGCTTTCAATCCCAAGTGAGTACCACTTTTTGCACACTAGAATTTTACAATATTTTTGGACCCTTTCTGGAATTTTCCATGTTATATTTCTTCCATCTTCATCTTGAGTAGCTTTCAGATAAACTCTATAAAGTTCTTGATATAAAATAATTGATAAGCCTAAGGAAGACATCAGGAGGATGTCTGGCCTGAAAACACTGGGTGGTGGAAAATGTTTGACCTTCCCAGGTTTAAGCACTAACAGGGAATTCTCTAGCATGTCAGTGGGTCGCCTAGAGGCAGCTTCTTGGCCAGCTTCTCTGTCCCTAATGTTAATTGTGCATCATGTTCTTTTGGTCAACAATGTGAGGAAAGGCAACAGATGTCCATGATTTCTAATAAGTAACACTTTTGTCAGAACAATTTGAGCAAACCACTGGGTTTATAGAACTCCTAGTAATGTTCTACAAACTGAGCAAGACCGAGTTTGCCAGCAACCCAGTCCAGCTGCCCCAGAAGTGAGCACCTTAGCAGGGCCCTGTAGTCTATCCAACCCTGTGGACAGCTTGTTAGTGGTTGGGAGAAGCTTCAAGATTAAGCTCTTCTCTCTGAGTTCCTAACCAAATGTGGATAGTCAGCAGGGGCCAAATGGGGCTTGCAGAGCCTCTCAGGCTTTTTGCCAGCAAACTGGCTGGGGTTCCTTGATCTCCCTACACCTGCCACAGGGGAACTGCTTAGTCTGCCTTTGCTTGGAGGAGGAGAGTGAGGCAGGCCTGGCCTTCACTTCCACCCCTGCAGTTCAGGAGGAAGAGAGAGGGCAAGCAGTGGTCCTCTGAAGCCTGCCTTTGTCATGAGTAGCCACCAACCCTGGGGAGCCCCCCATGTGGGTGATGAGCTCTCCCCACAGGAAGGAGCAAGGGAGGCCCAACAGAGAGAAGGGAGAGTGGAAAAGTCCACATGGAAATGAGAGGAGGCAGATTATGTTTCCTCCAGCTTTCCTCAGGAACTGAAGGGACCCATAGGTGCTCCACTTAAAGGGACACTGAGGCCAGGGAAGGGAAGTGCCCGGCAAGAGACACAGTGGGAACAAATAAAAACAGAACCTTTGGGTTCCTGATTCTTCTTCAGGTCCTATACCGAGGTTATATTTTCCTTGTCTTCTATTAAAGGGGCAGATTAGAGAAGAGACTATCAAAGCCAATAAGTTCAAACAGGCCCAGCTGACCTTAAAAAAAAAAAAAAGTACATCTGGAAAGGGGCAGGAGAGAAGGGAAGTGTTGGTGGGGGGCGGGGGTGGCAAAGCTTGCTGTACCGAACTGGGAGGTTTATATGCTCTGGGCCAGCCTGCCTGGGATGGGATCATGGCTCCAAGTATGAGCTCTGTGACCTTGGGCAATAGGCAGGTTAACCTCTCTGGGCCTCAGTTACCTCATCTGTAAAATGGGGATACTTTATGGAGATTTGGGAACTTAAATGAGTATATATATATATGGGTTTGGCATAGTGCAAAGCATGTAGTTAATCCTTTAAAAATGTTAAGTCTAACAGCACACAAATGGGTCCAGTGGCCAGTAGAGATTCACAAGGCACATTATTCACCAACTTGTCTTAGCGTCAGATTCTTTATTTCAGTTTTTTCAAAACCAGCTGTTTATTGTCAGGCAGGAGATGTCCTACAATAGCTGGCCCAGCCTTATGTCTCAGTTCTGGCCCAGGCTCCCTCCCACCAACCCATTCCTAAAGACAGGGGCAAGAGAGGCAAAACAAGGAAGGTGAAGAGGGGCCAGGTATGATGAGCTGTCCTCATGATGGGAACCAATTTGGCTCTAAGAAACTGGAGTGAAAGGAGAAAGGGTGGGAGCTTCGTGGGGGTTGCAGATTCCCCATCCCAAAGCCTCTGACCTTCCCCATGTCCTTGCTCATCTACAGTGAATACAACTGTGTTCAATGCCTCAGCCTCGCCAGCACCAAACCTCAATGCTTCTCTGGTAAGTCCCTTCCTCTTAGGTCAGACGGTCAGGTGCTGTTTTGTGGGTGGGGGTAGTGAGAAGAGAGTTGGGAAACTGAGACCAACTCATGACAACCCAGACTCACAGAGGCCCAGGGGCACCCGCAGAGCTTTGCAAATGTGTACTTTTATTTTAAGATGCTTACATACTGTAAGCATCCCATCTTAAATCATGCCTCCTTCTATTGCATGCAATGCATAAATATGATATATACCTACAAATGAAGGGGAGGTAGCAGTGAGGATGGTAATAGGGCTGCACACACAACTGGAAACAAAGTTTCCCTTTCATCTTTCTTGATTTTCCTTCCCTTTCTACCTTGGACCACTAGTTCCCACCCAACAATTCTCTAGTCCCAGAAAGTTTAGTAGTGCTCCCCCTCCCTAATGAATCTGACCTGTCCTTTGACCTCCTTTGTCCCTGGGACTTCTATGTCTGACCTACCTTTCCCAATAATGAGGGGTGGTGGCCTTCAGGAGCCAATGTCCCAGCCTAAGTGGGTCTAATGGTGGGAAGCTCAAATCCAGGTGAAAGGTAGCCTTCATAGGCCTTGGGAGAGAAGTGGATGCTTTTAGGTTGCTTCTTAAGTTACCCTGCACAGGCAGTTGGTGACTCTGCTCAGACAATTCCAGTTGACGATTTAACCTAAGGTTTTCCAAATCCCAGGTCTTGAGAGAGAAAGAAAAGAATCAGTCAGTGCCTATTTCTCAATTCCTATTGTGTGCAAGATGCTATGTGCACTAAAAAATCAATGTGGGGCTGGGGGTGGAGTTCAGTGGTAGATCACTTGCCTGGCACATGAGAGGCCCTGGCTTCAATTGCCAGCATTGCAAAAAAAAAAAAAAAAGTAAATAAAGAAGACATAAATAAAGTTGGTCCCTGCCTTCCAACTTCCTTTTGATGTGCTTGTGAAGATGCACGTGAATAGTTATGGGAGGCAGGGGCTGGGTTTGTGGCTCAGCGGTGGAGCGCTTGCCTGGCATGGGCTGGACCCGGCTTTGATCCTCAGCACCACATAAAAAATAAAGGCATTGTGTTGTGTCCATCTACACCTAAAAAATAAATATAAAAAAAAAAGAGTTATGGGAGGCATGAGCAGAGCATGCCATGCATCAAATCTAGGCAAATCTAGGCCATATATGTTCTTCCAACCCTGGTGGCAGGAAAGAAAACTAGCTGGAGAGACCAGAGAAAGCCTCATGGAGAAAGTGGAATGTGCTATAAATATATTTATAGTCCGTGGAAACATATTCATATCCATGTATCTGCAAAAAATTTTAGAAATTAATAAGCCCATATGATTTTTATAAAAAGACAAAGTGGAATGTTTAAGGTTGGGAGAAGGTTGATTCAGTAGAGAGAAGAACATTCCAGGCGAAGGGAACATCAAAGACAGAGGGTCAAGGAAGAAAAGCACAAAACCTGTGCAGGAGACAACGAGTGGACTAGTTCAGCTAATATGAGAATGGAAGATTGACTGGGAAAATCCCAAGAGGCAAACTGGAAAAGAAAACTGGGACAGACCTGTGGGGCAGTAGAGGAACAATATTTGCAGGGAGCATTTTAAATTATATGTGGTGATTGAGAGATATGGCTGACATTCCGTAGATGGGGTCCCAAAATGCAAGACAGCATGGGACAGTCCCACACCAGACTCCTCACTTATGTGTCATTAGCAAATCTTGAGGTTGGGGCAGGAGGATCATAAGTTTGAGGCCATTGTGGAAAATGTAGTGAGATCCCGTCTCAAAAAATAAAAAGGGCTGGGAGTATGGCTCACACATACCACATACACACACAAAAAAAATAAAGTGGATTAAAGCAATAGAAGCAGCAATTATAATTCTCATAATTCTGTGGGATGACTGGCTAGTTCACTGATTTCACCTGAACTCAGTTTTGTGGCCTTTCAAGCTGGCAAGCCTGGTAGGGACTTGTCACAGGTGGAACAGAATGGCTCTACCTGTCTCTCCATGTGGTTTTCTCAGTCTTGAGTTTGTCACAGCATTGTGTTATCAGGTTTCCAGGAGTATGAAGGCAGAACCTGCAGGCTCCTTTCATTGCCTCCAAGTCACTTCCTCCCTCACTCTGTTGGTCTAAGCAGGTCAAAGACCAGCCCATATTCAGAGGAGTGAGAAAACAGACTTCCCCTTTAATAGGAGGACCATCAATGCCACACCGTACATGAGTGTGGATGAAGGAAGGCATGATTCATTAGGGACCTTATTGTAATGCTCTATTACACTTGTCTTAATACAAACATCCCTTATAGCTAGTTGTAAGCATCTGTTTACTTCATTATGTAAGGTTTCTAAATATTTACACATTAACTTTTTAGTTTTTGTTTTTAGGTTTTGTTTTGTTTGTGGTGCTGGGGATTGAACTCAGGGCCTTATGCATGCAAGGTAAGCACTCTACCAACTGAGCTGTATCCCAAGCCCTTACACATTAACTTTTAAAAATATGTATTAAATTGGGGCTGTGGCTCAGCCGTAGCACATTTGCCTGGCATGTGTGAGTACTGGGTCCTATCTTCAGCACCACATATAAACAAATAAATAAAATAAAGATCTAACAACAATTTTAAAAATGTATTAAATTGTATTATATTTATATAATACATTTTCTTCCTTCTTTTACTACTCTTAGGAATACATAAATACAGATATTCTTCAGTATTCACAGAGGTTTAACTCCAGGATCACCCAAAGATATCAAAATCTATAGATGCTGGGGCTGGGGTTGTGGCTCAGTGGTAGAGTGCTTGCCTAGCATATGTGAGGCGCTGGGTTCAATCCTCAGCACCACATATAAATAAATAAAATAAAGTCCATTGACAACTAAGAAAATATTTTTAAAAATCCATAGATGCTCAAATGCTTTATATAAAATGGTATAATATTTATATGCCCATCTCCTGGATATTTTAAATCATCTTTAGATAACTTATAATACCTAATACAATGTAAATGCTATGGAAATGGTTGTTATATTGTATCATTTAGGTGGTAATAGTAGTCTGTACATGTTTAGTACAGATGTAATTTTTTAAAAATATTTTTGATTCACAGTTGGTTGAATTCAAAGAAGAAAAACCCGTGGATACAAAGTATATAACATTTATATTTATATATAAAATTGCGTTGTTTTGCATGCCCTGAATTTTAGGATCTGGGACACAAATAGCTGAAATGACCTAAGAATGTACTGACAAAGGAGTGACGGAAGGGAAGGAGAGGAGAGAATAGTGTGAGATGTCAATAGACCCATGGTTGGTGGACAGCGACAGAAGTCCAGCCTACTAAAGGGGAAGGCATTCCCACCACTACTGTGTAGTTTCTTATTGCTAGCAAAGATATAGGGTGCACCCCAGAACACAATGAAAAAGCAAGTGTCAGCTTCCAATCCTCCCAGGGAGCTGCCTGCTTATGACTCCTTGAACAATTTTGTCCCCTGGAACACCATTCTGTTACTGAAGGCATCATGGTGGTGGGTGTGTGGGCTGCCTGGGATAGCAAGGGGAAGGACACGGCCAACCCACCAGGAAGGTTCTGACCCTTTCTCTCTTATGTTTGGTCTCCAAGTACGATCCCCTTAACCTCACAGCACTGGACTGGTCCCTGCTGAGCAAGAAGGAGTGTCTGAGCTATGGTGGGCGCCTACTTGGGAACTCCTGCCAGTTCATTCCAGACCTGGCACTTATGTCCTTCATTCTTTTCTTTGGGACTTACTCCATGACCTTGACTTTGAAGAAATTCAAATTCAGCCGCTATTTTCCTACCAAGGTAAGTGCACCATGCAGTTAGGAAGAACCTATAGTCAAACAACTATTGAGAAAAATGTCATCAGCTGGGCTGGTGACGCCTGCCTGTAATCTCAGTGGCTCAGGAAGCTGAGGCAGGAGGATCCCGAGTTCAAAGCCAGCCTCAGCAAAAGCAAGGCACTAAGCAACTTAGTGAGATCCTGTCTCTAAATGAAATACAAAATAGGACTGGGGATGTGGCTCTGTGGTTAAGTGCCCCTGAGTTCAATCCTTGGTACCCTCTGAAAAAAGGGCCACCTTGTGGGCACTTTTTCAAGTTAAAGCACATACTTCGGAGTCAGGGAGAATTGCAATCTCTTGTTGATAAGCCCTTTGGCAACAAATATTTCATATTTTCAGACTTTTACTTTTAGTCTTCCCGTGCAATAATAACTCATGTGTTTTTTTAAAATTTTTCAGTGCACCGACGACTAATGAAATTGAAAATCTTGTCATGTTTTTATTGACCATAAGGCCATTTGACTTTCTTCTTGGAAGTCTCTGTTTAAATCCTCTTGCACAGTTTTTATTGGGTTGTTCTTTACTTTCTGATGTGCAAAAGTTCTTTATATATTCTGAATACAAATACTTTCATGATGGTGTGTGTTGTGATATCTTTTCCCACTCTGTGACTGACCTTTTTATTTTTTAATACATTTTTTTAAGTTGTAGATGGACACACTACCTTTATTTTATTTGTTTATGTGGTGCTGAGGATTTAACCCAGGGCCTCACACATGCTAGATAAGCACTCTACCACTGAGCTACAACCTAAGACCCCTTTTTACTTTCTTTCTTTCTTCTTTTTTTTTGTTTTTTCTGTGGTGCTAGGGATCAAACCTAGGGCCTTGTACACACAAGGCAAGCATTCTACCAACTGAGCTATATCCCCAGCCTAATTTTTAATGCTATTATAAATGCTCATGCTATTTTTAATTTCAGTTTCTGTTTGTCTGGAATAAAATATGTATTAATCAAAACTGAACTTGCAGGCTGGGGTTGTAGCTCAATGATAGAGCACTTGCCTGGCATGTGTAAGGCACTGGGTTCAATCCTCAGCAATACATAAAAGAGTAAATAATAGGGAAAGATGGCGGAGGAAGAGCAAAGAAAAAAGATCCCTTTGGTTCCAGAAAATCTCCTGAAAAAGAGGAAGGCTTATCAGGCCCTCAAAGCTACCCAAGCAAAGCAGGCACTTTTGGCAAAGAAGGAGAGAAAAGGAAAAGAATTCAGATTTAAGCGACTGGAATCATTCCTACATGATTCCTGGCGGCAGAAACGTGACCACGTGCGCATCAGACGACTAGAAGTAAAACCTCATGCTTTGGAAGTACCTGATAAACATTCCTTGGCCTTTGTTGTACGAATCCAAAGGATTGATGGGGTGAGTTTACTAGTGCAGAGGACCATTGCAAGACTTCGTCTGAAGAAAATATTTAGTGGTGTCTTTGTTAAAGTCACCCCCAAAAGCCTAAAAATGCTACGGATAGTAGAACCTTACGTGACCTGGGGATTTCCAAATCTGAAGTCTGTCCGGGAACTCATCTTGAAACGTGGACAAGCAAGGGTCAAGAATAAGACCATCCCCCTGACAGACAACACAATGATTGAGGAGCATCTGGGGAAGTTTGATGTCATTTGTCTGGAAGACCTCATTCATGAAATTGCCTTCCCGGGGAAGCATTTTTGGGAGATCTCTGGATTCTTGTGCCCTTTCCACCTCTCTGTTGCTCGTCATGCTACCAAAAATAGAGTGGGTTTCCTCAAGGAGATGGGCTTACCTGGCTATCGGGGTGAACGCATCAATCAGCTCATCCGCCAGCTGAACTAAACCCAGACTATCTGAAAGCAGTGCATCGGAAGCATGTGTTCTGTTGGATGGAAATGTTGTCAGGTGTCTTCACAGAAGATTATTTTCTGCCTTAAGAAACTGGAAGGAAGGGATTGGGGAAGAGACAGTAGGTTATGATCATGGCAGGCACCTCTCATCACAGCCCAGTTCCAAGGAAAATTGTTTTCCACGTTGACCACTTCTGCTCTGCGGTTTAATATTGGTGAATGAATTACCCCGGCATGTGTACAAGTCTCCCTAAGCCTCTTGCAGCAGTGGACCAAGTCCAGGAGCATACTTGAATCTAGAGGTCCCAAGAGCCTTGTTTTGAAAAGACTTAAAATACTTGGGAAGAAAGCACAAAAACCAAGTACTCGTATGTCTCTGTTGTGAGTCCATGGTTCACCTTTTGCCTGACAGTTTTGTGAACTATCATACTTGCCTTGGCTCTAAGTTTATGGGGAGCTTTTCTGTCCTATTCTGCAACAGRCTTAAGTTCCCTTCACTAGCTCAGAGGTTGAGAAAGGAGGAACCTTTCACTCTGAACACAATGTACTCAAAATTTTGCTTAGAATTTCAGGGTGTTCATAGACCCTTCTCTTTCAGGATWTACACATCTTCTCTGAAGAAGTCTTGTTCTTATTAGCATTTGGTCACTCAGGCCGTGATCTTGCTAGTCTTCTGGTTCCATGACTTGCAGAAGACCAAAGTTCACCCAGCCAATTGTGTTTCTATAAAGAACACAGTGGTGCCCAGGTGCAGTGGCACACACCTGTAATCTCAACAACTCAGGAGGCTGAGGCAGGAGGATTGCAAATTTGAGGCCAGCCTCAGTAATTTAGTAAGACCCTGTCTTGAAAATGTAAAAAAGTGTGTGGGGGATGTAGCTTAGTGGTAAAGCACCCCTGGGTTCAATCTTCAGTGCCAAAAAAAGAATAGAGTGATGGATTTTTCATTTTCTACGTCATCTATAATTACATTACTGACTATTTTCTCCCCTGGGATTCAGGATGCAATTTCCAGGTTTCCCTGATCAGCATTCTGCTTAAAATCCAGATTAGGAAGAAGGGAAGCCATTTTCTTGTTTTGGCATGAATGAAATTAGAACTATTTTGACTTTTTAGGACCCAGGCAGGCAACTCAGTTGGATTTTTTTCCCCCTTATTCTGGACTTAGGAAGTATTGTCCTTTATCTTTCTAGTAATGAGGGAGATCAACAAAGCTTCTGGGGATGCTAATCCTGAAAAAAGTGGATACTATTTATCTTCATCAGTGTCTACCCTTAAAAGTGGTACTTCCCTCTATTCCCTCTTGATTGTTTTAGTGTTGCGTTCCACAACTAAACACTCAAGGTCACTACAGGTGAACTGGGCTGACAAGAAATAATCACACAGAGACAGAAATGCCTTTTAAAAGGAGTCTGAGGAAAGGGATCAGGTTTCAGGAAAGGTTGAGTCTAGCTTTGTGATGTCTGCTCTTGGCATATTGACTGACTTTTGGGAAGGCCATGCCCATCTCATGAGCTGTGTGGGGATCATGGCAGAACAAGTAAAAAGACCAGAGTGAGGCCCGCCCAGAGAAGCAACATCAACTCAGTCTACTTTGTGCGCTCAGTGCTCATAGTTCACACACACACAGCATGGCTGGCTTGCCATATCCCACGTTTTTAATCGCTCAGGGCTAAGGGGCACTCAGTTCCCATATGGCAGCTCCCAACACTTCAGCTTACCATCTGAGAGCCCAGTTAAACTGAGAACATGCTTAACCATGTTCCTTTGGGATCAGCTCTGCAGCAGTTTTGGCTCTTAAGACCCTTGAGTACAGCTATGAAAATTGAGTGAAAGGTATAGGAATGCCTTGAAATGTGCCAGGTTATGAGGTAATTAATTGGGTTTGGTTCCAGAGTTTAATCTGCCAGAAACAGATGTTATTATAAATGTTACTTTTTAATATTGGAGAGCATTGTGAAATCGGATTATTTTAAAATGATGTATTGCAAAGTAATGGAGAAATAGGTGTAGGAAGGGAAACCTTGGATTTATATCCCAGATCTCTTACTAAATATGGAAACAGGCTGGCTATAGCTCAGTGGTAGAGTGCTTGCCTAATGTGCGTGAGGCCCTAGGTTTAGTCTGCAGCACTGCAAAAATAGAGCTGATATCCTCTAGCTTGTTTGCCTCCCATGGTTGTTAAAACAAAAATGTTGTAGTTGGAGACAATCTCTTTATTTTTATGTGGTGCTGAGGATCAAACCCAGGGCCTCACATATGCAGGGCCCAGCCCCAACAAAAATGGTTTTAAATTTATAATCCTACATGAATAAACAATTTTCATAAATTGTGCTCTTAAAAAAAAAAAAAAAAAAAAAAAAGAGTAAATAATAAAATGAAGGTATTGTATCCATCTACAACTGAAAAAAAAATTAACTGTACTTGCATATGTGAGGAATGGCTGTGCCATGGGAAGGGATGCTTGGAAGAATTTTAGCAACTCATTCATACCATACATCCCATGCATGCTCTCCTAAAGCCATTTTAAATAAATAGTATGACTAATGACAAATGAATATTATGAATAATAAACTCATTTAATAATCATATGAATAGTTGAATTTTCCCCAATATTTTCTAAAGACTAAATAAAAGGTTCATTAGGAAGCTTTGCAAAAGAACAACTAAGTAAAAACTCATGGAACTGCAACATAAATGAATCCTAAAAACAAGCTTCCTCACATCCTCCCCACTCCCACCTAATCATCTCCCTAATCTCTTCTTATGTGAAAATGCTAGAGCAGTGGCTGATTCAGAGAATGTCTGTTATTTGCAGGATGAAAAATAATTTGCATAATATGAAGTTCTAGGGCTACCAACATTTTTTCCCTTAAAATACTTAAAAACTGCTTTCTTGCCTCCTGGAATTTTGTGTTGCAGAGAAAAATGAGGTCACACTATTTTACACTCATCAGGTTGGTTAGCACTCCAAGCCTTGGAATATCAGGTATTGGAGATTGAAAGTGATAGATGAGAGTGTCAAGAGGTATGTTCAATTTGGAGGGCAATGGGCATTCTATGATAAAGCTGGAGATGACAGGACCTTCAAACCAGTACATCCACTCCCAGGTATATACCTCAGAGAAATTCTTATGCATGTACAAGAACAGTCACAGAAACATTGATTCCAAGAGAAAAACTGAAAATGATCTAAATTTAACTATTAACATGAAAATAAAGAAACAAATGGAAAATAATCATGCAAAGACTGAGCTGCAAATAATATAGACTACAGCTACATCTATCCACAAAGAAAAATATCATAAACATAATGTTGAACAAATAAAGCAAATTGCAGAAGATTACAAATAACATGTTACCCTTTATGTAAAATTTAAAAACAAGCAAAGCAATGCCATGTTTTGTTGAGGGATATGTACACACTTAGTCTAAGTAGAGACTTCATGGGAAAAGTAAACTCTGAATTCAAACTAGTGGTTCTCTTTAGAGAGCTAGAACAGGGATGTCACTGGGTGACAGGAGAGATTGTCCACTGGATGGGTAAATTTTTATTAAGGAGAAGGGGAGTTCACAGCTGTTTATTTTGTCTATCTTCATATGGGATTGGACCATATGAAATGGCCTATATTTGACTGTTTTGTCCTCCAAAAAAAATGGCAGATTCACATAGTTAACTTCATAACATTTTTATTTCAGTGCTAGGAAAATTGTGGAAAAGAAATATAAATGTAGCACACTACTTGGTTCTGCTGTGACCAACGCTGATACGATCCTAACAATATAAAGATGTTATTGATTTTCACCTTTCGGAATCCACTTACAGATAAAACACAAAAGATGTGTCTACACAACAGTGTATGATCTCCTCAGCTTTGACATGTAAAGATCAAAGTGAAGGCATCATAGGTGGAAGGGGGACAAGTAAGAGAGGTGGTGACAAGCTCAAGTACAGTGATCCTCACCTCACGTGACAGAGAATGAGAGATATTGGCAAGAGTTATGAGATATTTAATTACATAACACAAAAGTACAAAGGAAGCACATAGAAAGAGTTTTAAAATGAATAACAGAAATTAGGAATGGAGAAAGGGAAGGAGGGGTAATATAAGTAAGTCTAAACTTTATAGTAATGCCTTTAATTAGTAAATCAAAATATGAAACTATAAACATATTAACTGACAAGGAATAAACCTCCAGAACAACTAAAACCAAGACATATGTCAGGATTAGAAAAGCTAAGGTAGGGACTTTGCTCTCCACTGTCTTTTTTACACTAAGTGAATTTTCAGGCAGTCACATGTTATATTAATACAATTTGAATGGGAAGTAGGATGTGTCCTCACCTGCCTCTGCCCCTTCAAATTGCTTTCTCTGAAGAGATATAAAAAAAGTTGGCAGATAGACATTGGGGGACCCTCTGCCCTGAGACTTCCCAATATAGAATAAGGGGAGGGATGGGGTCAGAGGATGCTTTCAGAAAGGGCAGGGAAGTCAGATCCTGAACTAGCCTGGAATAGGTCTCCCAGAATTAAGAATAATAGGCTGGAGACTCTTGGTGGACAGAAGGTTTGAGAGTAGCCAGAGGTCCCCTATGTAATTGGGGCAGGGGTGAGAGTTTCCCTCCCAGCCCAGGGGTGTGACAACCTGTCACGTTTTTGAGAGCTAGGGTTTCCTTCCGAGTTCAACAATTGCCCTCACCACCCGGCAGCTGACCCCATCCAGTCTGTCATATCAGAACACATCTTCAGCAAGGGTTGCCAGGGCCACCCATGCATCCTAACAACTCCCACTTTAACCACCAGCATCCCAAGCACTCTATATATGCCACAGCTCACTTGCACCTGAAGGTAGGTAGTATCTTTATCTCCTTTTCACAATGGAAGAAACAGGCTCAATGGTATGCTTCCCCAAGATCACACAGCCAGCAAGGAGAAGAATCAGGATTTGAGCATAGGCCTGCTGACTTCAGGGTCCTGCCTTTAAGGGGTCTCCTCTTTGACATCTGCAGATTGGGTCAGCCTGGAGCAAGGTAGATGCTTCACTCACTAGCTTCTCTTTTCTGTAGGTCCGTGCCCTGGTGGCTGACTTTTCCATTATTTTCTCCATCCTGATGTTCTGTGGAATCGATGCCTGTTTTGGCCTGGAAACCCCCAAGCTGCACGTGCCCAATGTCATCAAGGTTTGCCCCTTGCCCCTAATCCAGGCAATCTCCCTGCCTGCCCATGAGCTATAGTCCTCCTCTACGCTCAACATTCTTCTCTCATCCAAGTCACCCTGTAGGTTCTCAGTGCACGCTCTACCACTTTCTGCACAGCCTCCCAGGGGCAGTCCTTTGAGAGGTGGGTGGGGACATATTTAGAATGAAATCTTGCTGTGTACCCTAAGGAGTAGGGAAGGTGCTAGAATCCACACTCCAGTCCAGCTGAAGCCTTTTGACTTCTATGTAAGGGTTTCCAATCTCCTCACCTATGACAGTCTACAAGCTGGGCCAACTGGAATCTACTGAAAATGACCCCTTGTAACAGTGATTCTCAAAGTGTGGTCCCTGGACTAGTGTCACATTGTCACCTGGGAACTTGTTCTTGGTGAGTCTGTACTCCCAGCACTCCCAAGGTGGGAGGACTGCTTGAGGTCAGGAATTCCAGACTAGGTTGGGCTAGTGAGTCCCTACCTAGAGAAATGAAGGAAGGAAGGGAGGGAGAGAGGAAGGAAGGAAGGAAGGAAGGAAGGAAGGAAGGAAGGAAGGAAGGAAGGAAGGAAGGAAGGAAGGAAAAAAGGAAGAGAGGGGAAGAAGGGAAGAAGGAAAGAAATGAAAATTCTCATATTCTTATTCCCATCTCAGAAGTATGGAATCTGAAAGTCTTGTGGGTAGAACCCAGCAATTTGTGTTTTAACCGGCACTTTAGGTGATTCTGAACATGTTCAAAATTCAAAACCACTGCTTCAGAAATTACCCATTAGTCCATAGTTGATGCCATTTGTTTGTGGCTAAGCTCAAGCCCTGTTCCCTCACAAATGCACCTGCCATCTAAGCAAGGTAGGAAGTCCAGGTTCTAGAATGTTCCTCTGCCTTTGAGGCCTTGATCTTCATGATATTATTTCAGGGTTTTACTGAGTAGCTTAAGCACATCTCATACAACTCACGCTGGTTCTTCAAAATAAAAGTAGCCCTTCCTTTTAAATATAAAAATATTATAAACGTCAGCTTCTGCAATAGTTAACCCCTTTGTCCCCTTTATCAGTCTGAGATGATGTTGATATTTTGTTTTGAAGTATTAGGGATGGAACCCAGGCCCTCAATGTGTGGTAGGCAAGTGTTCCACCACTGAGCTACATCTCCAGCTCCCAGTGTTTGTTGTTTTACAGACAATTCTATAATGCACTGAACCCAGAATGCTTTAGTCTTGCCTCTTGGACCTCATTTCAATTAGAACCTCTTTTGCAATTAGTGACTGCATATTCAGCTGCCTTCTGATCTTTATTTCTGTTTCCCAACCAATCCTAGGGCAATCACAGAAAATTATCCCATTAATTCTGCAGACCCTACCTGTATTCATGCCACTTCCCATAGCTATGTGCCTCTGTGATCTATTTAAAGTTGCAGGTGCCTAATGTCCTTAAGGGAAAAATATTGTACTTAAAAAGTTCTCCCAGTTGGGGAAAAAGTGAGGTGGTAGGAAAGGGGCCAGCAGGCAAGCGCCTGGCAAGAGAGAGAGGAAAGGGCCCTCTTCATTTGCTCTGCTCAGCCCACACGGCCTGACCGAGGCTGGTTCGTGGCCCCCTTTGGGAAGAACCCGTGGTGGGTGTACCTGGCGAGCATCCTGCCCGCCCTACTGGTGACCATCCTGATCTTCATGGACCAGCAGATCACAGCTGTCATTGTTAACCGGAAGGAGAACAAGCTGAAGGTAAGGCTATCCTTTGCCAGAAACAAAGTTAGAAGGATTAAAGGAGGGAAAGGCTTCTTTCAATACTTTGAGCAGAAGACAAGTTCCCACTTGATGTGTTGTGAGGGTGGGTGGGGGTGGGGTGACTTCTAGCAGGGCCGGATGATTTTGAGGACCAGGACCAAGCCCAGGCTGGGCCCCTGCATACAGAACCCTTGCCTCTTCCAAAGTGACCCTCCAACTCTATACCTCCTGAGAGTGAATTTAGGAGTCTAAGCAGATGCTGACAGGAGGACAAGCCTGAAGTCAGAAGGCAGCCTCCTTGGTCCCTGAAACTCCCCTCTCTCCATGCCTCTGGGTCCAAGAAGACTTGGGCTACTCTCTCCTTGACCCCAATGTAGACCAATCGAGGGTCCCAGCTGGGGCATCTCATTCAGGAACTGCAGATACTGTGGCCACTGGGTGGAACCTTTCTCCCTGGGGACTCAAACCTAGGACTTTTCCAAGCCAGAACATCCCTCTCCTTCATTACCTATGTCCCTTACTTGGTTCACCCTTTCAGACAAGGTGGCAACTGAAGCCACCTTTGAGGGAGGTGAGACCTGAACACCTCTAAAGTTCTTACAGAGAGCACCTCAGAGTGGTAGCCCCTCAGAGTGCACTCTGGAAGGCAGGGGAGCCTTTGACTGTGTTCCACAAAATGGCTGCTCTGAGGAGAAACAGGCTCCCAGAAGCTTCTCCCATCCTACCACCTGTGCAGAAGGCTGCTGGCTACCATCTGGACCTCTTCTGGGTGGGCATCCTCATGGCCCTGTGCTCCTTCACGGGGCTCCCCTGGTATGTGGCTGCCACAGTCATCTCCATTGCCCACATCGACAGCCTCAAGATGGAGACGGAGACCAGCGCCCCTGGGGAGCAGCCCCAGTTCCTGGGAGTCAGGTAGGAGGAGGTCAGAGCCTGGATCACCTAAACAGGAGTGACCCATCTAGGGAAAGGGAAGGCAGCTCTTCTTACCATTAAGGAATCTAGGGACAAAGGGTCCCTGCTCTGACAGCCCAGGAACTAGGGACAGGAGTGATATTGGAAGGGAGGGAAGAAGGGAAATGAAAATTTATTTCTAAATGGTACTTTTTAAGAAAAAAGTTAAGACTACTAAGAAATAGTCTCCAAGTAGCACATGCACATGCACGCACACATGCACACACACATACAAATATGCCTATACACACATGAACTCCAAAGATTCACCTCATAGGCCATGATAGAACCTCTTCCTGTCCTTTTCTCTTCTTCAAGACCCTCCAGGCCCCTGGGTCTCCTATTTTCCAATGCTTTATATTCTTCCAGAAAGCTTTCCTGGGACCACTACTATCCTCTACACCTGGTCCTGACATGTTCTTTCCCTTGCTCCTCATGTCATGCCCCACGCCAGGTCCCCAAGCTGTTTTGGGCTGGGAATCACATCTGCCCTGTAGGGCCCCTGAGGCTTACACTAAATCCTGGCATTCTCCTAATGGAAGTTTCTCCCTACTGCCTTGGGATATGTAGGCTACCTGGTCTGCCCTGAGAGAGGCTTCTCTGCCTCATGTAGGGCTCAGGACTAGACAGGACACTGTCCCCTTCCCGTCTCCTGAGCTCCTGGTCTAAGATATCTTCCCCAGAGCCCAGGGCTCCAACCTGGGCTATGCTAGTGCCTGGGCACTCAGGAAAACCTACCTGCCTCAACCTCTGACATCTCCTCCACTGGCAGCCAGGCCCCCTTCTCCAGCATCAGTCATGCCCTGCCAAAGTGGGATCTTACTACCAAAAAGCAAGGTAATCAGCACTTTTTATTACAACAATCTCCCAATGTAGGTGTCATTATTATCTCTATTCTACTGGCTCAGGGTATCATGGTCTTGTCTGATATCCCACAATGAGTAAATGGCAGAGCCAAGATTCAATGGAAGTCCATCAGGATCAAGCACCCAGCTATTAGGCACTGTACTGAACAAGTTCCTTGATGCCCCTGAAAAATGCCCTGGCCTCCTTCAGGGGCATCCCTTCTTCCCTGTGTAGGGCAGCTGGGCCTTAGGCTAAAAGGCAGAGCCTGATGCAGAAGCCATGGCCTTGGACACAAGTTTGAGGGCCCACAAAGAGGCAGGAGGCTGGGAATGGTCACTGGGTATCTCTGGATCTCCCCTGACTCTGCTCTTCTCCACCAGGGAACAAAGAGTGACCGGGATCATCGTCTTCATCCTGACAGGGACCTCTGTTTTCCTGGCTCCCGTCCTGAAGGTGAGGGTCTGCATCCCACCCAGGGCCCCATCACACCTGAAAAGACAGAGCAGAGGACTTAGGCATGGGGAGTGTCCCTACACAACCCAGATATCACTGGTCTACCGGTCCCTAAAAAGGCAGGATTTTCAGTGATATTTCAGAGCCATTGTCATTGTTCTCTGTAAAGTGGTATCATCTGTGATCATCACCCATCTTCTCTGCTCTCTCCCAGCCACCCACACTCTCAACTTCCCAGAGGACACTGTCCCTTGGGAAAATTCTGCCAAGTTCTGTCCCTGCTTAGATCAGGAATCACCCAAGCTCACTGGAGGCCTTCTTGCTCACCCATTTTCTGAAGTTTAAACCTCTTGGAGGAGAACTCTTAAGCTGTTCTCCAGGCCTTTTCTCTGCTCCTCTGATTTGAATTTGTCGAGCTCCTAAGTGACTTTTTCCCACACAGTTGGAAGATTCTCTTGCTCATGTCCCACTGGACCAGCTGGAAGAGACTAACTACAACAGGGGGACATTGAGCCAGAATGGTCACTTTCCAGTCAGGACTAGGATGTTCCCACCAGTTCTCTCAACTGCAGCCAGTCACCTATCAATGGCCCTTTCCCTCAATCAGTGCACACATAAGACTTTCATTGCTGAATTAAGGTTACCTGTAATTGCTCCAATCTTTGTGGTTCTTTTCCCTCTCTGAATGTCTTAAAACAGCTCATTTTGGGCTTGACCTTATTAAAAGACAAAGACTAGAGAACCATGATGCTAATTGATTCATTTAGTATAAAAAATATTTCTGGCTTGAGAATCAGTGGCACACCTGAGCAATTGGTTTAAGGTTGGGGGTTTTTAAAGAAATGTTTTCATTGTGTAGGAGACAGGTTACACACAGATGGTTTCATTTATTTAAGAGTGTATTTTAAATGGCCAGAGAATGCTGACTTTTGTGGAAAGGGCTCAAAAGAACCATCATGCATATCATTCCTGATACTGCCTGACAAGCATTTGTGTAAAAAATAATTTTAACCTAAAAACAGCATACTTTAGTGGCCAAAAGTTCCTAGAAACACTTTGCACATAGCACCTCTGGCTATCTTTGCAGACTCAGACTTCAGGCAGTCCCAGGCAGGCTGCCCCAGCTGCTGAGCATGTTCATTGATTCAGTCATTGCACAAAAGCTTTTGATGCATAGCTGAATAGAAACAAAGCAGTTAGAAAATTCCACTATGGTTTCCTTCCTTTTGTTCCTTTTACAACATGATGGATTCTTTCATGAACACATTTCTCATATTCTGTGTATACTTTTTCTAGGCCTTTACACTCACACTTTTGACCTCTGATTTTAGTATAAATTATTGCTTTTGTTCTAATGTTGTAAATCTTCTTAATGTAGGTCACATGCTGACATAGTATAATTAAAATAATTGAAATGAGGGCTGTGGGGTATAACTCAGTGGTAGAGCACTTACCTAGCTAGCATGCAGGAAGTCCTGGGCTTGATCCTCGGCCCTATAAGAAAAAAAGAAAAGAACAAAAAAAAAAAAAAAAAGAAGAAGAAGAAGAAGAAGAGAAAGGAAAATAGTTCTGTGCATAAAATTTGCATTGCCAAAGCCTTTGGTGTGGTCATCCTTTAAATGATGTACAATCACATTGCTCCCTCTTGGGTGACATTTTGAGCAATAATAGAAATCCCTTTTGCTACAATTCTTGGGCCAAATGTTGTAACTCTTTCAGGCTGTGTACTGTATTTCTCTATAAATGTATGCACCTTGTAAAATACATTGTTTAAAGAGTAAATGTTATTGTTCTGACAGTCAAGGAAAAGTTTGCAAGGTTCCATATGGCTCCAAGTGCTTTGATACTATCTTTGCATTCAATCAAAGCACAAAAGAGTTTGAAAATCTACCCACCAGTATTCTTCCAGAATAAGAGTACCAAAAAAAAAAAAAAGATCAATACACTTGATTTACCCAACGTTTAATCTTTTTGGCAAATTTTGTAGCAGAACTGACCTGTCTAGAGTTTTTAATTAATCATAAGATTTAGGATTTCTGATTCAATTTTATTAAGATATGTACTTTTTTATAAAGCTAGGCTTTCAAAACTATTAGCTAACTAACTAAAGCATAATTACTAACATCAGTACTAAATACTGGATTCATTTTATATTTAAGAAAAGAAGTTTGGTGTAGCTGTTCAAGAAAAATATAATTCGTCAAGATGTGAGATCCTAGACTCTATTTAGGAGCCTCTCTCTCTGCCCCTTCCCCCTCTCGTTCTGTATCAATGAATGGTTGTGTTGATATTAGACAATAATGTTTATTGTTAGAGGATCAGTGATATTCTTTAGGCCTTCCATCACTGATTTGTAAATATTTCATTATCTTGTCAAACAAAGCTTCAGAAGGAGGAAGTGAGCATGTATTTGATGGGTGATGTAAATTACTTAACATATTGAGCAAATTTCCCAGTCCACCCCAAGGCTATGAAGTTTTGTTTTGTTCACACCTTCCCATGGCTTTTTGAGACCGAGGATTTCTGCATTCCGCCTCAGAGGAACTCCTATGATGCCTTAAAACTCCCTTATGGACCCCATGTTATTCTCCTGGTCCCTGTCTAACATTACAGAGGAAAGTTCTGGCATCCTTATGATTGTAGTACTGTGATGATTGTTGATCTAAAGCTGACACTAGAGGTAACTTTCTGCCACTTTTTAGTTTCATTAATGTTTGAAAAGGGCCTTTTCCTGGAGAGTCAAGGAAGATTTGTGCTGATGAATACAGAATTCTAGATCACAGCCCTATCACTGGTAGGATTACAATGTTATAGGCATTCGAGATTTTCTGGGAAAGCTGCAAATGACAAGACAATTTCCTTGACTTGAAAATGAGGTAACTTTTTATCAGTCACTGATGACTACAATTATTTAAGACTTAATCCAGTTTGTTTTCACACTTAGTAGAGTAAAAAGGGAAATTGTAAGTGAACTTGAGTTTGTGTTGCTACAGATGATAGCTAAGTTTTTAAATTTAAGTGTTTATTTCTCTCTCAATTGCCTCCACACTTTGAGGGTGATTAGGACAGTGATTCCTTAAATTTTTTACCTTATCTCATAATTTGGCAAAAATCTCATAAACTATGTGCTAATGAAATGATGGAAGGGTCACATATTTCCTTTTATTTGTGTGTGGGGGTACTGGGGATTGAACCCAGGGCACTTTACCACCAAGCTACCTTAACAGGTCTTGCTAAATTGCTTAGGGCCTTGCTAAATTGCTGAGGCTGGCCTCAAACTTACAATCTTCCTGCTTCAGCCTCCTGAGTCACTGAGATTATGGCTGTGTGCCACTGGCATATATTTCCTTTTTTAACCTTTAGTTCAAATGTCTTGGATTGTTTATAGCATGTAGGTCCAAAGTGTGCTTTGTATGCAAACAAATATAACTTATCCTAAAATAGAAGTTATTTACTTGTCTGGATTCATTAACATTCTTAAATGGCATCTACAAGTTGAGCAGCCCTTGTCAGCATCATACTTTGTGATCACCAAAGAGTTCTACCACAACCCAGAGCAAGGCAGGACAGCCTTTGTTCACAGTGGCAAGAATTGGGTACAGCTAAAGGAGAGGATAAAAATAGCAGAAATACAGCTTGGACAGAGGTGAAGAAATGCCTCAAAAAGTTTTTAAAAGCCATGTGTGGTGGTGCACATCTATAATCCCAGTGACTTAGGAGGCTGAAGTAGGAGGATCACAAGTTTGAGGCCAACCTCAGCAACTTAGCAAGGCCCTGCCTCAAAATAAAAAATAAAAAAGCTGGGGATGCAGCTCAGTGGTAGAGTGCCTCTGGGTTCAATCCCCAGTACTCAAAAAAAACCATGAGTTTTAAAGATTTGAAATGCTGGGGACGGGATTGTGGCTCAGTTGTAGAACACTTGCCTAGCATGCGTGAGGCACTGGGTTTGATCCCTGATACCACATAAAAAATAATAATAATAATAAAATATTTTCTAGTTGTGTCCATCTACAACTAGAAAATATTTTTTAAAATATTTTTAAAAAATAAAAAATAATTGAACGACCAACAATAAATAATAAATAAATAAATAAAAAATAAAAAATAAAATAAAAAATAAAAAAAGATTTGAAATGATGATGGTAGTGCAGTATGAATTACATGAATCTACTTTTGAAAAAGAAAACAACTGCTGATGTGTGTGCTTGGAAGAGTACACACCAAACTCCTTGTGTTAGTTGATGATTAGTGGTTTTTATGTTACTAACACATTTGTTGGTCCCCCTGGAATATAGAACTTAAAGGGGTCCTTTTTCCATTCAATGTCACAAAGCAAGTAACTAGACTGACTTGAGCATCCATGGCCCGAGCTTTTATTCGGTGACTAAAGAATGGAGAAGTGGGTTCCCAGCTCACATTTGACTTAACTTACTTAGAGTTGACAAGCTGGGTATAGAGCAGCAGAAATGAGGGGAGGGAAAGGTTAATGAAGAGAAGGAATATTCATGTAATTTCCTGCAACAGGTGGAGACTTCTACAAATTCAGATGCACTCTCCTTTTTGATCCACTGTTTCTGAACACTGTGTGGCCAGTGAGCGTGTCTTTAGCATGGAAACTAGATTTTAATGAAGCTGGAGGTCAGCTGTTACTCTGGCAAACATTTTAGGTCCAACTGGTTTTGGATAGCCTACCTGAAGAGGAACTTTTGGTGTTCAGACATCCTGTCATCAAAGGGTGAGGTAGAGATTTAGTAGGCAGTACCCTGGGCAACAGTTTACATACTTCTGTTTTGCTTCTTTTTTTGTGATTGTGTATGATATGAGATTTTTGATAAGTGGCCTTGGTACTTCCTATGATTTAGGTCAACTCACCAAAGGTCCCTGGCCCCCTGCAGGCCCAGCAGCTTTAGGGGCCCTCAGCTAAGGCTGAAAGTGGAAGGGGCTGGCAGGAATAAGCAGTTTGTGGAGCTTTCCCACTTTCTAGAAATGTCTTTAGCCAGACCACAGGGCTCCCGTGGGGCTGGGAGAAGGGCCAGATGGGAAGAACAGCAGCATGCTGTGCATCCCCACCTGCACCCACACTCTGGTTCCAGATCTTCTCTCAGACACCCTCAGTTCCTCCAAATATACACCTCCTTGGCTGCCTCTATGGTTGGCAGACACATTTGTCCAGAACAAGGAGACCAAGGACCCATCCCAGGCACAAGTTCAATCCAAAATTCTGCTCTCATTTCAGTACATCCCCATGCCTGTGCTGTATGGAGTCTTCCTCTACATGGGTGTGGCCTCCCTGAATGGCATCCAGGTAAGGCCCTCCCCTCCCCACCTGAAGTCAGCACTCCCTAGTGTCACCAAGACCCCAAATTCTTACTCTCCTGGTTCAGTGAAAGAATAATAGCAATATTCTTTGAGAAGCAAAATAATTATATGAGGCACTTTACAGGTGTCATTTAATCTATATAATTAGGTCCTTTGATCCCAATCTCACAGAGGGGGAGGCTGCAACTCATAACTCAAAACCTGGGTCAAACCAACTCCAAAGAGCACTTCACTGTACCTCTCTCTTCTCTTCCCTAAGACAACTCCACAGAAGAAAGTTTTTTGCTTTGTTTTGTTCTATATTAACCACGAAATCCCAAGATGACTTGGATAGTTCGTGGGTCCATTAAATTGCATTTTCCTTGAACAGACCATGTTCATTTTGCAGCCACCTCCAGGTCCATTCCCCTCACCCAGGCCTCAGGATCCTCCCTCCCTCCAATATTGCATACCTGCCTAGACACCTCAAGAGTGTCTTACTTAATGCCTGAACAAGAGTCCCCTCTTGAGACCCTACCAAGTCATCCCTTCCCTTAACCCCATACCCCAGCGGACCTGCGGAGGGATGTCGGGGCGGGGAATATTTCCTGGCAACCTTGCTGAGCCCTCGCTATCCTTGTTAGTTCTGGGAACGATGCAAGCTCTTCCTGATGCCGGCGAAGCACCAGCCAGACCACGCCTTCCTTCGCCACGTACCCCTGCGCAGGATCCACCTCTTCACCCTGGTGCAGATCATCTGCCTGGCTGTGCTCTGGATCCTCAAGTCCACTGTGGCCGCCATCATCTTCCCTGTCATGGTAAGGTGGGCGCGGGCTTCGCCGCTGCTGGGCAGGTTGGTCTAGGCAGGCTTCGCCTAGGAGGTCCAGCAGTGCCCCAAGTGCGTCACCTTGCAGCACCCTTAGCTTTCTCCCCAGCTTGGTTTGGTTCCTTTGGGTGACAGAAGCCAGTCCAGAACAAATTTAGAGTTGTGAGGCCAGTCCAGGTGGAGGATAGAGAGAAGGGCGGAGGAAAGAATGTCAGTGTGGCAGGTGGATCCTGCAGTGACAATCGGCATGCTGAGGTCCCCACCCAACTTTCCTGCTGGGGGAAGGCCGGTAATGTGGAATTGGAGAAGCTGGACACATTCAACTTTAGACCCAAGTTCTCTACTGCCAAACCTCAAGCCAATCTCGAAAACCGATGCATACTAAGTATAAATCTTCTCCCCGTGCAAAATTAACGGATTTGAAATGGTAAATAGTATGTTAGTGGTGCAGGGAGGGAATAGAATCAGAGATCAGGAATTTCAAAAACCCAATGACAATATAAAGTTTGAGCTGGGCATTCTTTGACTATTCTTTTATATTTTATGGAAATTTGAAGTTATTCCAGAATAAAAAGTTAAGAACAGTCACACCTGTAATCCTAGTGACTGGGGACGCTGAGGCAGGAGGATTGCAAGTTCAAAGCCAGCCTCCACAATTTAGAGAGGCCTTAAGCAACTCAGCAAGACCCTGACTCAAAATAAAATATAAAAAATGCTGGAGATGTGGGGCTAGGGTTGTGGCTTATAGGTGGAGGGCTTGCCTCGCATGCATAGGCACTGGGTTTGATTCTCAGCACCCCATAAAAATAAAGGTATTGTATCCATGTACAACAAAAAATATTTTTAAAACAATGCTGGGGGTGGGGATATGACTCTGTAGTTAAGCACCCTGGGTTCAAACCCTGGCACTAAAAATAAATAAATAAATAAATAAATAACGGCTGGGATGTTGCTCAGTGGTTAAGCTCCCTGGGTTCAATCCCTGATACAAAAATAAACAAACAAACAAATAAATAAAATAAAAATAAAAACAAACAAAAACCTGTTGCATCTGGCCCTCTAGATAACCCCACCAGAAGGAAGCTGCCCAGCCCTTGCTGGGGGACTGAAGTTTGGGGGCTAATGCTCCCAGAATGCCTGCAGGCCTAGATTAGGAACCAAATCAAGGACACTTGTGGAAATGTGCACTCCTAGGAGATCTCTAGTAAGTGGTTCTTGACTCTGGCTGCTCTTTAAAATCTATGAAAACTAAATCAAAATATCTTCAGGAATCCCAGGCTTTGGTATTTTAAGTAAGTCTACAGGGAGCATAAATATGCAGCCAGGGTTGAGAACCACCACTCCAGGGAAAGGGACATGGATCCTCCCCAACAGTGTCCTCCTGGGCCTCAGAGATGAGGAAGGGAAGGATAGTGATAGTCATGATTGCCAGTACTGAGTGCTGTTCCACTCAGCCCACACCAGCCCCTGAAGCACTACTAGTTACCCCTATTTTACAATCAGAAAGATGAGGCTCAGAGAGCACAGGGAGTGACAAACTCAGGACAGGCAGAGCAAGATCTGCACCCCTCCTGGCCTTTTTTTTTTTGGTACCCGGGATTGAACTCAGGGGCACTTGACCACTGAGCCACATCCCCAGCCCTACTTTGTATTTTATTTAGAGACAGAGTCTCACTAGGTTGCTTAGTGTCTTGATTTTGCTGAAGCTGGCTTTGAACTCTCTATCCTCCTGCCTCAGCCTCCCAAGCTGCTGGGATTACAGGCATGCACCACTGTGTCCAGTGCTCCTGATTATTTTTAAATACAGTAGAATTCACTCTGCTCTGTAGTTTTGGCAAATGTAAAGAATGGTGACTCTATCTCTGTAGTAGTGATACAGAACAGCTCCATTACCTCCAAGTTCTCTCTTGCTGCCCTATATGTAGACAGCCCTTTGCCTACCCCTGTCCCTAGCAACCATTGATTTGCTCAGAGTCAGGAGTTTATTGTTGTTGTGGTGTTTTGATTTTTTTTTTTTTTTTTTTGGTGGTACTGGAGATTGAACCTAGGGATGCTCTGCCACTGAGTTAATCCCAAACCCTTTCTTAGTTTTTTATTTGGGACTGGGTCTCTCTAGGTTGGCAAGGCTGGCCTTGAGCTTGCAGTTCTCCTACCTCAGCCTTCCAATTAGGTGTGCACCACATGCCCTGCCAGCTCCAGGAGTTTTTAAACCCAGGTTTATCTGATGCCTGGGCTCTACATGCTCAAAAAGTTATATCAGAGAGGAACCAGTATTAAATCCAGCTAGAAGGGTTTGCTTCCTTACCTCATTTAATGGCCAGTTTTCAGTGGTAAAAAAGACAATATGTATAACAGACCATCCTGGGTCCACTAAGTTTGTTAAAAGATCACTTATTTCTCCCTTTAATTTGTTCATTCTGAACAGAACCAAACTTTCTTTAGAAATTCCATATAGTTTACTATATTTTGCTTGGCTTTTGTTAATGGAGAGTTTGACAGTTCTTAGAAATGGGAACAGAGCAATTCACAATGGCCAGGCTATAGAACCAACCTAGGTGCCCTTCAATAGATGAATGGATAAAGAAAATGTGGTATATATACATGAAAAAATATTACTCAGCCATAAAGAAGAATGAAATAATGGCATTTATCAGTAAATGGATGGAACTGGAGTCTATCATGTCAAGTGAAATAAGCCAATCCCCAAAACACCAAAGGCTGAATGTTCTCTCTGATATGTGGATGCTAACACACAACAAAGGAGGGTGAGGAAGGGAAGGATAGAAGTTCATTGGATTAGACAAAGGGGCATGAAGGGACTGGAGGAGGGATGGGAATAGGAAAGACAGTAGAATGAATCAGATACAACTTTCCTACATTCATATATGAATACATGACCAATGCAACTCCATATCATGTTCGACCACAAGAATAGGATCCTAATTAGAATAAGTTATATTCCATGTCTGTATAACATGTCAAAATGCACTATACTATATCTAAAAAGAACTAATTTGAAAAAGAAAAGAAATGCGAGTAGAGAGGCAGTGAGTCTCAAAGTGTGATCCCTGGGCCAGCAGCACTAACATCACCTGAGAAACTTATAGAGATACAGATTCTCAGGCTCTACCCCAGACCTGATGAATCAGAAACTTTGGGGTGGTACCCAGCAATGTTGTATTAACAAGCCCTCCAAGTGACCCTAAAGCACACTCAAGTGTGAAAACCACTTGAAGAATGACTGTGGTTCTCCAGCCATGGTCTCTGTGCTGGCTCCCCACTTCAGCTGACACAGGCTCTGTCCCACGCAGTCACTGGTAGTCATAGTCACTCACCTGAGAAGCCAAAGGAGAGGAACCAGGGGAACAGGGGAAGTGAACATGGTTTGTGGGGACTTTGGAATGGCTCCAAAAACCCATCACAAGAGCTGCCCGAACTCAGCTGACTGAGGAAGAAGGAAGTATTTACCCATTATTTTCTCTGAACTCCCACAAAACTTCAGCCTCTCTGTCTGTCTTCCTACCACAGATCCTGGGCCTCATCATTGTCCGAAGGCTTCTGGACTTCATCTTCTCCCAGCATGACCTGGCCTGGATTGACAACATCTTGCCAGAGAAGGAGAAAAAGGAGACAGACAAGAAGAAGAAGAAAAAGAAAGGGGCCCATGAGGATAGCGATGAGGAGGTGGGGAAGATATGAGGCCTGGGCAGAGTTGGGGTACCAATAGATCCTTCTGCTTCCACCAGGGCCAGGGAGAGGGTGGCTTTTCACACAACTGTAAAAGTGCCTGCACTCAGTCCAGGATAAGCTAGGGCTTCTACTTGGCCTTGGTCTGGGGTGCTGAGAGCTCATCTGTTCTTGTAAATGTCCTCAGGTTGGGCCAGAGCCAGTGAGCCTCCCTGCCCAGGAGCAGTTGACTAGCAAAGCTCACTCCAATTTCTGGTTTTCAGGGCCATTGTCAATAGTGGCACAGATTCCTGAGAGAATGAATGGCCCAGGAGATGGTTCCAAAATGGAAGGCCTTTATAAGGAGTAACCTCCAAAGAATGGAGCAGGCCTGTGGGGAAAGGTCTGATGGGGACTTTTTAGTAGACTGGACTCTGGGATAGGCAGGAGGAACTAGAGATAAGCTTTGCTTGGGCCTACCCCGAAAGTATTGGGAACAAAAATTGGGGGAGAGGTATTTGTCCTCACTGAAAAGAGAATGGCTTTCTCTTCCATGCCTGGGACCACCTGATTGCCCCATCTGTCCCTCTCCTCTCCCATGCTTCTTCCATGTCCCACCCTCAAACACTCAGTCAACAGACAAGGAGCCAGCCCAGAAATTATAGCAAATCTCAGAACATTAGGCAGAAAGAGTATCTGGTTCAAATGTTCATTACAAATGGTGACACTGTCCCTCCAAAAGGAAGTGTTTTACCCAACATAGACAGACAGCTAAATGTCTAAGAGGGAATTAGGAAATCATTCTTGAACTCATGCTTTCCATATACTGAACTGCCATGTCATTTCCTGAGACCATGCTTGACTCCCAATCTCCCAGTCTCCCAATTGTACCTGAATCACAATCCTTTATCCACCTTGTCCTGTTTTCCTGGGATCTCACCTTTTGCAAATTAAAGCTGTTCACAGGCAAATCCTTGCTCACTGGTTGGTGATTAAACCATCCTTTGATGGTTGTAATTGGCCAAAACTTCCCCTGTCTTGCAGGAAGGGGAAGGTCTCAATTTTTTTATTTATTTTTTTATGTGGTGCTGAGGATTGGAACCCAGTGCCTCACATGTGCTAGGCAAGTGCTGTACCTCTGAGCCACAACCCCAGCCCCCTTATAATTTATTCACACGTTTTTTGTAGATAATTTTCAAAAGTAGATTCTAAAAGAAAGAAACAGAGTCCAGGTGCCTTTTAAAGACAAATACTTTTTTTTTTTATTGGTTCATTCAGTAAATATTGGAGTGGATCTCACATGTCAGGAACTATTTCAAGGTTAAGGGTAAAGCATCTCAGGATTATATGATACATTTAATGGAAAAAATGGGATTCAATGTTCATAAATTCATTTTATACATGTCTTTATAGCAACCCAGATATTGTGAGGTTCAGTCCCAAATGACTGGTTGTATGATAGATGAAACTGTTCTGAGGAGCGACATTCCTGAATGAGTTCCTTTCCTGTCTACTGGGTATCTAAAATGGTGGGCCAATTGTGTCCATTTTTCCTTAGTGGGTCCAAGAGCATTTGCAGCACTCCCTGTTTAGTCTGGATGTGGAGGAATGGTGGTTTACACATTGTGGATGTATGCATTTTCCATTTGGCAAGAAAGACAAAGTGGTTGTGTTGGTGTTTATCAGCTTTTCCCACTGTTTTTCTCCAGCCCCAGTTCCTCCCTCCCTCAGTTATAAAGATTCCCATGGAAAGTGTCCAATCAGATCCCCAAAACGGTATCCACTGCATTGCCAGTAAGTAAAACACATGGTGTCTCTCCCTTCTTACTCACTACTAATCCTCCACCTATTTTCCTAAGGAGCTTCCATCTGAAACTCAGGGGATCTAATCATTTTAGATGCCAGAGTGATGAACCCAGCCTAATTCCATCTTAAGATTGGGAGCCATCTCGTCACAAAGTCATGAAAAGTTAATTTCTGTTTTACAATAAATTACTGTGATTGCTAAACTTGCTTGGAATGCCAGCCCATGCCTTGAACTCACCCATGCCTGGTTTTCCCTGACCAGATAACAACCCTCTCTGAAACCTTAGTGGCGCCTCAAATTCTGGTGTTGGGATCTGAATTTACTCCCTAACTTGAAATGTTGTATTACCCTTGTCAAAATCCTATTATCTGTAAGTTCTCAAGACACCCCCCTTTTGTAACTTTTTGTGCTATAAAACCATGTTCCTAGAGAGCTGGGGTACTGTTCTCTAACCCAAAGATTTCGGGAGAGACAGTCCCGGCTGGAATTACAAGCTTGCTTTAATTTGATTTAAAATTGGAGTCGGTGGTCTTTTCTTTGCGTCGTGGTTAAACAAGAGGACTCCTGTGATAGGCAGAGGTTAAAGTGAACTGGGCCATGAGGGTTGGAACTCCAACCAGATGAAAATTTCAGAGCACACCCTGAAGTCTCCTCCTTCACTTTAGGCAAAACTCCCCCATTTCTGCCTTTCCTCTGGCGCCTGCAGCACCATCCTGCCCTTTCCTGCCTTATTTCAGACCACATCAGTCCAAACCTGGCCCATGGAGCTGCCCATATCTTCCAGTCATTGTTGAAATGATTGCAAGCTCAAATCAGAGCTGAGTGTTCCCCTTTAGAGAAATAGGTAGGCATCTGGGCAGCAAGTCAGAACTGAAGGTCCTGGGGTTGGGCTGTGATTCTGTATAAAGCACAAGCATCCTCCATGTGCTGAAAGAGAAGGCTTCCAATCAGGCATTGCTTACAAAGACCCTGCAAGATTCTCAAACTGCTTCTAATCCTTCCCAGCTGGTGGACAGTGCTGTCATTAAGAACACACAAATATCCTGATCCAAGTCCTGACCTGGTGCTCCTAAGATAGTGCTTACTTACCACTGTCCTCAAAGACAGACACTGGAGGAGGTCACCAGGACTCCTGCCAGGACCCTCCAGAGCCCCAGAGGCTTCCCCTCACCTCTCTCCATCACATTGCCTCAAGGTGTTTTTTGTACTCTTCACTCTCCCTCCACCTGCCTCCTGCCTCAACCTCCCAAGCTGCTGAGATTACAGGCATGTACCATGTACCACTGGCTCCCATTCCCTTTTGTTGACTTCCATCATCCTTCCTCTCTCCTCCCTGGGCCTCCCCATGCCTCACTCCTCCTATCCTGGCTCAGATCCTTCTCTGTGAAGATTAATTGACCCAGAGCCACCCATCTCTATGAGGCCCCAGTATTCCTCTGGTATACTGTTGGCCATGGATCACAAAATAGAAAAGAGGAGGAATGGTGGGGAAGCACGGAGAAATAGGATGCTCTCTGGCGTGACTCTCAAACCTGCTTCACATCTGACTTTTTCTTCCAGGAAAAAGATCTTCCAGTTGGAGTTATTCACTCTGATTCTTCTTTCAGTGGCTCAGAACTCGATCGAAGGTAAGGGTTATTAGGTAGATTCCTTGGGTATTAGCTAAGAGACTAAATAATGGTCAGGTTGGGTGACTAGGATTTCCCAGTCCAGCTGACATCTTAGTAGAGGAAGACAAAGGCTGACCAACCTGATTATCAGGGGTCAAGTAACAAATGTGTCTTCTTACTGACATCAATCACACAGTGACAAGCATCTTTCATGTACTGATAGAGTACACAACTTTAGAAAAGGAAATTTAAAATATTATGTAGAATACTGAAAGTAAGTTTTGAAAAGGAAACAACATAGAAGAAAGTTAGACATAGCTTAAGTACATGTTAATAAAAGCCCAGATACTAAGGATCAAAACACTAGGTTCACAGGGTGCAATGGCGCACACCTCTAATTCAGGCAGCTCAGAAAGCTGAGGCAGGAGAATCACGAATTTAAAGCTAGCCTCAGCAAAATTAGGTGCTAAGCAACTCAGTGAGACCCTGTCTCTAAATAATACACAAAATAGGACTGGGGATATGGCTCAGTGGTTGAGTGCCCCTGAATTCAATCCCTGGTACCAAAAACAAAAACAAAAGCAAACCCACTAGGTATTCTAATACTCTATGGGGTCACATAATAGCAGGGCCAATTATCACTGGTCATAAGGAAAGCTAATTAAAAATCAAATATTAAATGAAGATAGAAACAGTAAAAAAAGGATTCAAGACCCAGATGCCAGGATTCTCCATGCCAACAATGTGATTCCATGGTGTTCTTGATGGTTAACTATCCATGAAAAAAGCAGAACTGCTTGATGATTATACAGGGGGCCCAAAAGTGAAAAAGAATTCAGGGGCAAGGAAGTCTCTGCCTATTATTACTAGGGAAGCTGGCAGGGACTGTGCTAACCCTAATGTATTCCCTAAATTGGACAAGGAGTCACTCTGTATAAGATCCAATTCGTAAGGGTAGAGGTATCCCAATTATAGAGGCAGGTAATTTTCCATCCTTAGATGGCACTCAGTAAGAGTTTTTCAGGAAGCATATAGGATCTCCTGAATTTGGGGGCAAAGCTGCTTCACAATGTCAAAATGGAGATACTTTTCACCAGTTCAAACCTCTGAGCTTCAGGCTCAAAGACACTATATCTCAGAAGTGTCACATCTCAAAATATGTTCCTTCATATCCCATAACTCCAATCTGGGCTCCTAAGCCCTTACTGACACTGATCTTTATGTATGGATAGTCACAGAATAACAATTTGTCTATTCTGATTTATCTTCATTTAAAAAATAGTCTACACCAAATCAAATCTCTTAATTGCCCCAATTTTAGGCAATGGAGAATTTGGACCAGGAAAGGGCATTTCCAAATACCTGATAAATTATACAGAGCTATGGGAAGGGGTCAGAAATAGTGGATGATATTTCCCAATCACACTGGTGCCTTACCAAGTCTATGGAATTAGATGGAAGCAAAGATTACTAAATAGCAGGATTTTGCTTTGGTAAAGAAAAAATGCTTAGCAACATGACTCAGTTAAATAAAGATTGAGCATCAAAGATCTACCAGGCATGATAGTTGGTCCCTGGGGTTGTAGAGGGACATGTAAACAGAAGGGGAATACCATGTGCAAGAACAAGAATGGGTACACAGGAGAGAAGGCCAGTGATCTAAGGAAGGTTATTAGCCTTATCAGGAGAATCTACCACAGATAAATAGGACCCTGATAGAAGTACAGTGCGGGACAGAGCATCTTAGGCAGTGGGAACATGTCTGAAGCACCATTTGAAAACATACAACACAAAGAGGGGACAGAGTGGCAAACTAGGAAAGTAGGCAGGAGTTCAAGCATAGGTGGTCCTGTCTTGCTTAAGAGCTTGGATTGTATTCTTTAAATAATAGGGAACCAGTCAAATTTGTGATTTAGAAAGTTCGACTTGGTAGCAATTTGAAGAATGGGTTGAAAAGGCATGAGATCAGTTCAACGGCTGTGGCTAAAAGCCCAGCAGACAGGATGCTTTGTTCCCTTGGTGTGTTGAGAATTCATAAGCAAAGAGAACTGTTTGCATTAGAGCCCTGCTCTGGAGAATAGGGTTCAAAACACCCCAAATTGGCTAATCATTCTTCCCTCCTCCTCTTTCTTGTTCAGCATCACCTTGCACTTCAAAATCTCCTGTCCAACTTCACCTGCTTTCAGCTACCCCAGGAGCCCAGTCTTCATGGTGCCACAGGTGAAGATAGAGATGGAGTCTGACTATGACTTCACAGACGAAGAATATGGAAGAGAGGCCCACGGTGAGACCACCCTTTAGGATGATGCAGCTTCTCCCCGCCTGGGCAAGGGCCTGGTTTAGTTTTAATTGAGTCTTAACTTCTCTGTGCCTGTCTCGTTATGTACCGGAGTGGGTCCTTCTGCCCTATAGAAAACTGGCCATCCTTCAGTGGAAAGTCCTACTTAGATGCAAAGCTCTCTTCATCCCTTTGTAGTTATTAAAATATCTAAATGTAAACATTATACCTTATTTTAAAATGCAGTTCAGCATAGAAATCATAACATTTCTTTTGAAATGAAAAAAAATGCTTGCCTCTTAAAACCATAAGATAAATGGGCAATAGTCAATTTTATATTTAAGACAAGTATTAAAATTTTTAAAGGTTAGATTGAAATCTAGGTGGTTTTAAAGAACTTTTAACATACTCTTTCATCAATAGGACAAGGCTGGAATATTGTTTTGCAAAATTGCATATTTTTATGCAATTTTGGTTGGCTTTAACAGGTTGACATGTTATTACTTCTCCATGCAGAGTGATGCTGGAAAGGTCCTACCTTTTCTCTGAATCTCATTCAGCTAAGTTTGAATTTGCATTGTGGGCCTTGGTCTAGAAGTGTGACTGGGGCTTTTCTAGATTGAAAAGCCAGTTCCAAAAGTCTGTTAATGAAGGAACCAATGCATCAGAGTGGATAAAGTGTTTTAAAATGAAATAGTCACTGTTAAAGTGAACCTCAAATCACATGAGATCCACAAAGTTTTTTGTTTTTGTTTTTGTTTTTTCAAACCTGGATTCCAATTTCTTTATTTGGAATAGATCCTTCCTACAAGTTTTCAATGACTGATCCCCAAAGTCAGATTTCTATTTACATGAACATTACATGTTAGGCAGCTAACACTTTGGAAAATTATAACTTGGCAATGTTAGTCAAACCAGTCCTTTAAAAGAATGATTAGAAGCAATTTGGGTAGATTAACACCAATTATTAATGAAGCAGACCCTTTCCACGTTAAACTTAAAAAGATTGGACATTTTAGGTTCAATACACATTGAATGAGTGAGCACCAACTGTTTATATAATACCTGCTATTGCCAGATAACCACATGCATCTGACATTTTCTTCTCCAAAACAACTATGGATTTGAATCTTCCTTAAATTTAACCTCAGAGCTCTCTTCCAAGGAATACTGCCAAGAGGTAAAGCTCTAAACCTCTACCTGATAGCAAAATTATTTAGCTGTTCACTAATCCAGAACCATCCTATTTAAGTACAAAGCCTTTATCTTCATTTGTACCAATCCTGGGAGAGCTACCAATCTACCCTTAACATTTAAGTTTTAAAGTCTGGCTGATTTGAAATAGTACTGTCCCCATTAAATTGTAGAAATGTTATGGATTCAGGAGTAAATGTGCTTGATTAATAAAACAAACTGGAAAAGTATGATGTTAGCTTTTTGTTGTAAATTGATCCATGTAATTTTTACCTTATATATCCTTTATATTTTGTATATACATGAACATTTTAAGTCTTTAACAGGTTGACATGTTATTACTTCTCCATGCAGTAATTTTTTCCACTTTTAATGTAACTAAAATTCAATAAAAATTAATCCTGTCTGCTCATCTGACTCCATGTTTAATAATTTAGGTAAGTCAGCAGGCAAGACATATAGACATAAGCTATACCTCACTTACAAAAATATCGCCATCAAACTAGCAAAAGAATAAAGCAAGCTAGAAGAGCACAAGGAAGGAGAAGATCAACTCCCCAGAGTTCTCTCCCTTTTGGCTTCAAACTGCCTAGAGCAGGAGCTACTTGCATGAAAGTGCAGATACATAGCTGTGATTCATAATACGCAGGGGCCTATCTCAAGTGTCAGGATGTGCACCACACCATCCCTAATCAAACTGATACTTTAAACACATGCATAGGCATGCACGTGCACACACACACACATGCACAGACACACACAGGGTGGGCAGAGGTGGTGATGGGGAAATAAATTTACTTTTACTATGAATGTGTGTGTTGAGAACCCAGAAAGGAGAAAATCCTTTGTAGTGATGTGTAAATTGAATGCCTGGTTTAGAAAACACTCAGAACCATTTCAATGAAATTTACAGATTAAGTTCCTAGTTTGACATTACCTGCTGGGATTAAGGACTAGGCTGGTTTCTTCACAGTTCTTTAAACCAATTTGTTTAAGGTTAGAGGTTGGGTGTTACCAAATATAGAAATAACTAGATTATATCCAATGAGAAAAGTTCACTCTGGTTAGATTACAATTAAGACAGTAGTAGGAGACAGTATTTCAGAAATTCATTCCACACCAGACAAATGTGTTTTATTTAAAAAAACAAAAAACAAACAACAAAAAAAAACCCACCTTTCTTTAAAAAACAAAAACACACACACCAAAAAAACTTTCATCAGAAAGTCTAAATTCAATATTAATTCAAGCTCTTTAAAATCTTTCAGGAAAGCTGACAGAAAAGCAGGCAGCTGTGACAGTTCTTTGGTGGAAAAGTTGCATATTTACACCAGCTGCCCAGTGATTATCAAGCCCAAGTGTTGTTTTTCAAAAATAGGTTTCAAGACATAACAAAGAACCATACAGATACCCACTAAAATACAAAAACTGAATAATAAAGTTTAAGGATATAGCAAAATGGATTTAGCAAAAAGGATATAGCCAAATATGGCAATACACATGAATAATTTATAAAACAAGCCTTTCAATCCTAGAAAACCACAATGGGGAGAACTCACTGAAGGCCAAGGAACACAAAGCAATAGCAAATGGAACAACCCAAGACATTTCCTAACAACGAAGCCAAAAAATAAAAAAAAGACAGCTAGTAATGTAGTTTCTTTTTTCTAGCCAATTCAGTTCTCCTTGGATAAATTTGGTTATTGATCAATATGTATAAAAATTATGGTGACTTTTTTTTCCCTCCACTCTATTACCATTTCTTCCTTTCCCCTAATTTTCTCTAACATTTTTTTTTCCTTTGGTTTGACCAGTTGAACTCAAAAGGCTTGGAACCTAAAATGAGTATCAACTCTTATTGGAAAAGCACTTGGGAAATGCAATCCTAGAAAAGGCAAAGTTTTAACTGGAGTGGCTTGACAAAGTTAAGCATCCATTCTCGATGTGACAAGTCTCTTATGTTAATCACTAGATTAATGGCTTCTCTTGGCTAGATCATATGATCCAGCATGACACTGGAGTGTTCCCTGGTGAGGTACTGCAGAGCCATGTGTTCACAAAACCCACCCATTTTAAGCTTTCAATAAATACAAAGCATCATTTTAAACCATTTCAGTAAAATAAATTAAAAGTATTGCATTTCTAATGACCTGCTTGATCACCTCGTGGACTGGCTTGAAGTGCTATTCATGGCAGAGTAGACACAACAGTTAATTGGTGGCTACTCCAAGTTCTTTAGACTTCAGCACTTCCCGCTCTTCAGGCCTCAGCACTTTTTTTGCAGCAATAATGGTATTCTTCATTAGCATTGCCACCGTCATGGGACCAACACCCCCAGGGACAGGAGTGATATAACCGGCTTTCTTCCTGACTCCTACATGGAAACAAGACAGGCTGTTTCAGTTATGGCAAAAAACATATTATGAAAGGTGCATACAAAGAAAAAGCAATAATAAACATAACCACCTTCATTAGCCTCAAAACTCATTAAAAGAAAATTATACCTACATCACTGAAGAGTAAATGATTTTGAACACACTAGTGAAATAACATGCACATAACATGCAGTTGTTCAATGAATATCTAATAACCTATAGTTTTCTGGTCATACTTGTCTTCCATGTTAAATAAATTTAAAAAGAAATATCTTGGTAGGTTAACTGTAGGGGAGGTAGGGAAGGGTATAACTGACAATAAGCATTACCTCAACACCCGCCTACAACATTTTTTAAATCTTGAGTATAATTTGCCCAAAGTACCAAAGGAATTTTGTACATCTAATAACCTGTAGTTTTCCAGCCATACGCCACGATTTTATTTATTTTTTTTTAATTTGGTTACCAAGGATTGAACTCAGGGGCATTCAATCACTCAATCACACATCCTCAGCCCTTTTTCATATTTAGAGACAGGGTCTCGCTGAGTTTCTTAGGGCCTCACTAAGATACTGAGGCTGGCTTTGAACTTTTTTTTTTTTTAAAGTATTCATAATTTTTTAGTTTTAGGTGGACAAAATAAAATATCTATATTTATGTGGTGCTGAGGATCGAACCCGGTGCCTCATGCATGCTAGGCGAGCGCTCTACCACTGAGCCACAACCCCAGCCCCAGGCTTTAAACTTTTGATCTTCCTGCCTCAGCCCCCTGAGCTGCTGGGATTACAGGTATGCGCCACCATGCCCAGCTAATTTGTTGTTTTTATATATTTTTAAAATTACATCATTTACCTTCAAAGTCTACATCTCCAACCAACTTGGGTTTAGCAGTTATAGGATCCTGAATTCTGTTAATTCCCACATCAATGACTGCTGCTCCTTCCTTGATCATATCTGCTGTGATGAGATTTGGAATGCCTGGCCAATGGAGATAGGAATGATCAACTTAGTACTAAAAAGAAGCTTCCACCTGTCAGATTCTTGCCTTTCAATTTCTAGAGACTTAAAAGAGCTAATTAACACATTTTATAATAATATTAAAGAATCAAGGGACCATTTAAATTCATATAGTAAATGGAACTATTTTTATTTATTTTCACCTATCCAGTCTATAATGGAGTGCCAAAAACCAGTATCCCAACCATAACTCCACCCTCATCTTTGAAGGCAGCTCAAAAAATTATTATGAGGGGAAGGATGAATGGCAATGAGGCACGTGGATCCTAAGAGACGAGGTACAACTTCACTCTCCTGAAGAGAAGTCCTTCTAGCCCTCTCCCTTGAGTTCTTACCTGCAGCAGATATGACAATATCTGCAAGAATTGTGTGCTTCTTCAATTGTTCTTTGGGAGTGTATCGATGAGATATTGTAACAGTGGCATCACCTAAGGGAAAAAAAAAAATAGATGTTTTGATTACTGAATCGAAGCTAATTACATCTCAACTAATCAAGTCATTGTAGAAACTAATCTCTGAAAAATAACTGACTTAATGCTTGTGCCCTATTTTCTGAACATCTAATTGTCATTTGCTTTTTAAAATTAATACTCAATGTAGCTTTTACCCATTGGTCTTGGCTCTACCCTTTGGAATCATACATAATTAACTTTATTCCTTATTGTACTTCCCAGCTTTCCAAGAATTTTATCTTGTCTAAGATATAATTGTCACGAGGTCACAAGTGTTATTTATTTATTGATTGATTGATTGATTGCCAGGGATTGAACTCAGGGGCGCTTAAACACTGAGCTACATTCCCCTTTTTATTTTGAGACAGGAGTTCATTAAGTTGCCCAGGACCTCGCTAAATTGCAGAGGCTGGCTTTGAACTCGTGGTCCTCCTGCCTCAGTCTCCTGAGTCACTGTGATTACAGGAATATACCACCACATCCAGCTGCTTTTTTTTTTTTTTTTTTTTTTAAGTTAATGAAAAAAGATAGCTGGAAACATAGTTTGCTACTATTTCTGATATAATAATGTAAGGTTGTTATTGCAACAATTAAATATGATAAATGATTTATGAGGCTTTTCCTTAGATAAAATAACATAACATGACATGACACATGGCAGTCATATCAAATCAACCCTTTGCAGTTGTCTGAGATATTTTTCTACCAAATGATACAGAACACTATATTAACTTCAAATAAGAAGTGCTTCTTAGCTCCAACCATCAAAGCCACACCTGAAAATTTCTAATTGCCTACAAAATGCTTTACTCAAAACTCAAATTGATTTCTGAGGTTAATTCCATAATAAATGAATTGAAACTCCTTGATGATACTGAGTAGTTTCTATACAAAAGTTACTCACTGAGTAAATGTTAACAGAATTACAACAAATATACTTCTGTTGTCTCTGAAGGTTCTCCAAAAAGGGAGAAGAGAACACTGCTCTGAAAGCAATTTCCTTACCTCCAGGTCTTTCATGAGCCCCATCTGTGTGTAGTAACATTGCAATGGGCATTCCAACATTTTTTGATCTTCCAGCCACAACCACATTCTTCCCTAGGGTTGGAATACCTATGAAAAAAAAATATTTTTGCATTAAAAGGAGTGTCAATCCATCTAAAATGTGCAAAAAAAACCAGATGACCTGGGACATGAATCCAATTTTAATAGTGAAGGAAATCACTAAGTTTATTGCCTCATTAGTCAGTCAGAGTTAATACTTGCTCACATAGAAAGGGTTAAAAGAAAACAGGATAGCCAGGTGCAATGGCACATGCCAGTAATCCAGTGACTTGAGAGGCTGAGGCAGGAGGATTACAAATTCGAGGCCAGCCTCAGTAACTCACTGTCTCAAAATAAAAAATTTTAAGGGCTGGGGATGTGACTCAGTGGTAAAGTGCTTCTGGGTTCAATTACTAGTACCAGAGAAGAAAAAAGGAAATAAGAGAATATGCCCTATAAATTAGAAAATGTTATAAGAATGTAGACCACCACCACCACTATTAAATCTTAAGTTCCTTTCCTGAGGTTTCTGAATTAAAGTCTCCAAATATTCACAGACAAGTGTCAAAAGAGGTAAGCACAGCAGAGTAGGAATAAAAGATGTGGACTAGGGCTCCACTCATTGGAACTGTAGGAATTTTTTGCCATTTGTAAGTATAGGTTGAATATTCCTTATCTGAAATACTTGGGACCAGAAGTGTTTCAGATGTCAGAGATTTTCAGATTTTGGAATATTTGTATAGAAAGTTCATCTTTATAATTTTATCATATTATATGTGTGTGTGTGTGTATATTTTTTAATTTTTTAAAATAAGTTTATCACTTGAGCCTCCCTAATCCAAACATTGACAACGCTTTACCCATACTTCCTTGATAATTCTAACAAGACATAAGATTCTGGGATATACCTACCAGTTCGCTTAATTATTTCCCACACGCCCCATGGGGTAGCAGGTAACATGGAATACTGGTCCAAACACATTCGCCCTACATTAATTACATGAAAGCCATCAACATCCTTGTCTGGAGAAACAGCATTGCAGATCTTTCTCTCATCGATGTGTTCTGTAAAGGAACCAAAGCCCAGCTTTAAATCACTATTCTGTAGTTGGGGGTGCTTGACTCCATCTTATCTGATTTGTTATGCAAATCCATCCCCTTTCTGACTTGCCTCCCTGATGCACTTCATCTTCACAGATGTCAAATGCCAGTATGGAAGCCAACACCCCTTTTTTTCCATTGCTTCCCTCCACTGTGGTTTGTACAAAGATTTCAATATGGAGACAAGTGGGTATTCTAAGTAGATCTGTCCCAATAATCTTTTTACCTTGCCTTTAAGTCAAATTCACATGAAGGGCCAGGTGTACAAGGTAGCCAAGCCTCTCCACAGCTCAGACTCCATTAACTAGAATGTAAAACTCACCTGGGAGAGGGAGTTGAACAAGCAGACCATCTACATTTTCATCATTATTTAGTTTATTGATTAAATTCAACAGCTCTTCCTCTGAAATTGAAGCTGGTTTCACAATTGTCTCACTGTTGATTCCTATTGTAAGAAAATGATGAGTTATTTACTTAGTGAGCACTGCTATGTTGCCAGCCACACTCTGCTACCGCAGGGGTTTTTAATCATTGGATCCACCCTGGCAGCTGAACCAGCTCACAAGGAACCTAAGAGGTTTAATTTTGCACATATATAGGCTACAGAAGACTAGCTTGACACTTTCATACATTATTCTGTGCAGTTTTCATTACTCTCATTTTAGAGACAAGGAGACTAAAGCAGGCAGATTAAAAAGCTAGCTTAGTGACAGGAGTGGTGGTGCATGCCTGTAATCCCAGCAGCTTGAGAGGTTGAGGCGGGAGGATTGCAAGTTCAAAGCCAGCCTCAGCAACTTATGAGGCCCTAAGCAACTTTAGTGAGACCCTGTTTCTAAATTAAAAAAAAAAAAAAAAGTGATGGGGGGTTGTGGGCGGGGGGAGCTTGGAATATAACTCAGGTTTTCAGCTAAAATGGCAGGAGGTCTCAATTTTCAGTGATCACAGAGTACACCAAGGGTTCAGAGGCTAGTAACTCCATCCAGCCACATTGGAAGGCCAGAGGAAAGGGCACCTTTTGCTCAGACCACTGACCCACAAGTGAGTGGGCACAGGTGTATCTGAACCCACCACCTCTTGTCCGAAGTCACGCAGTAATCTGTGGTACTGCAAGACCCACAAACCTCCTACCACCTGGACCCAAATCACTTCTAATTGCATGATTAGTTTTGCAATCAATCAGTGAAGAAGTCAAAAGCTATTTCTCAGAAGTTGGAGTCATTTCCTTCAAATCGGTGACTGTTCAACCACATCACTAAGATGACTTAATGTTGTATTGCTCAATCTTTCCCCGTTACCCTGCTGCTTTAAAACTGCTACACCCAAGTCAGAGACTCTCATTATTCCTCAAGAAAAGCAAATATCAAGATCAAGATCACCTGTAGAATGTTAATGCCAAGAATTTAGCTCATATTCCAGAAGACACCAAGAATGCCAATCAAGTTCCTTCTGTCCCAGTCAATAAGCCTCCCCAGTAAATTGGATCTAATTTCTTCACAACATTTTGGATACAATTCAGTCATATTAGCCTCCTCTGCCTGAGTTTTCTAATCAGAAAAAGGAATCATAAATTATAATGGCGTCTGCCTCAGATAAACTTCAACTGAACGGCAGAAAGGTCTGATAGTGATACGTACCCACATCTGCAGCTGCCCTGGTTTTGTTGAGGACATAGGAATGACTTGCAGGATTCTCACCAACCAGAATCACACTCAGATGTGGCCGCTTGTTGCCAGAGGCTACCCACTCTTCCACCTCCTGCCGCACTTCTTGCTTGATCTGTTGGGCCAGTTTTCTTCCAGAAATGACAACAGCTTCATTTCTGCAGAAGGCAACAGAGTCACAAAACCAAATAGCTTAGATTTCTGTAAAAGTAAGTTGTTATTAAACTCCACACTCTTAAAGCTTAGATTAAATTGCCTGGTGCCTAGTATGAGGTGGTGAACATGTGTCCAGCTACATGTTTAGGGGGGATACAGTTGACTGAAACAGTTAATCTGAAGCTTTGGGAGTTTAAGAGACCAATCAAGTTCATGTTTTGCCACTGTTGCTAATAACCAGTCATGTTTCATATTGTTTCCCAATTACTCTATTGCCCTTTAATTTTTTACTGTGCTTTTAAATTTTAAATACAGCTGTCCCTTGTATCTGTAAGGCATCGATTCTAGGATCCCTTTCCTACCCATGGACTCAAGTCCCTTATACAACCTATGCACATCTGTCCCTATACTTTTTTAGTGGGGGGTGGGGGGTGGGGAGCAGGACTGGAGATGGGGCGGGGGCACCTTACCACTAAGCTATATTCCCAGCCTTTTTAATTTTTTGAGACAAGGTCTCTCTAAGTTGCCCAGGCTGGACTTTAACTTGCAATCTTCCTGCCTTGGCTTCCCAAATCACTGGGATTACAGATGTTTGCCACCGTGCCTGCCTCCTCTATAGTTTAAATCACCCCTAGATCATTTATAATATCTAATACAATGCAAATATATATAAATAGTTGTTACACAGTATTGTTTAGGGAATAATGACAAGGAAAAAAAGTCTGTACATTCATTTTTTTCCCCCAAAATACTTCCCATCTGCAGTTGGTTGAACCCACAGATATAGAAGGCTGACTATATATAAATTAAATAATGTAGTTAGACCAATAAATGCATTGCTGGCTAGGTCAAACCTTAAAATGCCTACCACTGCCCATTCTATACTTTCCCAGTAAGAGGGGTAGGTTCCTTCTCATAGGTGGCAATATACTCTAGCCCAGAACCCCACAGCTCATCCACAGTTGACAAACCAACAGTGAGCATCTGACACCAGGGGTGTCAATTCCTAGGTTGGTGAGCAGTCCAGTTAGTGCAATAGCTTAGCTCAACAGGAGCAGTAGCAGTTAACTGGACCAGCAAGAGCTCCTCCCCCAGGGACTTCAAACTAGAACCAAAGAGGACCTGTTGAGGACGGAAACAGCAGAAGATAGAAAAAGAAGCAGAGATGAGAGAACAGCAGTCACATCAATGAGAGTCAATTCGGACAAAGGATCAGAAAACTGCTGGAGCTGGGCATGGTGGCAACTCAGGAGACTCAGGCAGGAGGATTAAAAGTTCAAGGCCAGCCTTAGCAACTTAGAAAGACCTTGTCTCAAAAAAGAAAAATGGGCTGGGGATGCAGTTCGGTGATAAAGCACACCTGGATTCAATTCCTAGTACCAAAAATAAACTAATTAAAAAAAAACAAACTCTACTAGCAGTGGGGCAAGTTGAAAACTCAGGATCTAGAGGAACCTCCAATTTCTAAAACTATGTTCAGACTTCTTAACAAGACTATCTCTTTCCAACAAGAATGGGTTATGCAGCTCTTCCTGATCTCTATGAAGCCCCAAATGCAAAGAGTCTTAGTTTTCTTATTTCCACAGGTCCTTACAGTAAAGTGCCATTACTTAAAGAAAAGAATCTTGTCCTTAAGCAAAAAGATCCCACAAAAACAAGTCTTCTCTTTAGGCTTCTGCCCTCAGTGTCATATGAGCATTGCTCCAACCTTAAGAACAATGAAACATCAATTCCCCTTATAAATACATGTTTAATTCTCAGGGACACAGCATCTTGCATGGTCAGATAGGGTAATTCTCAAGGTCAATGGTACTTAAGACAGAACTTCAAATCTTTAACATCTTTTAATCTTTTTAATGCCTGTTTTTTATTTGCATTGTGAACATCTTTTTAATGCCTGCTTTTTATTTGCATTGTGAATAAATACCTACTCTAAACCAAATCTCAATGTCTTATAGTAATAGAGAAAATTTGTAGCTAAAATTTATATTAATCTGTACTCTATCTTGTGAGGTATTAAGATCTCATATATGACAACAAGAACAAAAAAAAAGGTACCAAGATCTCTACCCAGATTTAATGTAATGATACTAGTATGGTACAAAATATATAACAGCATTTAATTTATATTGAAAACATTCTTAATATTCACAAATCATCTAGAGTTGAATAGAACTTCATTAAGAGCTTTGCTGATATAAATACCCCTGGCAACATTCCTGATATAGATCAGGAATGATTAGTAAGTATCTGGAATACCTTTCCTTGACCAGAAATACATCCCCAACCCTAGAATGCTATAGTATCAAATACTACTTAAAAAGAACATAAGATAGGGGCTGGAATTGTGGCTCAGTGGTAGAGCACTTGCCTGGCTTGTATGAGGCCCTAAAAGATCCATTTACAACTAAAAAATATTAAAAAGAAAGAAAGAAAACAACTTAAGATAGTATTGAATGAAGTAATGTATATAAAAATGTCAGGTATGTATGTTCAATAACAGTAATTTCTTACACTCTTCTCTTGGTTGTATATACACATATATCCTTAATATACAGTGAATATATTTTCGCATAGTCATAAGGAATTATTCACATGCACAAATGCACACACATATACTCAGTGGGAAGCACTTAGCTTGCCCTTCATAAAAAATCTCTTTGAAAAGCAGTAACTTACAAAAATGGTAGCAGCTCACTTGGACTAAAAATGATATACTAAAGTTAAGGACACAGGGTTCTGGGAGAAGCCAGTGTTCCAAGCCCCAATCTTTGCTTCCAAAAGCAGGTTCTGGGTGTTATGCCAATTTGCTTAAAAAAAAAAAAAAAAAAAGTCAGAAGAGCAACATGAACTAAAAATAAAGCCACAATGTAATGAAGATCTTTCATAATATAACTGCATTTTAGCCCTCCTCTGCTTCTCACAACTCTTGCAAAATGTGAAACACATTAACTAACTTCCTATCATCTCTTTTGCCCAGGGGCAGATAAGTCAATGCTATCCTCAATAAACAGGGGAATGGGAAGAATCAGCCCAGTCCCATAAGGAATCCAAACATTATAATGCTTTTAGCTAACACTTATTTAGGAATTAAGTGCTTTTGCAAATGTGTTTAGAAATTTTTTCCATTCAAACAATGAATCAATAGAATAGAAGAAGTCAAGAAGTCTGTTCCAGTAAATTTGAAATTAAAATTCAAGTCAGCACCATCTTCACTTTCTCTTTAACCCAATGGCTTAGTCATTTTCCATCAAACATCAACCATCAGGGGCATTTTACAGCTCAAAATCAACTTATTTTGGGGAGAGGTCTATTTCTTCTTACTAATAGTACCAGTAATGAGTGAAGAAAGATACAAAAGGGAATGGAACTAACATTTATTTAATAGTAGGTACTTTGTTAAAACTTTTACATACATCACTCTCAGTTACCCTGGGGTTATTATAATAACCCTCTTGCACAGAAGAGGATACTGAAGATAGTAGAAACAAGACTCAAATGCAGACTCCTGCCTCAGAGTTCATTTACCCCTCTCCCCCACTATCTCCTAGGCTATAGTACTCATCTAACCACAGGGTTTGTGTTCCTGAAACTCTCAAACAGCAAAACATGGGCTCTGTTAATAACAAATGTGCAGTACAGAGCACATGCATTGCCTTCAAACATGTGGAGCCCACTAGTAATTCAGAAAGGCAAGCAGTAAAATCAGAACATTTGTCATCAGTGTTTAAGCAAACTGCTTTAGTTCTAAGATCTTTATAAATATCTTTTCAATCAGAAAAGCCTATGAAGGCTCTGTCCTACAAGCACATGTGGTCAGCACTTAGGAAGAGGGAAAAAAACAGACAGTAATGAAAGAGGAGACCAAAAGGCTGATCAGAATCAGACCAAAAAGTCTTGATTGTCCCCTTCCACATTCTCCTTCAAAAACTCACTCATACTACACAGATTCTACATCACGAGCCATAACCAGCAGTGCCTTGGAAATACCTTGTGTGTGTGTATGTGTGTGTGTTTTACGTTGTAGTTGGACACAATACCTTTATTTTTATTTTTATGTGGTGCTGAGGATCGAACTCAGTGCCTTGCAAGTGCTAGGCAAGCGCTCTACCGCTAAGGCACAACCCCAGCCCCTTGGAAAGATCTTTAACAGCATTTTTACACTAAGTGGAGATTACACACCTATCCTACTCCTTGATAGTTCCACTAATGAAAGAACAGTGGTTTATCCCCGCTAAATCTGCACAGCTTAGCAGAGTGTCTGGAACAGTGAATATATGTTGGGGGAAAAAATAAAAGTTACTTTTAAAGATACAGGACTCTAGCTGCAAAAGATCTAAAGATTGACAGGAAAGAGGGTGCAGAAATGTGGGAAGAGAAATCATAGTCCCCCAAAAGACTCTTCAAGCTAGGTTTAGGAATGGAACTTTGAGGATCAAAAAGATCAAGAAAAACCAATTACCTACCTCCCTAAGGAAATTCAACCAGAGTTTTCCCTGTCTTCCTCCTGGTATTTTTTTCCTCCAATTTTTTTTTATTGTTGTAAAATACACAAATAACCTTTGCCATATTGATCACTTTTAAGTTTACAGTTCAGCTGTATTAAATACATTCATATTTAATAGAAGGGCAACCATCACTGCTATTCATCTTCAGAACTCATCTTGTAAAAACTATCCATGCAACAATAACTCCCCACTCCTCCTTCCCCAGTCCCTGGAAACCTCCGGGTATTTATCACCTCAAGTTACCCAGGTTGGCACGGGTCACTTCGTGGAGTGGATTGCAGTCAAAGCCCTGAAGACCTCAGTACATTCATTCACAGCCGCGAAGCCGCACTAGGAGCGCAGAGCGAGCCACACCCACACCCCGGAGGAGGAGCGAAGCGTGGGTACCTCTCTAGCAAGCGGGCTCCGGGATTTCATCAGACTGCACCAACCCCATCCACCGCTAGGGTCTCGGGAAAGGACCGCTAACAGAAGGCGGCTCTTTCGGAACCCTTCCAGGCGCTCGCCCAAGGTTTCCCAAGACGACTCTCAGCATCACAGCCCGCGTTGGCAGGTTCTGGCCGATAACCTCCTTCCCATGTAAAAAGGGGCACCCCAGAGTCCCCTGAACCTTCGCTCCGCACTGTCGGCTGCGGCATCACTCGGTGCCACGTCGCCCCGCCACACCCCTCCAGGCGGCCACCACCGCCGGGGCTTGCTCAGAAAGACGTACCTCAGCACCCCACCGGAAGCCGGGCGGCCCCTGTTCTCCGTTTTCCCCGGCTTTCCGTGCTGTCCCGCTTCCAGATTCACTTACCGAACTGCGGCGAGGTGAAAGGGATGATGGAGGAGGTGGCAGCTTTGCGCGGGCCGGAGCAGCCGGGTGGCCAACGCAGAAAACAGAGAAGTTGCAGCCATCGCCAGGGCTGGTGCCTGTGCCGGGAGAGAAACGCGCGCGCGGGCCTTGCGGTTATACCTCCACCTCTTGGTAGGTCCCGCCTCCCACCGACACCCATTGGTCTCTGCTCCACTCTGCCGGCTGTCCTGGAGCCGAGAGAGCCAATCGGTTGTCTCCATTAAACGTAAGCGGTGCAGGATAGAGCCCGGCTTATGATTGGAGCAAGAAGAGCCGGCAACCTGGCTCTAGAAGGCTAATAAGTCTGAGTAGAATGGCCTGATTGGCTGAGGAAGTCAAGCCCCTGCCTGACGCAGCTATTGTCACCCACGCCGGGCCGATAGGAATTAGAGTTCATTCATTCATTCATTGAACAAATGTCTGAGGGCCTACTGTGTGCCGGGTCACTAGTGGAGTGGATTGTAGTAAAGTGTGGATAAAAAGGCAGATAATCAACAAAGAAATAAAAATGGAGTTGGAAAATCAGTATTTGGTTAAGTCATAGTAAAAACTGATTCGGAATCCTCAATGAACGTCGAAGCAACTGGATGAAAAGTTGGATGTGGAATGAGATACTTACATATAGGTTCGCCAGATGTAGCAAATAAAAATACTAGACGTGCAATTTTTTTTTAAGAGAGAGAGAGAGAGAGAGAGAGAGAGAGAGAGAGAGAGAATTTTTTAATATTTATTTTTCAGTTCTAGGCGGAGACAACATCTTTGTTTGTATGTGGTGCTGAGGATGGAACCTGGGCCGCACGCATGCCAGGCGAGCGCACTACCGTTTGAGCCACATCCCCAGGCCCTAGACGTGCAATTAATTTAGAATTTTAGATAAATAATTTGAGGAGGTCAAATTCGTATTTTAAAAAGCACTTATTATTTTTCTGGAATTAAAATTCAACTGGTTTTCCTGTATTTTATCTGGCAACATTTTTGCACAGTCTCAAATTCTCTCTCCAGCAAAATACTTATTAATAACAAAAACCAAGTGATCAAATTTAACATCGCCACATGAAACAAACATATTATGAATTTCTCAATATGATGCACTGAGGACACATCACTTCATAGCTTTAAACAAGTCTGAAAATTAAATGCAGTGATTTAGGAAAACTATAAGTCTCCTATAAAGTGTTACAGATTTCTCATTTTTACATTGAGAAGAAAGATAACAGACCTGCAATGTAAAAACTGTTCAAGAACAAAAAATTGTCCTAGCCAGGCAAGATGGTGCACACCTGTAAGCCCAGCAGTTCCAGAGGCTGAGGCAGGAAGATAGCAAGTTCAAAGCCAGCCTCAGCAACTTAGGGAGGCCCTAAGCAACTTAGCAAGACCCTGTGTCAAATATAAAAAATAAAAAGGGTTGGGGATGTAGCTCAGTGGTTAAGAACCCCTGAGTTCAATCTCTGGTACCAAAACAAAAACAAAAATAAAACATATTCCTAAATGTGGGGGAAAAAACATATTTCTGAAATTGGTAACATGCTATAAGGTTTTAATCTAATCATGAAGAAATATCAGACAAGCCCAAATTGAGACACTCTACAAGATAAAACATTTGTACTATTCAAAAATGCCAAGACCATGAAAAACAAAGAATGAGGAAATGTTTTAGATTAAAAGAGTTTAGTTATGACAACTAAATGCGATATGTGAGTCTGGAATGGGTTCTGGACCCTCTAATATTTTTGTTTCTCTTCTTTTTTCTCTTTTGCTATAAATGGCATTATAGGACAATTGTCAAAATGTGAATAAAGTCTATAATTAGTTACTAGCACTGTAACAATGTTAATTTCCTGATTTAGCTAATCATATTGTGACATGTAGGAGAATGCACACTACTTGCCTTTAGAGATAAAAGGACAACTTACTTTCAAATGGTCCAGAAAAAATAAGGATATGTAATTAAAATAAGGGTATGTATATAAGTATGTTTGTTAGGGTGCTCCTTTTTCTATCTTTCTCCCTCTCCCTCTCCCTCTTCATACTTTTGTGTGTGTATATTTAAATACACACACACACACACACACACACACACACACACATACCAGTTGCAGTGGTACACACCTGTAATCCCAGGTGCTCAGGAGGTTGAAGCAGGAGGACTGCAAGTTCAAGGCCAGCCTCCTAAGCAACTTAGTGAGACCTTGTCTCAGAATAAAAAATAAAAAGAGCTAGATATGTGGCTCAGAGGTAAAGCACTTCTGAGTTCAATTCCCAGTACCCAAAAATAATTAAATAAGTAAATATGCATATATATGTGTGTGTGTGTATGTGTGTATAAAATATATATATGTATATATATTTTTTTTAAATATCCTCTTCTTATAAGGGCACTTATAGTCAGATTGTATTAGACACTTATAGTCAGATTGTATTAGAGCCCAAACTAATGCCCTCATTTTAATTTAATTGTTTAAGGCTCTATCTCCACATATAGTCACACTCTAAGGATAAGGTTTTGGGGCTGGGGATATAGCTCAGTTCATAGAATGCTTGCCTTGTATGTACAAGGACCTGGGTTCAATGGCCAGCACACACACACACACACACACACACACACACACACACACGATAAAGTTTCAACACTGAATTTTAGTGGGGACACAATTCAGTCCATAGCAATGTGTATACATAAAGAGAAACTGATCAAACAAATGGCAAATGTAAGATAGTAACAGTTGGGGAATCTGAAGGAAGAGTATGCCAATATGCCTTTGAACTTTTCCTGACACCTTTCTATGTCTGAAATTATTTCAAACTTTAAAAAAAGTGATGTTTCTGACCTCCTGGGGCTTAGCATAGGCAGACATACAGTGAACAAGAAAAAAGACTAAGAAAAAGAATATGGTGCTGAGAAGACAAGACAATGGATGTGGGAGGTCGTATAGTCTGGAGCATGGCCTACAGGTTACATGACTAGGTACAATGATTCCCAGAAACTGTCCCCAGAAAACTCCATATGGAAGTACCTTATGGTTGGCTACTTGGGCTTATAACTGTAAAGAAGGAAAGGAAATAGGCATGTCCAGTTTCAAAAAGCCCAGCCCTCTTAAAATTTTGAGAATTCTCTTTGTCAAAACTGTGAACTCTCAAGAGTGAAATTATATGTGAACATCATTATAGGTGTTTAACATGCTTAACAAAAAAGACTTGTTTCTATGTTCCCACAGTATTATATTGAAATATGATTTGTGAAATTAAAAAAAAAGACTTTATACGACAATTTTTAGATCAAGTTCTGTGGGATGAGGTGTTCAGGCTCTTCTATACCCAATCCCAATCAGTCTTCCTGCCTGCTTTCTTCCCTCAGACCCAACAGAGCACATCATGTCCTTTTATAAAGTGGTCACATTCCTCCCTGATTCCTAGAAGCACTGTTACTCATCCCCTCAAGGCTGCATCCCCAGACTATCTGACCTAAAAGTTTGATCTCTAGACTGCCACATCTAGTTCTTCACTGGGACTTGTATAATTTCTCTCCAAAATATCTCTCAATTTCATCTACAGCTCTCCCCACTGACCTATTCCTGGTCAACTACATCTCCACTCAGACAAATACGATAACCTCTTATCTGTTTTGGCTTTTAAAAGAGTATACAGCATTGTCCTTCTGAACACCTTTCAAGGGTGGCCACCTGGCTTCAAACAGGCTAAGATTCTTGGTGACTGCTTTCATTTCACTTCAGGTTCCCCCTTGACAGACATACTCATCATACTGGCTTCTTTCAGTTCCTTGATCACAGCAAACTCCTGACTGCTTCAAAGCCTTTGCATACTTTGTTGATTCTGAACAGAACCCCACTTCTTCTTTGGATCAGCTAACTCATCCTCTGGGGACTTAGTTTAAATGGCATTCAAACTCCCCAGTCTCTCTTTGGTCCTTCCTGTCACATTATTTTAATATTCTTAATGCATTCAATGCTTTTCAGTTTCTTTTTTTTTTTTTTTTAAGAATTTGACTAGAGAGATTCCTTTTTTTTTTTAAAGAGAGAGTGAGAGACAGAGAGAGAGAATTTTTTTTTAATATTTATTTTTTAGTTCTCGGCGGACACAACATCTTTGTTTGTATGTGGTGCTGAGGATCCAACCTGGGCAGCACGCATGCCAGGCGAGGGCGCTACCGCTCGAGCCACATCCCCAACCCCGCTTTTCAGTTTCTACAACTGTAATTACATATCATCTACTGGTATAATCATTTGATTAATATCTGTATTCTCCAACTGAATGTAACAGGAAGACAGAGGCCAAACATTTTTTTAGCAATGAATATGGCTAACACCACAGTCTGACTTCAGGCTTAACCATTTTCAGAGTGGAAACCTTCATGTGGCTTTTTTGCTCGAGTGAGTTTTTGGTGTCTGATAAATTGGATTTCTCTTTCATAGACTACAACCTGAGTCCCAACATAATGGGCAGGGACATCTTAGCAGTTTTACTGTCCTTTTATACTTACCTGTGACTGAGGCTAAAACATGAATTCTGAAAGCACCAACTGGCTAGGAGAAGCAGGAACCCTCTGTGACCAAAGTGGATTTAGTTGATAGTGTAAAGCTGGAGGTTTGCAAATGATGAGACAGCACACTTACACAGAATGAAAATGCAAGATTGCAAATCCTGTCCAAGGAAGCTGGAAAGGGGATGAATGGGGGGGAGGGGGGGAGAGGTTCAAGAGAGGAGGGACTGGTGTCTTTATAATTTGCCATTTAGCTTTTGTTTTCAGCATCTGCTATAAGCAGATGGTGTGCAGTGATCTCTCTGTTCAGCTGAGATAAGGAGGGAATTAAGAAAAAAAACAAACTTCTCCAGTCTTTGGATAGCCCCTGTCTAGTGGAAAACAAATTGCCCTGAAGCAATTAGCAATCAGCAATTTCTCTTTCTCCACTTGCTTCTCTCACCAGGAAATCTTATTTTTTTTATTCCTAAGGGGACTATACTGATATCAGTCAAATATTGACCTGGGATTTTCACCTAATCCTGAAGATTATCTCTTTTCCTCTATAAATCTAACAATATTAAAAGCTTTATCTAATAAATTGCTGATCTTTCATTGATTTAATAATTTTTTGGCTTAAAAAACAATCCCATCAAAAGGTGAAAAAACATTCTTGAATCCTTTTTTCTCATGATGTTTTTATGATAATTGTATTACTTAGGGTATATAAGTTATGAAAAAAAGTATGAGTCTGCATCCTTAGGTATACAGCTTCTATTCAGGTATATCAAATCACGTTGTAAGTTATAAACTACAAAATTCAACACAATAAAAAAATTAATTCAACATAACAGGTGATATTTCAATGAAATAAAATCAACATGAAAATCATGGTAGCAGGTACATGGGACAATCTTATTTACACCAGACCTCCTGCACAACCATTTGCTGAGGTATTTCTCTAGCCTCCCACAATTTCCCTTTTCCTTGTGTTCTTCATTCCACTATGGTGTGTGTTAGTGGTCACTTGGTGTTATTGAATCCTTCACCCACATTAAAAACCTGTACCTGGATGTTCATAGCATTAATCATAATGATTGAAAAATTAAAAAACAACCCAAATTTGTCCATCAATAGATGAATGGATAAACAAAATTTGCTGTGTTCCACAATGGAATTTTATTCATTTTGTAAAAGAAATGAAGTCCTCAAATATGCTAGAGGCGTGAATCTTAAAATATTAGGCTGAAGCCAGTCACAAAAGATTACTTACTGAATGATTCTATTTATATGAAATGTCCAGAATAAGAAAATTCATAGAAATAGAAAGTAGAGGGGCTGGGGTTGTAGCTCAGCGGTAGAGCGCTCGCTTAGCATGCGCGAGGCGCTGGGTTTGATACTAAGCACCACATAAAAAGTAAATAAATAAAACAAGGGTAGTGTGTCCAACTACAACTAAAAATAAATAAATAAATAAATAAAATAAAAATTTTTAAAAAGTAGACTATTGGTTGTCAGGAGTTGGGAGCGACAGGGAGTGGTAAGGAATGAAAACGCTCTTAGAACTAGATAAAGTGATGATGGTTGCACAAATCTGAATACATACACCCCCCAAAAAAAAACCACAATGAGATGTACATTTTGAAGGGGAGAATTTTATTCTATGTAAATGTATCTCTATTAAAAAATTAGTTTAAATTTTTTAAACAATTGCAGGGGTGTATATTGCTCATAACAGCGCTTCGGCTACCTGGGTAATAAGAATGAAACACAGCAACACCAAGCTCCAGCAAGTGCAAAGCCAGCCCCTCTTCCGGACCACCGCGTTCCCTCGCCACGCCTCCAGGAGAGGGAAGTCCCGACATCCAGAACGCTGATTGGCTTACCTATAAGAGAGGGGCGGGATGAAAGGGATGTCAAGTCCCTTTCTGAGGGGCGGGGCGAAGGCTTGGCTCGCGAGATTTTGCTGGTTCCGCATTTCGGATCTGTGAGGTGGGGGAGGCGGGGGAGCCAGGCGCCGCGGTTCACTCAGGCCTGCCCCCTGTAAAACCCGAGCTCGGAGACCCTGCTGCCCTCCTTCCGCTGTCCGCGATCAGAGGACCGTTCTCTTCCTCTCGGTTCCCGCGCCAGTTCCGAATCCTGACGGGGCGGGGGCCAGCGGCCCCTCCCCTGCTCTCCTAGGACCGAAGATGAGCTTCCTCTTGTAAGTAGGGCCCGGCGGAGGGCGCCAGGCTGAGGGCGGAGGTCGGGGACGGCCAACAGGGTCCCGAGATGATGACCCGGCCCAGGATCAGGGTCGGGTGACTGGCGTCCACTCTGCCCCTCCTCGAGTCCACGGGGGTGCCCGACAGTAGGGAGGGCCTGACGGAGATGAAGGTCGAGGCAAAGGAAGCTGAGCTTGAGGTTGGGGCGCTGAAAGGCCCCGAGGCCGGCAGAGCCTTCAAACTTTTCCGCCCGAGCACCCCCGAGGGCTGGGAGGCGTTCTGAAGGCCTGGCCTTGCCCGGGGTTCCCAGTTTCTCTGCAGTCTCGAACTCTAGTGATGATTCTTGCTGACTTAGCTTTTTACTCTATCATATGTCTGGTTTTGTTATTGTCAGTATTAAATTACCCCCATGGAAAAATGCTGCCACAGGAAAATGTGTAGTATCATAGTTGGAGAAAGCTGGAAGTAAGATGTGGGCCTTGCAGCCAGACTCTCCTGTCCACTTTCGATTCTGCCCACTTACTGATTTTATGACTTTTTAAATACTCTTGGCCTCAGTAGAATCTCATTTTAGAAAGAAAGCTTGGGCCCAAACGAGGCTTAAATGGACAATTTTTAAGTTCTCTGATTTTTTATGCACATTGAGATTTGAGAAGCCTTGCTCTATAGCATCTTATTCTTAGGTGATTCTCTCTCATACAGTATTGCTCAGCTGTATGCTTAAATAATCATTTTAGTGATGAACATGATCCACTTGTTTGGCATTTTAAATTTTATTGAAATACAGTGTTTCATAACCAGAGTTTACCCCTTCTTTAATGTGAGAAATTTTAGATTCTTTCTATTGTATTTTGCTTGTTGATGGACACTTGTGTTATTTACACATTTTGGCTATTCATTAATGCTGCTATGAACATGTTTTTGTGTGGCTACCCCGTCTTGGGTATATACCCAGGAGTGGAATTGCTGGTTTATATGTTACTTCTGGGTTTATTTTCTTGAGGAACTGCTAAATATACAGCATTTTACATTCCCATCAGCACTGTGAGAAGGTTTCAATTTCCCCACACCCTCTCTAGCACTAGTTAGTTGTCATTTTGATTATAGCCATCTGAGTATAAAGTGGGATCTCCTGATTTTATTTGCATTCCTCTAATGACTAATAATATTGAGTTTCTTTTTTGTGTAAAGTCTATTCATACCCTTTATCCGATTGTCTGTCGTTTTTAAGGTGTAAGAGTTCTTTATAAATTTTGGATAAAAACTTCTTACCACATCTGTGATTTGCAAGTATTTTCTTCTATCCTGTGGATCATTTTCACTGTCTTGGTGGTATAATTTGAAGTGCAACAGTCTTGAGTTAGACGAAGATTATATTGAATCTTGAGAAATTATTTCATGTTAGTTTTCTAGATTTGGTCATTAACAGCTTATTTCTGTGTGTAAAGGGCTGGTCCTTCTAATTTAATACTCCCTCTTAAATGTAGTTCTTTATCATATTAATAAAATCTTTATCTATATTTGATTTTTACTGTTTTCACAATTCTTTTTTTCTTCTTTTTCTTTTTGGTGGTGGTGGTATGAGGTATTGAACACAGGATTTTGCACATGCTAGACAAATGCTCTACCATTGAGCTACATCCCCAGCCCTTTTTATTTTATTTTGAGACAAGGTCTCACTAAGTTGCCAGGCTAACCTGGGTTTGTGTGCCCCCATGCCTGGCTTTTTTACTTCTTACACTCTTGTTTAAAATTCAGAATCTTCAGGTAAAGTGAAAGTCTACTGTTTATTTCCTTACCCTTCCTAGAAATAATTACCAGTTTTAACATGTATTGCTTTGATACTCTATGCATTAACAGATTGGGCTTCTGCTATAAATTTGGTTCTGTAATGTGTTAGCCATGTTTTGAATCTTTCATGTGAACATATGTATGACATATGTATTCTGTGGTCTTCTTTACTACAGTACAGTATTCCTTGATGTGGATGTACTATAGTTAGTTTATTCATTTACTGGTAAACTTTAGGATCATTTTCAGGTTTTTCACCTTTTTTTTGGACACTAGGGATTGAACCAGGTGTGTACCCCTAAATCCCCTCCATGTTTTTCACTATTAAAAATAATCTTGGAGCTGGGCACAGTGGTGCACACCTGTAATCCCAGGGGCTTGGGAGGCTGAGGCAGGAGGATTGTGAGTTCAAAGCTAGCTGCAACAATTTAGCAAAGCCCTAAGCCACTAGCAAGACCCTATCTCACAATAAAATATAAAAAGGGCTGGGGATGTGGTTCAGAGGTTAAGCGTCCCTGGGTTCAATTCCCAGTACCAAAATAATCATTATCATCATCATCATCATCTTGGAAATCCTTATCTACAAATCCTTATCCACATCTAGCAGAGTTACCTAAAAGTGGAATGGATTGATTTGGGGAGCTTTTCAAAAAGTGTTAGAAGGTACTGCCATATAACCCTACTAAAATGTTATTCATTTTGCACTTCCAGTGATAGAATGTTAAGATACTCATTTCTCCATACTTATTAATATAATCATTTTAACTTTTGACACTCAGACTAGGAAAAAATGTATCTTACTTAAATTGAACAATGTTTCTTCACATGTTTATTGATCATTGTACTTCTAAATTGCCTTTTTTGTCTCCTTAGCCCATTTTTCTAAAGGGTTCTTTAACAAATTCTAGAAGTCCTTTATTCAGTTAATCTTGTGTAAATATGTTGCAAGTACTTTGTTGTTGTTGTTACCTGTCTTTTTGCTCTTTTATGGAAGTTTTAATTGTTCTGATTTAAAATCAGTCAATTTTTTTCTTTAAGATTTCTAGGTTTTGTTTCATTTTAAGAGGACCTTGTGGATGGTATAAAGTCGGAGTAAAAACTTCCCCTATAACAAGTTACATCTGTCTCATTTATTTTTCCTGCTATAGCTTCAGATTGTTTGTTTCTTTTTCTATGGTTTCCTTTGATAGCATCTCAAATATTTCAATGTAGAAAACTGGATTCTGAAACGGAGAACTTCAGAGCTAACTCCCTCTCTTCACTATTTCTGCAGGTGGAAATTAGGTCAAAAGGTTAGGATTCTCAGGTAGTCACAGAGCTAGTGGCAGATCAAGGACTAGAATCCAAGTATTTTCTTTGGTTAAAGTATCCTTTATAGTAGGTTTTCATTCCAACAAAATTGCCTTATTTGTAAAATTGTGCTATTCTGTTTTCATGAGTGAAAAAATATAAACCTTTTTTTTTGAGGAGGTGCTAGTGATTAAAATCAGGGCCTGTGCATGTTAGGCAGGCAGTCTACCATTAAGCTACATCCCATCCCTAAAACATTCTTTTTATTGTGGTCATCAAATCCCTTCCATCCTGTCTTTTTCCAAGGAATTTCTTCTTTTTTGGTACTGAGAATTGAACCCAGGGTGCTTAACCACTGAGCCACATGTCTAGTCCTTCTTTATATTTCATTTAGAGACAGGGTCTCACTAGTTGCTTAGGGCCTTGCTAAGTTGCTGAGGCTGACCTGAATCTTGCGATACTCTTACCTTAGCCTCCTGAGTGGCCAGGGTTATAGCATTGCCATCATACTTGCCTTAGGAATTTTTTTTCTCATTTTACACAGTGATTTATATGCCTAAAATTGTGCCATTCTGCTTTTAGTATTAAAAACTCATACATTTTTACTTTTGATCCAATAGCAGTAGCCGTTCTTCTAAAACATTCAAGCCAAAGAAGAATATTCCTGAAGGCTCTCACCAGTATGAACTCTTAAAACACGCAGAAGCAACTCTAGGAAGTGGGAATCTAAGACAGGCTGTTATGTTGCCAGAGGGAGAAGACCTCAATGAGTGGATTGCTGTTAATAGTAAGTTTTTAACAATACTTAACTTCATTGGTTTTTGGAAAGATCTTGCTAAAATCTTGTTAATGAGTTTTCTTTTATAGGCATACCTTTTATAATATAGTATCTGTAAGGAAACATAAGCATGAATACATTCAAAGCTGTGTTCTTCAGAATACATAATTGTGGCTTTTGTGATTGAGTAGAGTAACGTGAGTTTTAAAAAAAAATGAAATGCTTTGAGGTAATTCCTAAGGAGAATACCATGAAGAGCTGAGTAAGGTCAAGTAAAAGATTAATACATGCATGAATTCTATCATGGACCATGAGTTTCTAAGGAATCCATCTGGGCCGTTTTGCCTGCACTCCTAGTAGTACTCATTTGCCTAAACATACAGAAAAATTGATTGCAGTTTCTATGGGCAATCAATTGATTTATGACTTAGGAATAGTCAAAGGAAATTGAGAGAGAAAATCGACGGATCCATGTGCCAAAGGGTCACTCTGAGTTCAAGAGAATGATGTCATGGCATGGACTGATGTGCTGAGATTAGAGTGCCTCTTGTTTCTGAGATGAGATAGTTCTGAGAACTTTTTAATAGAAAATTTCAAACATAGAAAAGTAAAGAAACTAGTGAATTCCCAGGTATACATTATCCAGCTTCAGCATATATCAATTTGTGGCCAATTTGTGCTTCTGTATCCCCCGTATTTTGAAAAAAAACTCCAACATATTATTTCATCTATAAATACTTCAGATGTATCTCTAAAGACAAGAACTCCTTTTAAAAATAATGATAGTACTGTCATTCTTTAATGTTTTAATTGTCAGTGTTCACATTTCACTGACTATCCTATATATAATTTTTTTTTTTTTTTTTTTTTTTTTTGGTATTGGGGATTGAACCCAGGGCACTTACCACTGAGTATCACATCCCCAGCCCTTTTAATATTTTATTTAGAGACAGGATCTTGCCAAGTTGCTGAGGCTGGCTTTGAACTCGTGATCATCCTGCGTAGCCTTCCGAGCTGCTGGGATTATAGGTGTGTGCCACCTCACCCAGCAATTTTTTTTTTTTTTTTTAATTTAAGCTTGGTTTAAATTAGGATCCAGGAAAAACCTCTGTGTTTCTTGAATCTCTTAATCCAGGTTTCTCCTCATTGCAGTCCTTTTCCCCTGCTTTCTTCATTGTTGAAGAAACCATATTGTTTATGTTCCAGAGTATTAATTCTGCTAATTGGATCCCCAAAGTGTCTATTGTGCTGTCTCTCCTTTTATCTCCCATATTCATTGTTAGATCTGAAGCAGCTCTGTCCAATAGAACTTTTTGTAAAGATGAGAATGTTCTATACCTTCAAATGTAGCTAGTGTGACTAAGGAACTGAAATTTTAATTTAATTTAAATAAATTTTAATATAAGTAGCCATGTATAGCTAATAGTTACCATGTTATTGCAGATTTGGGATCTTGATCAAATCCAGATTTGATTTTTGTTATTATTTGTTGTATGGTAGACTACTTGATAGGTAGTGGTATATCCATAGAATCTAGTCCTTTTTTTAATCATCCAACTTCCTAGTTTATTTTGTTGTTGTTGGTGGTGGTACTGGGGATTGAACTCATGGTTACTTGACCACTGAGCCACATCCCCAGCCCTATTTTGTATTTTATTTAGAGTCAGGGTCTCACTGAGTTGCTTAGAACCTTGCCATTGCTGAGGCTGACTTTGAACTTGGGATTCTCTTCTCCTGTCTCACCTTCTAGAGCTGCTGGGATTACAGGCGAGTACCGCCATGCCTGGCTCCAACTTCCTAGTTTAGAGTACAGTTTTACAGGTTTGGATAAATTTATAATGATATATAACATTATAGTATCATCAAAAAGTGGTTTCACTGCCTTGAAAATTTTCTATGCTTTGCCTATTAATCTCTCCTTCCACAAATCTTCTGGCAGTCACTGATCTTTTTTTTTTTTTTTTCTGTCTCCTTATCATTTTTTACTCTCTTCACAGTTTAACCTTTTCCAGAATGTCATATAGTTAGAATTCTACAGTGTGAAGCCTCTTCAGAATGGCTTCTTCTACTTAGTAATATTTATTTAAGTTTCTTCATGTCTTTTGGTTTTTAGCACTAATATTTTTAGCCCTGAATCTTCCATTTTCTAGATTTATCAGTCACCTACTGAAGAATATACCAGTTACTTCCACGTTTAGGCAGTTATGAATAATTCTGCTGTAAAAAATACTGTGCAAGTTTCTCTGTAGATAAAAGTTTTCTTTTTATTTATTTATTTATTTTTTAATTAGTTCCTTTTAGATAGACTTTTTTTCCCAGTAATACTTGGACTTACTCTTGACCTTCGGGCCTTACCTTTTTGTATTTTTATATTGTTCATTTCTTTTAATTTTGTCCCTTCTGTTAGATGGAGACCCCAGGGTTAGGGATTTTTATGTTCTCAATATGCTGGAGGCTTCAAATATTTATGCTGAATTAGATATTTTAAGTGTTTGTTGATATAGCTAATATATCTACTCACAATATATTTCATAGCACCTTTTTTTTTTCCTCTTTCCTAACAAATCATACTGTCTTGGTCCTATTAATAAGCTATGGATTTTTCATTCCCTTGGATATAACCAAATTATCTATTCTAATGATGTGTAATATTAACAATTAAGTTAAAGTTTTATCTCTAGTATTTTGCTTTTCTAAATTCTGGTTAGAAGTTTAGTATATTAAAAGTTAACTTAGAGTCAGATATGGTGGCAGGTGCTTATAGTCCTAGTTATTCAGGAGGCTGAGGCAGGAGGATCATTTGAGCCAGGGAGTTTGGCACCAATCTGAGCAATACAGAGACCACCATCTCAAAAAAATCATCCACTTGGCCCTCAACTGATAGGTCTGACATTTTTGTTGTGTTTATACAGATATTTAACACAGTTCTGCCATTCTCTCCGCAGCTGTGGATTTCTTCAATCAGATTAACATGTTGTATGGAACTATTACAGAATTCTGCACTGAAGCAAGCTGTCCAGTCATGTCTGCAGGTCCCAGGTGCATATACAGCCTATTATATAGGTGTTTGCATTATCTTGCTTTCTCACAAATTGATATATAAGTTAAATAATAAAGACTTTTTGTTTATCCTTGTTTGCTTATGTAAAGGTAATTCAATTTTATTAGTTCTTGAATACTCACTTACTATAGCTACGGTTGCTTTGTTTTTGTGATGCTGGGGATTGCACTGGTACTTTACCAGTGTGTAACTGTTATTATTAAATATTTTGATATGTGATTTCTCAGTGTTTGATTTATATATATCATAGTGAGTCTGAATAAAAGTATAGAAATTTGACATAAGTTTATCTTTGCATCACAAAAATACAAAGGTTCTGTTTTGTTTTTTCAATTTGATTAACAGATTAACATTTACCATTCCTCTTGCTAGTTTTTAAATAAATTTCTTAAAGAGTTTTTAGTTGACTTTTTAAAAAATATTTTTTAGGACCTTTATATGGGCCTTTATTTTATTCATTTATTTATATGTAGTGCTGAGATTTGAACCCAGTGCCTCACGCATGCTAGGCAAGCGCTCTATCACCGAGCCATAACCCCAGCCCTTTGGTTGACTTTTTAATATTTGATTTTTTTTACTTTGCTTATTTAGTATTAACAAAATGAATACAATTTAATAAAAAAGATGCTAGGTTGAAAACTATTTTGACTGTAATAATTTTCAAGAAATATTTTAGAGTAGTACTCTTTCTTACTTACATTGTAAGTGAGGGTGTGATGAGATTAATATTTTTGTTGTATTTCCTTAGTGTTTTCCAGTCCTATTTTTATTGCTGTATTTTGGAAGGGATATTGTTATTTTATGTTATAAGTTTTATTCCTTAAACTTTAAAAGAAGTTAAAATAGAGCCAACATGGTGGCACACATCTGTAATCCCAGCAACTCTGGAGGTTGAGGCAGGAGGATTGTGAGTTTAAAGCCAGATTCAGCAACTTAGGGAAGCCCTAAGCAACTTAGCAAGACCCTGTCTCAAAAAATAAAAAGGTCTGGAGAAGTGACTCAATGGTTAAGTGTTCCTGAGTTCAGTCCCTGGTACCAAATACAAAATAATAATTTTAAACTTCTCTGTAGCTTAAATACTTTATACAGTTTTGCATAAATCTTGTTAATTGTTCTAGCTTAGCAAAGGTGAAGGGAGAAAATATACATGCCCAAAAGGTATTTCTCTAACATTCTCCAAGAAACAGGATTTTATAATCTTGGTTCCATTGGTGATAATAATTTATGGCCAAGGATCTTAGAATGTAGTGGATCCACCATCTCCTTGCTCAGTCCTTAGCACTGTTCTCCTTAGACAGGAATGCAGTTCCCAAAGCTGTCCTATAAAACATCCATTAGCTGCCACATTGTCTCCCTTTTTTCTTCCAGTTACAGTTGTCACATTTTAGAATATTCTATAGGGAACTTAAAATAATCTTCAATAGAACTTTAGGTAATTTGTTAAAAGTTACATATAGTGTATTGATAAAATGTGGACCTGCTTTGATTGTAAGTTACACATTTGTTAATGGTTTTGAAAACTATGGGTAAAACACTTTTCTTTCCAGATATGAATATCATTGGGCAGATGGTACTAATATTAAAAAGCCAATCAAATGTTCTGCACCAAAATACATTGACTATCTGATGACTTGGGTTCAGGATCAGCTTGATGATGAAACTCTTTTTCCTTCTAAGATTGGTGAGTTAATATTGTAAAACTTATTTTTCTTTCTGAATGATAAATGTAATCTTTTTAACACTTTTTTACCTTAAAATAATTTAATAGAGACTACTATCTTTTTCTCCAAAAAGTTTTTCTCACTGTATCATTGTACCTCCATTATGTTTGTGTCTGTTTCTTCATCACGTTTATTTACCCATTTTAAAATCTTTACCAAATTTTTTTGAATTTGTTTTAATGTGCATTTTAAAACTATTGATGAGATTGAACATTGTTTTGTTTATTGATCACCTATATTTATTTTGACCTATTAATCATTTCCTTTATGATTTGGATTTCAGTAGTGATGAAAAAGCTTTCCTTACTTCCAGGTTATAAAAAACACTTATGTTGGGGCTGGGGATATGGCTCAAGTAGTATGCACTCGCCTGGCATGAGTGAGGCACTGGGTTCAATCCTCAGCACCACATAAAAATAAAATAAGGATATTGTGTGCACCTAAAGCTAAAAAATAAATATTTTTTAAAAAACTATTTATTATATTTTTAGGTGTAGATGGGCACAACATAATGCCTTTATTTTTCTGTGGTGCTAAGGATCGAACCCGGGTGCTGTACTACTGAGCCACAATCCCAGCTCTAAAAAATAAATATTTAAAAAAATTGCCATTGATATTCCTTAACAAATTCTTTAAAAAAAGAAAAAAAATGCTTATGTTTTCATCTAGTTTTTTTGTTTTTCCATGTAAGTCTTAGGTCAGGATTTTTTTCTTCTGAATGCTGCCTTCATTTTTTTCCAAACACAATAGCTAGCCACTTTGTCCCAATATCACTTTTGAATATACAGCATGTCTTTTTTCTCTTGATTATCTCATGTGCACAACAAACTGCCATATTTTTTAGGGTCTTTTTATCTCTTGCTATGGAAATTCCACTGTTTTAATTCACCTTGTCATGTATCTTTTAGCGTCTTCTAGGACTAGTGTCCCTTCCCTTCTCTTTTTTTTTTTTTTTTCAGAATATTCCCAGCTATTCTGCGATATTTGTTCTTCCAAAGAACTTAGAATCATTTTCTTAAGGTAAAAAACTGTCTTAGATTTTACTTATGATTACATCCAATTTTTACAGATAAATACAAGGATTCTTGTTCTCTTTATAATACTGAGTCTTCTTAGCCAAGAACAACAAGATAACATTCTTTATTCACTTTTGTCTTTTATCTGCTTATAAAGTTCTATAGTTTATTTAATCCTTCAAGTTTCTTAAATTTATTCCTAGGCATTTTATACTTTTTATTGATATCTGGTTTCTGATTATTATTTGATATGTAAGAAAGCTGTTGATTTTTCTATAAATTTTATAACATCAAACTTTGTATCCATTAGTTTTTGGTCAGTTCTCTTGAGTTTTTTAAGTATATAACCTCATATGAAGATGATGTTAATTTGGCCTCTTCTTTTCTGCTATGTATTCTTCTTGTTTTATGCTTATCTAATTGCACTGACTTCCAGAAAAATGCTGAATTATAGTGACAATGGCAAAGCATCCTTATTTTGTTTCCTTATACTTATTGAAATACCTGTAGAATTTCCTCAGTAAACAGGAATTTCTTGTTAAAGGGGTATGGATTTTTTTTAAATCATATAAATGAAATATCGATTCACTTCTATTATAAAAATGTTTTAAAATCTGGAATGGTGTAAGTTTTTTTTTTTTAATCAGAAATTTCTCTTGTATCTACTATTGATGACTATAAGACTTTCTCCTTATTTATTTATTTATTTATTTATGCTAACCTTTTGCATGCTAAAGCACACACTGCCAGTGAGCTATACCTGCAACCCCTTCTTTTTTTTTTCTGCTAGAAGAGTTTTTCTTATTTGTTAGTATTTTGATGAAGATTTTCGCATCATTATTCAAGGAGGAGATTAGTCCTTGTCATTTTCAATTTGAGTATCTGTGAGCAACATATTGTTGAATTCCTTTTTGCAATCTAAGTAGAGGCTTTTTCAGGAGAAAAATTTATATCAAGTTGTTATACTTGGTCTGTTTGCTGTGGTCACTTTTTCCATTCTGTTACTTCCTTTCTCACAGATTCTTTATTGTATACTGCCTTTGCTCAAATATGTTAAATTCCACTTGGAAAGTACTTAGATCAAAACAAATTACTTTTTTAATCACTAAGGTTTCCCTCTTATAGACAGAAAACATTTTTTACTTTATTCTTTTTTCTGAGATTCCCATTCTTTGATAATTAATTCATTCTGATGGTCTAGAATCTCCCCTTATGTTATGACTTACTTTTATTCATTATTTATTCTTATTAGAACTGTTTATTAATAATATTTAGTAATATATTAAAGTTATTAATATTAAAATTCCCATTTGTGCATTTTGAATGAATGGGTATTTGATTTTTTTTTATTTTTTATTTTTTATATTTTATTTTTTAGTTGTAGTTGGACACAATACCTTTATTTTATTTATTTTATGTGGTGCCAAGAATTGAACCCAGACCTCGCACATGCTAGGCAAGCATTCTACCACTGAGCCACAATCCCAGCCCTGGTATTTGATTTTTAAAATCTGCCTTTTTAATACCTGAATACAAGATCCTGCCCACAGAAACATTTACATAAGCTCTGGTGTAATATTTGAAAAGTCAAGTTTGACAAGACTTGGGAGGGAGCGGAATAACCACAAAAATCTGCAAAATATACTTGATTTCAAGCAGTTAAGGAGTAAGAAGAAAAGAAAGAATGCAGGGAAAGAGTGTTTAAATAAGCCTTTGCTTTCTAAAGGGTTGGAAAAAGGAGGTATTTTAAGAATAGTATTGTGGAACAGACATTTAAGGCTAACTCATCTTGGTTGTTTTGGAAGCAGATGCCTTCTTAGTGTTTATTCTCTGTAGCCAATGTTAATTGTATTCTTTCTCCTGCCTCTGTTTTTCTAAGAGATTTTAATATTTTGTCAACCAAAATTTGTAGGAATGAGCTAGACACTGTGATGCACACCTGTAATCCCAGTGGCCCAGGAGGCTGGGACAAGAGGATCACAAGTTCAAAGTCAGTCTAAGTAATGTAGCAAGACCCTAAGCAACTTAGTAAGACCCTGTCTGCAGTTAAATATAAAAAGGAGTGGGAATGTGGCTCCGTGGTTAAGCACCCCTGGGCTCAATGCCAGTACCAAAAAAAAAAAAAAAAAAAGAATTGTTAGGGTTGCAACTGGTTACATTTCTATCTCCACTGTTGAGAGAGAGAGAGAGACCCCCCACACACACACAACCACCTCTTTAAATTGGTGTTTATTTTCTTTGAAAAATAGGGAGGTTCTCTTTCCTTTTTTCAGGGTTCATACCCACCTTTTAGGCTACAGGAAAATGAAAACTGGCTTTTCCAAAGTAATTCAGAAGATAAAATACCTTTTTGGGGGGTGGGGGTATAGCGGATTGAACTCAGGGTCTCACTGAATTGTTTAGCGCCGCCTTTTTGCTGAGGCTGGTTTTGAAATTTCGATTCTCCTGTCTCAGTCTCGAAAGCTGCTGGGACTACAGGTGTGTGCCACCGTACCTGGCTGAATATAAAATACTTTTTACATGTGGATGTTAATGACTCAAAATGTACCTGTACTTCTCTTTGGGTAGGAAAGTTCCAGTCCCAGTTGAGAGAGAAAAAGTATACATGTTCTTTTTCTTAAGAGTTATAAATCACAAAACAATACTCTATTTATAATTAAAATACTGTTGGATTTAATCTTAGGAAGAAACTTTGATATTAAACTCTAACAGTAAAATTGCTTATTTGAGCTGGGCATGGTGATGCACACCTATAATCCCAGTAGCTTGGGAGGTTGAGACAGGAGGATCATGAGTTCAAAGCCAGCTTCTCAGCAAATACTGAGGCACTAAGCAACTCAGTGAGACCCTGTCTCTAAATAAAATATAAAAAATAGGGCTGGGGATATGGGCTCAGTGGTCAAGTGCCCCTGAGTTCAATCCCTGGTACCCCAACCCCCCTCCCAAAAAAAAATATTTATTTGAATTTTGATTCAGCAACGTCTTGTATAATTTGATGCCTGTGCCTGCTGTTCTGAGGCAATCAGAAAAGAGTGTTTGTGAGGAATATACTTAGATTTGGGAGTTTTTCACTTTGTCTTTTCAATATATAGAAATAAGCTTGTGTGTGCTTGTAAGTGTATATGTATGTTGCAGGTGCTTATGGCACTGTCAAAACTTGTTGCTATTCAATTAGATAAAAAACTGATATATGTGTATTTTGGATTATAGGTGTCCCATTTCCCAAAAACTTTATGTCTGTGGCAAAGACCATTCTAAAGCGTCTGTTCAGGGTTTATGCCCATATTTATCATCAGCACTTTGATTCTGTGATGCAGCTGCAAGAGGAGGCCCACCTCAACACCTCCTTTAAGCACTTTATTTTCTTTGTTCAGGTAAGTGAACCATATTGATTTCTGGGTCATACAACTTGGACTTGTTTGGATTGGTAACCTTAATAGACCAGTGTATCTTATTTATAGATTGTAGAGCAGCTAAGCACAAGCAGATTTTCTCTTCTGTTTTATTTTTTTCCCCATATTGTTTTTATTAGTCTACATAGCAGCATCAAAAGGTATTACTTCCATTGGGCCTTCTGCCTCTGGCTTCCCCAGGTCTGTGGTTAGGGTGTATCATTGAGGGACATGTAGAGCACTTAATTAGAATGATTACTTTTAAAAATCAAAAAAGGGGCTCAGGTTGTAGCTCAGTGAGGCACTGGGTTCTAGCCTTAGCACCACATAAAAAATAAATTAATAAAAATTTTAAAAAACAAAAATAATTCACATTGTTTGAAAAAAGATCAAAGAATTGGACTCCTTCTAGCCTAACTTAGAGCTGTATAATTTTGTATGTAAAATATAAATATGTCTGTCTAGATATCATTTTATGGAAGGAAAGCCTAATAGCATTTCAGTTGATATTGTGTACTCTGGTTCTCTGTGTAACACAAAGGAAAACATACTATAGTCTTTCTTTTCTTCCAAGATTGTTACATGTGAATGTTTGGGTGTAAAAGTAAAAAGTCTTCTACCCCAGAGGTGGCCACTATCAAAGGTTCAGTTTGTAGTTTTCAGGTAATTTCTATGTAAATTCAAATATGTATTTTATATATATATATACATATATACATATATATATACACACACACACACATATATACATACAAACACATATGTATATAAATATCGTTTATACACAAACACATGTAACATAGGGAGGATCATGCCTATGATCGCTATAATCAGTTATTTAATAATAAGTCCTCTAGCAAAGAATAAGGGGGCGGGGAATAACTCCTACTTTACTCTCACAACAGATCTAATGTATGGGTTTTCCCCCATATACACTAAGCAGGCAGTCCATTTTACAGCAGACACCAGCTGAGTGTCCTCTAATCTAACTCAACTAAATTCTGACACTAACTATCTGGAGATAGTGTGAGATCCCACAACTTCAGAGCTTAGTCCCACAAGTCCTGCCCCCAACTTCAGACATCAGTCAAAAGTAGTGGGTTGTCCCACCCCCCCCAAAAAAAAAGTAATGGGTATCATTTCTGATAGAGCAGCTATAAATCAGGGTTCCCAGGACACTCTCCTTAAGTTTGATTAATTTGTAGGAGTTGTTCACAGAACTCAGGGAAACACCTTTACCATTTTATTATGAAGGATATTTTGAGGGATACAGATGAATAGCCAGAGAGAAGAGATGCAAAGTGTGAGGCCTGGGAGAAGGGATATGAGCTTCAATACCATACCCTTTCCAGGCATAACATCCTCCAGAAACCTCCATGTGTTCATCTATTATCTAGAAGCTCTCTGAATTTTGTCTTTTTGGGTTTTCATGGGGAGTGCATTACTTGGCTGTGATTAGTTACATCATCATCCGTTAGTGATTAACTCATCCTTCAGCAGCTCTTTTCTCTCCATGGTTGGGTGGGATGAAAGTCCCAAAACACAGTAATCATGCCTTGATCTTTCTGGTGAGCAGCCTCATCATGGTACTCTTCAAGGGCTCCCAGCTACCAGTCATCTCATTAGTGCCCAGAACAGACACTCTTGCCACTCTGAAGACTTCAAGGATGTTAGGAGCTGTATGTCAGGAAAACAGCCATGAGGAAGACCAGTATATATCACAATATCACATTTGTGGGGCTTTTAGGGTTTTTTTCAAGAAACACTAGTATTTTTAAAAAGAATAAAAATAATTGCTTTAAAATGTTTACAGAGCTCATTAGATAATTCTTTTGAATTTCAGAAAACTAGGGTTGTGAATCCTTTCTCTAAAAATAAGAAATTAAAAGAGTTTTTATTTAGGACCATTTTTAAATTTTATTTTTCTTCTCTTTTTAGGAGTTTAATCTGATTGATAGGCGTGAGTTGGCACCTCTTCAGGAATTAATTGAGAAGCTTGGCTCGAAAGACAGATAAATGTTTCTTCAAAACAAAGTTACCCTCTTGCTTCATCTACTGCTAGAGATATTTCATTGTTATCTGTTATAGACTAGTGATACAAACTTAAAGAAAACAAGATAAAAAGATACCTGCTTTCTGTGTCTACAGGTAAAATTGTCCCAAAGGTAGGTGGGCCTGATAGTTTCAGAATGAGACCTTAAGGACACAGCAAAATCAGAGGGACTGTGGGACCATTCCCATTATTGTCAGAGTCATACTTGGTTGTAACATGTAATTACTAGCCTGTAGTTTTCTTTTTTGCTCAGCAAAATGATTGAATCAGTTTCTGTTGACAACATAACACACAGTTTTTACCAATGATTTATTAATTAGTTTCCAGAAGAAATTTCCTAATAACACAATCAGATCAGTTTTATTCTGCTTTTATTTTACAAAAAGGAAAGTTATTTTTAAGTTTCCTTAACATTTAGAACTTTTGTGTCACTTTGGATAATCTTTAGTTTCAAGTTTGAATGCTAGTGTTTTTATAGATAAGAATATATATTTTTTTCAAAATCCACATTCACAGTTTAAATCTCTTATGGCATATGTGGAATGGGGAGTAACCAAAGTTATTTTTAAAGTGACTTTATTTTGTAATCTTTATTTGGGATTGTATTCAAATCTATCTAAATTATTAGGAATGTGTGTGTATCAGAGATAATTTTTTTTACATTCTAATGATGGTCTTTTAGGTTTTTATTTTGAAATGCTTCTTTCAAATCAATTAATATATAGCTTTGGATAAAGAAAAAGTTTCCAAAAAAATTTGGCAAACTTAGGTCTCAAAGCCACTGTTCATTTATGTTGTTTTTCAGAGGCCTTGCAGTTCTGGGTCAGAGAGTGGTAGAAAGTACTCAGAGTATTTTATTATTTTATTTCTTAAAAATGTTACTTCTGTACTTTTAAGAGTAGTATAGAAATGCACAAACTTTATCCCAATAAGGACAAAATTTAAAACCACAATAAAAAAAACCATGAAGGTGCATACATTTTATAACACAGCTAAAGGTTTGGTCTGCTACCTATACTTGACACAGAGTGTATGTATAAAGTCAACATAATGGGAAAATAGGTTAAAAAAAAAAGAAAATAACTTTATATCATTCAGTTAATTACTCAAAAGTGGATTGAGTACCCATAGGGGTTTTATCCTGTTTGTATCAAAACTTGAAATTCTTCTCTTTCTACTGGGATAAAAGAATCTTCACATTTAGTGAAGAAAATGCCTGTTTTTTATTTGATTCTTTGAAGACTGTCAAAGCTTTCATTCATCATCATTTTGTGTTGCAGAGCTTTGGATTTTGCAGAGTACTAACCAGACTCCTTGATGTCTTTGATTTGATGAGGTTTTTTAATAGCTCAATTTCAATAAATTCTTAAACAATACACAGAATTTTAAAGGACATTATTTCATTTAATTTAGGCTGAAACCATCATTGTTTAAGGAATTCAAGAGTAGTGTAATCACAAAAAAAAAAAGAGAAAAGCCCTCTATAAAACATTCTATAGTTCATATTTTAAATGAATTGAGAGGTCCAAATGTCAGTCATTCTGCACATTTTCTCTAATTATTGGAAATGAGAGTGGGTTCCTTGGCTGGGTGCTGTGGCGCACACCTCTAATCCCAGCGGCTCAGGAGGCTGAGGCAGGAGGATCACAAGTTCAGAGCCAGCCTCAGCAATTTAGTGAGGCACTAAGCAACTCAGTGAAACCCTGCCTCTAATAAAATACAAAATAGGGATAGGAATGTGGCTCAGTGATTGAGTGCCCCTGAGTTCAATCCCTGGAACCCCCTTACCTCACTCCTCCCCCAAAAAAAGAGTGGGTTCCTGAATGACACCTAGAATGTAATTACCTCTCAACCTCCAACCCTGTGGACTTTTAATTTTATTTCTTGTGTTACCAAGGATTGAATCCAGGGCCTTGCACATGCTAGGCAAGCGCTATACAACTGAGCTACATCCCAAGCCCTTTTTTAAAGTTTATTTCAAGACAGGGTCTCACAAGTTGGCAACTCTGGCCTGGGACTTCCAATTCTTCAACCTCAGCCTCTCAAGTAATGGGATTACAGGCAAGCACAATGGTGTCCAGTGGCTTTAATTTTTTAAGTCTACAAGGAATGAAATTGTTTCTCAATTAGATTATACTTTCATCATAATTTCTAATATTTCAAATATTCTCAAAAGGTTTTTCACTTCTCTCCACTATTTTTAGTGACAGAAATTCTGTTTTCATGAGTAAGCCCCAAAACAAACCAAAGATGGTCACATGGTAGGACAGTAGCAAAGGCAGCTTATTAATGGGTTGTAAATTTTAAAATTGTTGGTAATTTGAGATTTAGAATGTAGTTTTTTATTTTATTTTCTTTTACTTTTTAATGAAAACGTTACTAGATTCCCAAACCAGTTTGGCTCAACCAACAGTGCCACCTAAACATTACATTCTTTGTCAACTTCTTACAGCAGGAGAATTAGAGGAAGGGGAAAGGATGGGAAGTGAATGGTGCCTTCCTGACATGGCTAAAGAGCAACTCTTTGAAAAGTGTTTGAAGAAATCATTGTGTCTTGGTCTCACTTTTGATTTACCTATTCATATTCAGGGTTTCCCTGTTCTTCAGTACTCTCTTTTCTTCCCTTCCTAAGAGGAAGTCGTCTCCTCAGAGTCACATCTCTGCTTCTCATAACATGATTACAGTCATGGGGTGGAGAGTGCTTGCTAAATTATGCAGCTAATCCTGTGGTGCTTTAATTTTCAGGCCTTTAAAAAAAAAACTTGGACAATGATGTATAGATTTTTGTTTAAATATTCAAACTGCCTTGTACTATAGTTTTTATATTGAAAGCCAGTTGTATCCTTTATTCTTCAGATTTGCATGAATAAAGTGTCTTTATGGGCTGCCAGCTAACAGGTATTTCTTTCATCTTAGACTTTCAGAGCTCTAGCTTATGTGGCTGCTTACTTGAAAATGCAGATATGTATTCACCGTGACTTTAATAACAAAGACAGAGTTTTTCTAGTAGTGCAGAAGCAAGGGGAACAATCCTCATGGTGATAATAACTTGCAAAGTGACAGTAACTCTTGAAAACCTTGTGGAGGTTCCATGATTATACTGTTAGCTTCTGTCTGAGCAGCAAGACACACCATAAGTAGAGCTTCTGAAATGTGATGTCCTTACCTCAGAAGTACAAACAGATCAGGCCCAAAGAGTGTAAGTCCTAGAAATGTGTTTCTAAGCAGACCCAGTTATGATGCTGGAGCTTCTTCTGCCTCATGACAGGAAGCTATCTTTGTCAGTATGGAACTCTGGCCAGAAAAATGTTGATCTGGACACCAGACTGAGCACCTTCAACAGACACAGTATTTCCCTCCAAGATTAGTTCACTAAGTGGACTTGGTTTCTACTATTATAGAATTCTGGCAAAGAGGGAAAATAGTCTTTTGGTCTTCCTGTTTTTGCATTCAATTTTAACATGTCAGGCTGTAAGAGGGGGATGATATTACATGTGGTAGCAGTTATTTTATTGAAGTATCTGCACTGAAATTCACTTGGGTTTTCTTTTCATTATTAGACTCTGTTCCAAACAAGTGTTCTGTAAATCCAGATGGATTACCAGTGTGCTATAGACTTATTATAGAGCAATATTCTGTGTTTGTTCTACATTGAAAGTAGTTTGCATAAGTTAGTCTTGGTTACCATCTAAAATATTTTAAAATGTTCTTTACATAAAAATTTATGTTGTATTTTTAAACCTTTAGGGGCTTTATCTATTTTTCTAAGTCGGTTAACTGTACTTTTTTAAAAAAGTATTTTGTATCTACTTTTGTAACTTCATCAGAATAAAATATATTGAAAGCAAGAAATGACTGATATAAAGTATGTCTCAACACACTGGCTTTCTACTTAAATATGAAAACTTGATTTTTGAAGGTTCTGTGGATATTGAGTATATCTTAAATTTTGAAAGTGACTACCATTGCATATCATTTAATAGCTAAACTATTTCCTTAGCACTTACAGAAGAGTTGCTAAGTAAAACTAAGTATCTTATTTACCAGGACCAATCCTAACCCCAAGAAACAGATTGCTAGTGCATATAGTGACTGAAATCCACACCAGACAAAAAGTAGTCTCCTCCCTACCAACCTAATCAAGCTCTGCACCTCTTTTGTATATTCCTGGGTATAAGATTGGAAAGTGTGACTGGAATCACTGATTTTCTTACCTTGAAATTGAGTATTCAGTGTATATCTTTAAAACACTCTCTACTCCAAGCAGCTATTTTTTATTATTGTTGGAGAAATATGGTATGTGAGGTCTACAGCAGTGCTAGAATTGTTTTTAACCTTTTTTTTGAGTAGAGTTAAAAAGTGACTGATGTGGCTACATGGGGGTTAATAATAATTTTTTATAAGATATGGGTAATCAGTTTGGGATTTTTTTTTCTAACATTTCGGTAGGCTTATAAGCAAACACAAAATGATGTTCATAAGGGTTTCTAATGGCTAAGTGTTTCAAAACTATTTCATACTTTATAAAAAGAGTGAAATCCAAATAATCTTGGGGCATGCCAGAGTCAGAATTCAAAACTTCACATACAGAAACCATGTCCAAACCATGCCTTGGATCTTCTCAGTAAATACTCTGATAATGTCCCCTCTACCTAGGGACACTACAGCCTGTGCCATTATCACTGGCCACTAGATGTCAGTGTCCCCTGCCACAGATGTCTGATAATCCTCTAAAGTGAGGGTATGGGGAGGAAGCAGGGTAGGGCAGAGCCAATTATTCAAAGGTCATAGAATAATATGGGTAATTGTTGAAAGTTGGAGTCACACTTTCAATAAAGGAGGAATTCTGCAAATACAAATTTGTGAGTTTGATTTAATCGGAGTCGCTTGGTTACAAGTGACAGATTCAGTACTTATTTCCAGCAATGCTGGCTCCCAGTTGCACAAGCACAAACATCTGTCTCCTCTTAGCTCTGCTTTCTTCTGTGTCTGCTTTATTTGTAAAATAGTTCTGCCCAGATGGTTGCCCGCAAGCAGCTCCAGGCTTTCTATCAGCTTAGCTAACCCATTTGAAAAGAGCATTTCTTTAGTTCTAAGTAAGGTCACCTCACATTGGTCTGGTTCAGATCATGTGATCAACCCTAAGCCAATCCCCATCTAGTTATCCTGAGTTGGATCTTGTGTTCACTCCTAGAGCTGGAATTGGATGGGCCTCATCTGAACATGTGGTTTGAATAACAGTGGTTCACCACTACATTGCTTGAAAAAGTTGTTTTGACAGTTTTAAAGTATCATTGACATCAATGAAGAAAATTGAAAAATTAACAAATTATCCCCAATCATACTAACCATAACTTTTTAGGAACCAAGCAGAAAGTGTGTCCACTAACAGTAGCCCAAAGGAGAAATGATGAGGGCTGGTACATAGGAGTCACTCAATATCAGAATGAATGAGTATATTTATAAAGAGCAAATATTGGTCCAATCCATACAGGTACAACACTAGAGATATTGATTATATAGGCCAGAGTGCAGTGGTAGAAAAGCTGATGAATCCTTCAGGGCAGCACTGATCACATGCTGCAATTACAGCTCCGGAAAGGACTTGGTTGTATTTTGGCTTTGACTTGTCTGACAGTGCTCCATATCCAGGCAGGCTTGCTGACCCATTGCCTCAGCTTACAGGACTCCTATGGTGTGTGGGTCCAACCTGTGCCTCTGCTGGGCAGTGTCTAGCAGCATCTTAAACCCAGACCTTTCCTACCTCATCCGCAATATCAAGTCAGACTATTTATTCCACTCACCTCCCAAATGTCTCAGTTCACTCCACCCATCCCTCTTGCCACATTATTAGTGGCAGGCCCCTCATTTCTCACCTGGACACTGCAGTAGCCTGGGACCTTCTGTCCTTGTCTCCAATTTCAGCCCCTTACATTCCACCCTTCCTCACAGAAGCCAAGGTGATCTTTCTAAAATGCAAATCAGAAAATGCGTCCCTTGTTTACATCCTTCCATGAGAGAGATCCTGGAGAGAAACCCGAGCTCCTCAGGTCAGAAGCCTGCCCGGCTGCAGCGATGGGGAGCGGGATAGGATAAGTTCCACCAGGGCACCACGGTGAGGAAAGGACGTACCGCGCTCCCAGAGCTGGTGTTGCTGGCTGCGGAGGAAGGGGATTTTGACCTGGCCAAGCCTCTGTCTTGGACCAGGACAGCAGAGGCCAGAGGAGCGCGGTGCTGGCGAGACAGAATCGGGGCCCGAGCTGGGCGGGCGCCGAAGTTCTGGGCACCGACTCCCCGCGGCCGGGGCGGGGTCGGGCAGACTCGCGGCCTCCGGGCGGCAGGGGGCAGCCTCGCCCACAGCGACAGGTTTCGGCCCTGGCTCTGCATCTCTCGGGAGGAACGGCGATCTCGGGCTGCGGGCCGCGGCAGCCGGGCATGGCCGCGTGGAGCCCCGCCGCGGCAGCGCCTCTGCTCCGCGGGAGCCGCGGGGTGAGCGGGCCGGGTCGGGGCTGTTCTCCCCGGGCGGAGCTTCGGGGGGACATGGCCGGCCGCCGTCGGGGCTCTAAGAAGGGCTCCCGGGGGCGCGGGCAGTGCCGGAGGCTGAGCTCTCTTTCTCTCATTTTGTTCGTTCATCCGTTCACTCCACGGCCAT